TCCTTATCTGATGTTGTGTTCTCAAATATCGTAAAACCATTATGAAAAAGAGGAACCAGTTCAACAACTAAACGTTCATCCTGTGGGCTGCAACACACCATCTGTGTGCACTTGAGCTGTGCACACACTTTGTAAACGTTAAACATCCGGAGGAGAGCAACAACTGTACCCTAAATCCAGTAAATAGACAGCGAATGTGGCACGTTAACCCAGATTTAACCATATCCGTCTGCAGATTCATCCACGTCTGCAGATTCTTTTCAGGCCGAACCAACTCACATTTATCACGTCAACTCAAAACTAAAGTCTAGACACAGCAATAAACTTATTCATTAAAAAAAATCAAACAACAAATGGGTCGCTCATTCAACCCTAATTTTATACTGATATTAACAGCTGTTGTATCCCCTGTGTTGGCATTTCAGATAAATGGTCATGGCTGGATGACATTTCAGCTGCAAATGGAAAAAAATTCAATGACATAGACATCTACACCTGTCACAGGAAATAAGACTATAAATGTGTGTGTGGGTGTTGGGTGGTGGTGGTGGGGTCATTTGAGGTCTTACTATATAACTGTCGATGACCACATAAGGACATGATGATAAGAAGTGACTACAATAACCAATCAGAGGTGTAAAAGCACCTCTATGGGGCCATTAAAACTGAGAAAAGTGATTAAGACATCTCTTGAGTGAGCGTCTAGTGTAGAAAATGAAACAAAAACCCTTGAGCATTTCCTATCAATAGAGAAAGTATTGCAGACTTCTTAAGTTCTTAAGGACGCCCATTTAGTATGAACCTCCCGATGTGATGCATTGGTTTCTAGATTGCCCATTTAGTGGAGAAAACAGGCTACAATGCTTAGTAGAACGCTAATTTAGAAAACTTGATGCACTTTCCTTCAGGAAGCCCATTTAGATGATAAAACCCAATCCAGTCCCCTTAAGATTGCTGGTTTAGTCCTAAAAAACATGATATGAGGAGAAGGAATACTCTTCAGGGACTCTCTACATGTTAGAAATAGAACAAGTATTCTTTAGAGTGTCCCACCTGTGGACAATCATTTAATCAAATGCCCAATTGATGCACATGAAGAGGAGAACAGGATACTTAGAAACTGCGGTAAAGTGTCAGAAAACCTGCTTGGAGGTACACTGTACTTATATTTAGAAAGGGGAAGTTCCCTTGAAACTGATACTATAGCCACAGCTAAAAATAAGTATTATCTAAATGTTCACAGGTAATTATGCAACTCAATCATTGGTTGCCAGCAGTGAGGTACATTTTGTGTGTGTAAATTTCATTTTCAGCGAGCCTTTACCAAACTTCACTTTGCAAGTTAAGCAAGCGGGATATTTAATTTGTTTTTTTGGCGTGTTTAACAACCTTTATGTCTTTCACAATAAAGTTCACAAAAAGTCACTGGTTTGAGTGGTTAAAGCAGTGCATGTTGCAGCCTCTTATGAGAGAAGATACTTGAGCAGAAATTGAAGGTCTGAATTTGCGAGCGAAAATGCCTGAGTTATTTAATCAGAGATGAAAATGCAAAGACTGCAAAACCAGCCGCCTTGAGCGGGGCCATTTGTGGCTTGATCAGATTTCAGAGATGTCTGGCAGCATTTGCAACCTCTTTTTTTTTCTTCTTTTTATCAGATTTAGTTTCAAATGTTGCTCACAACTGACTGGTACACAGTGCGCTACTCTGCAAAACTCCTTTTTATCAAGCAATCAAAATTAAAACAGAAAAATCACTGACACAAATAAACAAAAACACACAAATCTTCCTGAAGAACATCCAAAAACACTCTGGCAGACGTGTGTGTGTTTGTGCTCTGTGCTCATAAGAAATACTTGATGCCACTGAGGCCGCTCTGTAAGATGCTATTTTTAAACCAGGGGGAATCTTTTTTTAATTGATCGTAAACTTGATGTGTTTTCAGTTTCGCAGCTACTCTTAAAGTTTTTATTAACTAGGACATGGTTAGTAAAACACACAGCTGTCCACTTAGTACACTGAGAGGCTGTGACTGTATGACTGTGCTGCCCATTAACGAGCTGTTAGATGGAAATTATGAGCAGCCGCTTCAGGAAAGAGGCTGTAAAAACCGCAGAGAGACAATATAACCTTTAAGGTATCAGCTCACTGCTACTGCTGCTGTAGCTGCTGGGAAACAGACGTTTATCTCTGCTGCAGATTATAAAACGCGCTCTTCATTTGCATTTATCCAAGTCATCACAACCTGCTGGATCTTTTATTCCCTCTTGTGCTTCTTGGTTCCTCATTTTACCACATGTTACTTCTCCTCCTCTTGGTCAAACACATATTACTTAACGCTGAGATATTCTCACACACGTGACGCTGTTTTCCTTCTTCAACATGCGTTCAGCTCGTGGTCCAATCCCTTATCTTTAAACTGGATTTCCGGCACATTTGACACCCACATCCTGCGCCCTGACAGCTCGCTTCTGCTCCTACACCTCTATCAGACTCGGCAGACGCAGCTCCGAACTGCCACACAGGCCGACCACACTTTCTGGCATTAAAAACTTCCCTTTTAAAGGATATTTTGACTCCAAACACATCAATGTGTTGCGTGCGACTGAACTTTGCGGTTTGGTCTGGTGTCATTTCTGCTGTCTCTAAACACTTCCTTGTTTTTTAACCAACATGAGCCTGTGCACCTATCCATGAGTCAAACAGAGGTATAAGCAGCTGATCAGAAGCTGTGTGACGCAGGCTGAGTTTGAGAAATAACTCTCTGGTCTAAGCTGTTACACCACAGAGGCTCCCCTTTTGTTCCACAAACCATTCTGCTTCCTCTTCTCAGAGCTTGTTTCTCATCAGTGATAGGTGCTAATACAGGCTTTGGTAAATGTGTCTCAATCTGAAAATGGCAGCGGTCAAAACTGACAATTGACTTGAGTTTGACTGACTTCTTCAGTTTTGTTCCGTAGAGAGATGAGTCTTGATCGCTGAGCTTCATAATGATCGGGAACATTAGCGGCGCTCGGTTGAGGGAAACAAAAGGTCAGGAGCAGATGTTTGTCACGACGAGGAAAAATGCAGCTGCTGTTGTTGGCATGGATGGATTTCTGGGGTCAAAGGGCGCCTCAGCCCTCAACGTCTTTTTGACAAAATGACTTTTCTTCTACTAAAACCTCTATCACATTTTTCTTGTATTTATGGTTTTTAGTATTAAAACTGATTATTCTTTTTTTCAAGAAGATAAAGCTCATAGTCAGATCTGGTTCAGGCCTGGGCCTTCTCCAGGTTTAGACTGCCTTAGGGTACTGACACATGTTTCTGTCTGTACCACAAACTTTGAATCATCATGTCCCATTAGAGTCACTAATACACAGTCTTTTCTGGGAGTCCCTGAGCTCCATCAGACCGCAGTTCCTCTGAATTGCCGTCGTGGACCTTCCTGCTTTCCAGCTGCTTCAGCTTCATGCATCAATCTCACATCTGTCCCTCTCTCCCCTCTCTCTGCATCTCCCTCTAAAAACCCAGTTCAGTCTCAGCAGACGACTGTCTAACATCAGTCTGGTTCTGCTCGAGGTTTCTGCCTGTTAAAGGAAGTTTTTCCACCTCCTTGTTACTTGATAAATGCTGTAAAGTGCTTTACTCATGTGGTTGAAAATGGGATGGAAGCTTTTTTATAACTTTTTGACAAAACTTGGTTGCAACCTCAACCTCTGATCTTGGGAAAGAAAGTGCTAAAAACTGCAGTTTAGACACTTTAGATGAGATAAGCAAAGACTGATTTGTTCACAGGGGGCGCCAAAATGGACACAAACTGAAAGTCCCTCACAACAATCATCTTTTTGATCTCGTCAACAACAAATGAAAATCCAGAAGCTTCCTTAAAGTTTAATTTAAGGTAGCGCTGATGTGTTGGATCACATCAGATCTCTCAGTCGGTGTATAAAAGTTTTAAAAGTTTTCCCTGTGCGGTTCAAAAGTTCTTCTGCACAGACTAAACAAATTCAGCTCAGAGTGAATCAACAGTGATGTTTAAGTAGCCGGGTCCCCTCAAACTAACCTCCCCCTGGGGTAATTACTGAACTACACCCTCCTTGTTTGGGCCCCGTTGACTCTCTCTGTTAAATGGCCCTTTCAGCTTTGTTTTTAGTGTACCATCATCTCCAATAATTACCCTCTCATTATGCATTCAGAGCCCAGCCGCTCCAAACCCACGTTTAACTCGCATAACAATCCCTCGTGTCAGCGCCCCTCTGTCTCACTGACCCCCCATCCCTTTACTCTCTCTCTCCCCCTTCTCCTCCTCTTGCTTCTCCTTCACTGCTCACAGCAGTCAGGGTATGTCGAGGGCCCGGCTCTAACACATGGTCGCATACCATCGCTCACCATCATCACCGCTCCTGACGCATCTGTGAATGAGCAGCAGAGGACAAAAGGGATCAACGCGGCACAGGCGATGGAGAGAGTGACCACCATGACCTCACGGGTCAGCTGGGAGCCAGGAATGAAAAGACTCTGAGCAACCCCCGCCCAAACACACACACTCACACACACACACACACACACAAACACAGAATGGGACTCGGACAACTGAAGCAGCATGGGAATATGGGAGCGTGGAAGAGGAGGACTCGGCATTGGTCTGCAGGAGCTGAAAGAAAGCGGTTGTGTTTGGAATTTTGGGTCATGCCTTTCTCCGCACATTCCTCGCTCCTCTCCGACAATAAAGTGTGTCAGAGCCGACACAACAGCCTCCTTTCTGGATACCTTGCACCACAAACGGCCTCAAGTCACACCCGACCACACTAACCCCAAAAACTCGTGTGATAGCGTAGGAAGAGTAAAGATGAACTCTATTTGCAAGCATCACATGAAGCAGGACAGACTAAACGAAGGAAATTACAAACAGATCTCGAGGTCTGAGCGCTAATTTAACTTTGGCAGCTTCAGCTCCCACAAACTGTTGCGGCTCGTGGAACAAAACAGCTTTTCTCGCACAGAATAATGAGCGGTATGATCTTAAAATGACACGTATTTTATTTTAAAGAACTGCGACTGAGACAGTGAAAATAAAAACAGGATCAATCTCAGTCATTTATCAAACTGGTCTCTTACAAAACAAACACTGGTGCATGCAGGGAAACAGAAAATCCTTCATTTTGTACAATAAATAAATAATTTAAAGAGCAAAACAATTGGGAACGAGAGTTATGTACAGCTTTGAGGGCTCCGTCAGCTTTGGTCTCTTCACTCTTTGGGGCTGCTTGCACTTTTTTCTTTGGCACTAGAGTCTTTACAGTCACTGGTTGGTGGTTTAAGTCTTTCGAGCTCAGCGCTGCTCACAGTTTGCTCTCCTCCTCCTCCAGCGGTTTGTTCAATCCCGGGATGAACTTTAGGAGCCGTCTGCGGAAGCTTTTCTGTTTGGGCTTCCTCTGCATCGAGTTGAATCCGCCCTGTTTCTCCCCTGAGGTGGACGACGAAGTTCCCTTAATGTAGCTGCGAGTGCTGGCGCTGCGGGTCAGCTGCGTCTTCGCCGTCGTGAAGAGCTCGCTGGCTGGTCGGAGACGATTCGGCCTCTGCTCTTTCTTTTTGTCGGCTTTGGTCTTGTCAGAGTCCGGGCAGCCGTCTGTTTGGTACAGGCAGGTCTGGTAGAGCGGGTCGTCCTCGGTGGCCGTGCTGAGGAAGCTGGCGCTGCTGCTGGTGCTGCCCGTGCAGCGTAGGGCTCGCTGGGCGGCGGGGCTGGGAGTGCCCAGGCTGCCGTAGACGCCCGCCGACTCCAGGGACTCGTAGACTGCAGCATCACTCATCACTATGCCTAAAAAAAAAAAGAGCGAGGACAGTTCAATACCACTAATCTGTCCGTTATGTAACTTTAAAGAAAAAAACAAACAGGCAAGAAGGAAACTATTCAAACTGGGCTGAGTGCAAACCATCCCTCTGAGAACATGTTTATTTATTAGTGGGTCACCGGGTTCAACATTTACTCAGATCAAATTTACTCTGACTCTCATAGAACAGAGTGACTGCACAGTTTGAAACAGGGTCACTTTAACATGTGAGGAAACAGATGATCTGAACGTACCGTGAACGAGCCTCTGCTCCTGCACCATCAGAGACCGATACTCATCCCACTTCTCATGGAGAGTTTGCTACAGAGAAAAAACAGAGAGATTAGATGAATGTGCACTAAAAACAAACTTTCATTCATTTCATTTCATCTTATTTCATTTCTTTCTATTTTAAAAACACAGAAACAAATAACTAAAAACAAACCATAAAACACTGAAATAGGAGCCGAGTCTCATGCAGGGTTGAAGGCCAATTAATAAAAATGGGTTTTATGGCTTGTCTGATTTGGAGGGGTAGCCCGTTCAAAAGAAAAAGATCTTTCCCCTCTGAGCTTCAGTTTGGACCTCGGTACCTCCAGGAGCAGCTGATCAGCTGACCTGAGGCACCGAGCGAGCAGGGGTGTCGGGGTGGAGAAGCTCAGAGAGGTAAGATGGAGCCGAACGATTTAAAGGTTTAAAAACAAATAAAAGAATCTTAAAATGAACTCTAAAATGCACAGGTAACCAGTGGAGGGAGGCCAAGATGGGAGTAATGTGCTCCTTCTTACGTACTCCGGGTAAGAGCTGGGCGGCTGCGTTTTGTACTAACTGGAGACGTGAGAGGGAGGACTGTCAGTGTCTTAAATACACTTTAAAATGTGGCAAATTTGACTGGGATGTTTTCATCCATCCAACTCAAACCAAATTAAACAAACAGAGCAAAAGATGACTAAAGTTCTCCCACCTCAAACATTAAAAACAACCCAAAAAAAAAACAGTCAGATCAAGATAAAAACTACAGGAAAATGAAAAAGTCACAAAACAAATAATCTGAGTTTAAACAGTCGATATAAAAGTGAAAGAAATGCTGTTTCGTATTGCATCAGGGGGAATATCCTGTAAAATCATGACGACATCGAGAAAGCGTGCGTGACACAGGAAGACTGTAATGACTAATAATAAGAGTTTGAGGCTGATGCTTAAAGTAAAACAGAGAGTATTCCTTTAGACGACTGACTGACTGATATGTTGATATGAAAACGGCTGCATGCATTTCATTTAGCCGGATGAAGTTTGTTGAAAACGTCAAAACTACTGTTACTACCCTAAAGCTGCTGCAGATGGAGGAGAGAGAGAGCTGCAGTGATTTAGTTACATAGAGATGAAGTAAAGAGAGCGAGCGTCACTAATGAGAACAAAGCGGTGAAACAGAAAATTAGATTTTCTTTGTGAGCTTGTCAGATGTTGGCCTCTAGGTTTCGAGCGGAGATAACAAGCCGGTGCCAAGAGTTACTTTAATTATCGTGACAGCCTTTATATAAAATCTACATCCGCCATCCCTGCCTGTAAAAAAGCGTCCAGCATCAGCACGTTAATCTTTAAAATGTAGGATTAGTCGCTCTCAGGAAGCGGTTGTGGAGCGGCTCTCGGAGGCTGCGGGATTAGAGCGGGACAGCTGCTGTAATCTTGGGAGAAAAGCGCGCTCACTCGAGCCACTTCACAGTCAGGAATGTGTGCAGCCATCAGCGGGGAAACTGCTGATGCAACAGGTGGTGGCGCTGCTGGGGGAGACAGGTGTGGAGGGAGGGGGGGAGGGACGACGGCTTTATCTAGAGTGTAACGTGATGTGTGTGTGTGGTCAGAGGAAAAACTGTAAGAAAAAGAGAGTCTCACCTTCAGATACTGCAGCCGCGCTTCCAGCTCTGCTTTCCGGATCGAGTCGCTGTAAACCGTCTCCAGCCTGCGGGTGACAAACCAGAAGGCAACGGGATTAATAAGCGTAACAGGAAGCACTTGTAAAAACTACAAGAGCAGAAAAGAGCGATTTCAAAAAACTAGTCCGACCATATGAAAGAGTCTTTTCATGAGGCGGTGACGGGAAGGCGTCTGGTGTCAAACGGTTTACAAGAAAAGAGGAGGGGGGGAGGATGAGGAACATATACAATTTCCACTCCAGACACTTTGAATCACACAAGCAGGCGACTTAAAGGAGCTAATTCTAACTTTAACGCTTTATACGAAGTCAACTTGTAAGGATAATTTGATGATGTCAATCCATAAAGTCTGGGTCTGAGCCGACACTCTGATGCGGTTTACCTCAGCAAACAGGGACGCCGTAATTGTCCTTTTAATCTTTGACAAGCAGAAGAAGGAGGATGAAAGTACGTGTAGCAGGTTTGGAAACAACTAAAGAAACTAACTGTATGTTGGTGAAAACTGATGGAGTCCTTGAGGTATTACTCGTCAATTTCACCTTTAGGATTCAGGATTATTGACTGTTTTTGAGGAGTTTTGACCAATTTTGGCCATTGGAAGAGAGAAAGTCTCCTGACTGAACAGGATTCACTTCAATTTTTCATATTTTACAAGCAGGAGAAGGATGAGAGTATGTGAATCAGGTTTGGAAAAAACTAAAAAACTAACTGTAAATAGGAGAAAAATGATGGAGTCTTTGAGGTATTACTCGTCAGCTTAGGATTCACCTTTAGGATTCAGGATTATTACGTTTTTTAACTGGTTTTGACCAATTTTGGCTGTTAGAAGAGACAAACTCTCCTGACTGAACTTCAATTTTTCATATTTTACAAGCAGGAGGAGGATGAGAGTATGTGTGTGAGGTTTAACACTGACTTGAGTCTTCTATATTGAATCACTGCATGTTAAAAAACTAACTGTATGTTGGTGAAAATTGACGGAGTCTTTGAGGTGTGAGGATTATTAGGAGTTTTTGAGGAGTTTCGACCAATCAGAATCGTTTATTTCACACAGTCAGGCCATTAGAAAAGAGACAGTCTACTTGATGAACCGGATTAATTTAATTATTCAGTTGTTTTTGTTGTGTCCTGTGACTCTGTGCGTACCTGAGTGTGTTTCCACAGGCCCTGATGAGCTGAACGATCTCCTTGTGCCTGAATCCCTCCACCGTGGCCTCGTTCACACTTGCGATGGTGTCCCCTGCACACACGCAAACACACACACACAAGGTCAGGATGCTCTTTAATCCACTGTGGATTCAATTAGAACAATCTGTAGTCAACTCTGGATCTAAACTAGGCCTCCAGTCCACACATGTGCAGAGCAAATGTGTGGAAAACCATGTGTGCATGTGGAGTTCGACCCGTCACTGTCACCTTAAAGGCAGAATCAGACTCAAATATGTCAGAGGCACATTTTCTTGTTTATAAGGGAGAGCCGCGCCGCTCTGCTTCAGGTCAATAGACGTGAAAGTGACTCTCAGGCGTGACAGCTGCCCTTTGTGAGCCTCAGCACAAAGCCTGTTTCCCTCTTTCGAAAAGCGCCGCCTAAAATCCGCTTGAAACGATGAAGTCAGCGCGTCCGCAGCAGAGACACGGGGAACAATAGAGCGAGCATGTGAGGAATGTAGGAAGTGAAACTGGAGTGACATATGCAGCTTTTAATGGAGGAAGGAGGCAGCGGCGGTAGACACCTAGTTTTGTCTTCCTTCTTCTGTTTCTTTTGACAGAGACGGAGCGCTGAGAGCGGCCCTGCGTGAGACCGAGCGGTCATGAGTTTGAAAACCACAGAGAATTTTTAGAAGCAGAGTTCGAGAGCTGCACAGAGCTGCATCTCATCTCTTGAATCTTTCTTCACCTAGCTGATAAAAAGCTGCTGCTGTTGACTTTTTTCGATCTGTAAAAGGCAAACTCTGGAGGAGAGTCATGTTTGCCAAATAAAAATAAAACATTTCGGGGCTCATCTTTGCCTCCCTCTGTCTGACACATGGGCGAGAGGAGCCAACAAACACACACGAGCTCAAACACTGACTCACTAACTTTGTTTGTTGACTGGAAAATGAGTGGGCACATGGACATATTTGTACTTCCCTAAACAGCACCAGTTCCTTTGTTGACACTCGGCACATGAATGTAAGCTGGCAAACAGAAAAAAGAACAAGAGCCGGACTAAAAGTTCAGACATACTCACTCCACTTCCCCTTGTGTCGACTAAAATGTTTCCAAGTTATTTCAGGTTTCAACAGAGCTGAAATAAAAACACAAACATTACACACTCACCGACTTTAAGCCCTGCAACCTGGGCTGGACTGTCCTCGTGCACCTTGCAGACAAACGTGCACATCTCCACTGAGTTTTGGTCCTGATGGTGGAGGCCGTAAGTCTGAAAAGAGAAAAGAGAATCATAAGAGACTGAAACACCTTCATCAGATCTTTCTTTGACTTTATCTTTGCAGGAATGTTTCCCACAAGGTGAAGGGACAAAAGAAGAGAGCAGTGAGCACGCAAATAATCAGATGGTTTTTCCTTCTGTCTCAATAAACAGAAACTGATCAATATCATAAAAGACGAAGGAAAAACTCTCTAATGTCTGTGCTCAAAGATTCCCTTAAGTTTCATAAATGACTTTGGAAGTTCAGATGTTTGAATTGAAGGTTCTTTCTTAGTGACTTGACATGTAATCGTCCAAAGTCTAACATTTTCAGGTACGTAGTTTCCTTTCTGTGTTTTATAGGGATGTTCACATGCTTCATTTTTAGCAGATATCAGCACATCTGCAAAAAATGTGTAATGCACGGATGTCATTCGTCAATATTGATCTGTATCCTCTCACTTCCTGTCTTCATCCCCATCATATTGGTGTAAATCTGGTAAGCTTTTACGCCTTACTATCAAATCAGAGAGAAGAAATTATACGGTAAAATAACTGAGGAATAATATGAGAAAGATCAGCAACATGCTGTTTGACACGTTCCAGAGACATTTTAAAAGATGCACCGCCAACTATTTAAATACTCAAACCTCATAGCTTGCTCAACGATCATGCAGGGGATGCAAAACAACATCAGTATGAGCCACAAGCATCAGCTAAAGAGATCTTTATCTGATTTTCACAGTCGTTGCCTCTTTAGTTTCGTTTTTAACCTACAGGTTCGTCTGACTCAGATCAGGGATCTCTTAATGAGGGTTAGAGACAGAGTATCAACTGAAAAAAACAACAACAGACTCTCACTGTGACGAGAAACGTCTCTGAGAGTTTAACCAAAAAAACTCTGGACGATACCCGCCTGAAATATCGAACCCAGACTGCCGAGGCTTCTTTATAACTTACAGAGTCTCTGTTTTGTGTTTTTTGCTGTAACATTTCAATTTCATGCAAGAGACTGATGACCCATTTACCTATAAAAATACTTTTAGCTGTTATACCGTCATTTTTTCCACATAGACAGACAGCTGTGCAGATGTTGCTCTACATCCACACACCTAAATAGTAAAAACTTGTCACTGAATTGTCTGTGATGGAAATTTGACGTCAATCTGTTGCTCCAAAATAACCTAAAAAGAAACCCTTGAATAGGTTCAGATCATCGCTGTGACTGTCCACCTGCTTGTTATGTAACGCATGTTTGGTCGTCTTGGTAACGTCTCTGTGACTTCCACGTGTATTTGCATGCTCTTCCTTATTTCAGTCACCGCAGTCTCCCTGCTGCTGAAGGTCACTGTAAGAAGACAAAGATGAACTTCCCCTCCGTCACACGAATCAGTCAGACTTCAGATCTCTCCTAAAAACTCCACCGGGGCCTTTCCCTCGACAAACAGGTCCAGAGTCAGACAGGGACTGTGTCATAAAAATAAGTAACAGACTTTCCATCTGCTCCAGTCGAGTGTCTCTTTAAAAAAATATCATCCAACTTGGAAAAGTGTCTCTTATGGAAATTTGACATGATCTGCAGCCTGGAAGATCAACACAGAGCATGCAAATGTGGCCGAGATGCAAATATTACATTTACATGCTGAAACGGGTCCACTGCACTAAAAAATGAGGAGGAACTATTTCTTTGTCTCTTTGCTGACCCTCACTCCGGTCCTCATGATCTCACTTCCCTTTGGCTGCAGGCGGACAGGAAGGGCGAGAACCTCCATCGAACACAAATAGAACAATCTGTCTCTTCCTCAGCGTAAAGACTTGAGAAACTCAAACAAACTCGATCCACATTTCAGAAAAAAAAACTATTTCAAAAATGGGAGTCTGCAGCCGAACAGAGCCAACATTGTGAGGCAGCGCTCCAGGGCCCGCGCAGAGATCCCACAGATATTGAGGTCAAATGTGTGAAGACTCTGCACGCCGAGAGTCAAGCAGGTATTATAAGGGAGGCGTGTGAGCGGACCGCACGGCTAAAAATACTCAATCTGGGAGAGAAAATATCATTCCCCGCTTCTCTGGAGTCATGGGACTAAAATCAGGGAGTTTTATGACTGATGGGCGACCTTTTACCCCCGCTGACAAACGCAGGGATTAAGAGATTTACGGGATAAGATGTACACGCTTAAGTCAGTCAGGCATCATCATCATCTGCTATAAGAGACGTGGCCGATCAGGGGAATCCTGTTAAATGGCACTCATGAGGTTAAGACCACCCTGCAGCCCCCGCCCTCTCTTAATATGACGCTTTTAATCCTCTTACCTGGATCTCGAAACCAAAGGACTCCTCGTCTTTCTTTTCCAGGACCACCACCTTCCTGGAAAACAAAGGAAACAGTCCATTTTATACTCACTCTGATGGTATAAAACAACCAGAAAGCAAAATAGCAACAAAATGTTTATCATGTTGGGTGAAGAAGCTCAAAATCAGAGCTGATATCTTAAAACAGCGACTCAAACAATCGTAATCACCGATAAGTCATTTAGTTGATCTTAAGTGGCAAAAACGTCAGATATAACAGGCTCTTATGTCTATTAAATGAGGATTTTCTTCAGCTTTAAACTTCTCAAGGTGACAACAAACATGACGAGCACACCACCAGTTTGCTCGTCTTGAAAGCTCCTATGAAGGGTTTTGTGAAACAGACTGAATCTGATCCTGATGACTGAAAGCACGCTGGAGAAAACATCTTTTTTTAACCTTTTAACAGGTGAAACATCTTGGCAGAATATTTGTTAGAAAATATCACCCTGACATAATAATCCAAATGCTGAATATCGGCCCCTTGATAATCGATCTTTCAGCAATAAGGCAGACACAGATTTTCTACTTCTTTTATTTTGTTCTCCGAAATAAAAGAACAAACTGCTGAGATGTTCACTTCTAACTTTAAATTCCTCCTCCTCTCTTTCTCTTCCGTCCTTTTCTGACTTGCATAACAGTTATCTCGACAGCCTGCACAGGATTTCTTCTGTTTCCACAGTGAGCTGGACGTCACAGCTGAGCGTACAGTACCAGGGTCTGTTACAGTCAGGGACGTCATCGAGAAAGTACCACTCATGTGGGGGCAGCAGCAGAGGAGCGCATTAAAATTCATGATCCACGCTGGCTGAAATGTGGAGGGGGCTTTTAGACTTTAAAGGAAAGGGATGACACCGAACAAGAAGGCGGGGGAGATTGAATGAAGACAGCAGAGAGGGGTTTTACCTTTCGGGCTCAGGTGTCTGTGTAAGGGGTTTCCACTTCTGCAGCCCGCCGCCCTGCCAAAACAAAAAAAGAAACAAGGAGCGTGTCAGATACCTGCGTGAGGTTGTAACCGGATTACTCATGAGGGATTCCCCCAAAACAACATTTCCCCGACACACCTACTGTACACCTCACTGCTTTAACTGGTAGAGCCAGTCCTGATACCGCACACGTGTGTGTGTGTATGTCGTGTTTGTGTGTTTTTTTAAGCCACTGGGCCACGAAAACATCACAGGTGAAACTAGAATTGCGTGTCTGGCTTCTCTTTGTTTACTTTGTGCCGTCACACCTAAATTTAACCTCAATTTTACACACAAACAAACTGCTCCTCCACCTCCTCAATGTTGACCCGTTTCAACGTCAGGCCTATTAAAAGAAACAATTAAGATGTGATGATGAGCGCTGAGCTTTTCACAATAAAAGCATTGAATGAAAACTTAAGTCAACGGCAGGTCAGGCCCCAGCCCTACCTGGCTGTGTAAATAAGGAAAGCATCTGTCCACTAAATCACTCACGAGCAATCTTCGTCTGTTCCGACTCCATCATGCTCATATGAAAGGCCGCTTTGTGCCACGCTCTCTCTGGTAGTAAAATGTTGCTTTCTTTATGTCCCAACACTTACAGAATTGTCCCGTCAAAGTCTCAATGACTGCATTTATTCCCCAAGTCCCACAGAGACCGACAGACGGGGGCGTCTGGAGCAGGATCCCTGAGCCTGTGTGCGCACAATGCACTGTTGTAGCCCTTCACTGCAGCCGCTGGACACTTATGTATATGTATGTAGGCTTGACGATAATGTGCGTCTGTTTACAGTACAAACTACTTTCAGCTGGGACGTCCACTTCTCCCATAAAGTCAAGTGAGAATCAGCTAAGCCTGATAAGACACACAGCAGCCTGGTTTACTGTAACCTACTGCTGTGATCCTGAACCGTGGAGCACAGAGGGGGGTCAGTCTAGACTCCTGCTCTCCAATTACAAGTCAACTTATCAGGGAAAAACAAGCTGTTATCAGGTTAAAAATGTTTGATTTGATTATTACAGATGAGGTTATCTTCAGTCAGGGTGCTCTTGTTTTGAAATAAAGCAAAAAATATCCATTAATCGATTAGTCGGGAACTGTTTTTTCATTTCTTGGCCACAAAAATGTCTCAGATTTAAGTGTTCCTCTTATGTAAAGCAGGTTACACAGATCTTTTACTTCAACCACTTGTCGCTTATTTAGTAGGACTGACTGTGCGGGACCCCTGTGTTCCTGACACAGCAATAAAGACCTCATTCAGAGTTTGGGTGGTCCTTACTTGCCCTCAGATGGACTACTGTTGCTCCCACTGAGATGCCCTCTGAGATACACTGTGAGCAGCATCTCCAGACTCACAAGACTACACGTCTGAGCAGACTGCACTCATCATCAGGGATTTAATGTTTCACTTTCAGACACACGGGTTACGCAAAGTTCATCCACCGTCTAGCTATGATTAAACATTAAATTCTCCTTCTGATGGGAAAATTAGCCACGAAATTCATTCACCAGAAAATACCGACGAAACCTCTTCTCTGGCTCTGTCTGTGTGTGTGATCCCATGATGAATGTTCTGCCCTCAGACTGAGAAAATCCTCACGAGTTTAAATATCTCTCATGAATATTTCAAGCTGAGGTTCTTGTGTTGTAAAACCATTTCACAACTAATGCCTTACTCCTGTAGGACATCAAAAATTCAACACAAAGAGGTGAAAACCTTAAGAATAACATCCAGAAGTGGCACTTCACATGAGCCACTGAACTTTTCTGCCTTTACATGAGAAGAAACAACAAATATGACAATTTAGGACTTGGTCTGACTCACTTTACTTCAATTAGTTCATTCCAAAAAGTTGGACAAAGCACCATAAACCCTTTTATTATTATGTAAATTCTGTACAGATGTAAATATGATGCATTCACATATCTTGTTTTAAGTCAAAGTTTCTTTATTTTTCAACTTTTGTCTTTTTTGTATCTATGCTGCTGTAATTTTGGAATTTCCTCCATCTTATCTTAAACTTTGAAATAAAGCATGTCATGATTTATGCTTAAAAACGACGAAAAGTGCCTTTTTTGCACCTGCACACCAGCATAAACTAGATTAAAAAGAACCAGTAAGTCTAGAGGTCTGTCAGAATCAATGAGGACTTTGTGTCCAGGTTTACTTTGGTGGTGCGTTTAATGACACAAAGTAGTGATACAGGTGATCCAGGTGAACGAAAGGTAGTTTTAAAAAGTCTGAAATGATTTTTTTTACCTTCTTAAAGTTTCTGGGTAGGGTCCCTCCAGAGTAAGCCAGAGTCTTGTAGTTGTAAACCTCTGAGGAGTGTGTTGGTAAGTCTTTGGTCCTGCAGCTGTCCGATTTTGAAGAGGGGAAATAAATGTCGTCTTGAGATGCGGGTCCAGAGGTGTCTGGTCCGCTTGAGTTCACCTTCTTCAGCCTCCTGAACGTCATGTTGAGCTCACAAACGATGTACTCAGAGTTGAAAAACAAGTTTATTTTCCCGTCAGCCGAAAAAAAAGAGAGAGAAAGAGAGAGAGAGAAAGCCGCCGAGAGTAACAGATGCTGCCGGGTGTGTTTGAGCCTCAACGTGGAGTCAACTAAACTACAATGTCACTTGAGTGTTTCTTCTGAATAGGCTGTGGGCGGAGCTTTTGTTGTGAAGGACACAAATGAGTGCCAATAGCGGTGTTGACGTGCATCCTTTATGCTGCCTTCACGTGTAACTCGGACGTTTATGCTCCTCATTTCACAAATAAGCGTTTGTTTTGACATCAGATATGCGCGATTTTTTCTCGAAAATTGGAAATGAAAATCAAAATAGTGAATAAAACATAATTTGATTTTCATTTTAAAATAATTTTCAAAAATAACGATTCATTATTTGATTGTTTGATGATAAAATAAGTTGTTTAAAACGATTTTTTCCCCCAAACTAACATTCTTTTGTGAGAAGTTCTGCTTTCTTGACTTCAGCCTTTTACAAAATATTTAGCAAAATATTTAGGAAGAATACTAACCAAATGTGACACTTAAGACTTTTGAAGAGGTGAACTAAATTATTTTTTTACTATTTTATCAATATTTGTTGTTGCCTTCACGTGCAACTCGGACGTTTATGCTCCTCATTTCAGAAATAATTGTTTGTTTCAATATCAGGAATAAGCATTTATTTCCCTTGAAAACTGGAAATGAACCATAAAAGTGAATAAAACATACAAGGTTTACAAAAATGTGGCTTCTTATTTGATTGTTTGATGATAAAAAGTTTCCTTCTGTGAGCATTTCTGATTGACTTCAACCTTATATATATATATATATATATATATATATATATATATATATATATATATATTTTTTTTTTTTTTTAAAGAATACTAACCAAATGTGACACTGAAGACTTTTAAAGAGATGTACTGGAGATTTTACTCAATATTTTAAAAAAATTGAGGCATTTTTGAGACTTTTTATAGTCCAAACAAGCCAATAATAAGCTTGCATATGACTTGTGCATGGTTGTAAATCAGCATCCTGAAAGCCCAAAACTTAAGTTATCCTGGTGCATGATGATACGAGTTTTGTATTTTAGTTTAACATTCAAGATTTAACTGTTTTAACTGCAATAAAATAGTTTGTGTTGCTTTTAAAATGTGCACATCCTTTGCAGAAAAGGTCGAATAATGACTAAAGCAGAACACTGTGTGCTTCTTAAGCTCTTTTGGGCTTTTCTATAAATAGACTTCACAGAGAGTGATCTTACCTAAGGCATGTTTGACATATTGCTTTAATTTGGTGTCTTATTTTATAAGCAAACAGCTGCGTAAATCACCCTGAGCTGCACAGCTGTACTCCTGGCAAAGTTTGGAAATCTACAGTATTCAGTCAGAGGTAGTAGTAATTTTCCAAACAGACTATGAAGGCACCTTTTTTTTAATTTTACTGACAGATTTATCTGTAAAAAAGTAAGAAGTAACATACTACCCAGGAAAAAACGAGTTTATCTTCTCTGTGAAAACAAATAGATAAAACTGTACAACATATTAAAGGTAAAAGTTGGGGCATAAACTTATTTTCAGTCAGTCAGTAGAACATAATACTGTCACAGACTAAAAGAGGATGACGCCCCCTTGTGGAAGAAAAATAACCCATCACAAATCGACTGAAGGTTTGGACTTAGAGGCAAGTTAATGTCACACACCAAAATAAAATGAAGTCCAGATGATTTATTAAAATCTCACTGTGTAATTTCAGGCATTTTACACAAACATCATCCAGATACACTGAAATGATTTGACTGTAAGAGCTTTTAAATAAGAACTACGTACATTTAATCTAAACCTATAACTTCAAATCTGACTGATCTGCAATTTATAAGTTAGAAGTGAACATTTCTCAGCTTGTCACGCAAAACATGTACAGCATTTTTCATCCCCTTTGCACACACGTACCCACACTCATACACACACTCACACGCAGGAACAGCAGATTAGGCATGCTGCATCAGATCAACATGCAGCCCCTTTTGGCAATGATTGTCCTATCACTGTTCCCAAAAACACTTTCAAGTATCTTCTGAAATGTACAAAAAGGTAAAATTGCTTTAGCCACAATCTGGATATTACATTATCAGTCCTTCATTTCTGGTTACAGACAGAGAGAAACATATATTTTCCTTAAAAGCCACAACAAAACAAAAATACTACATGGTTTTATGCCCATAGTGCATGCCTACAAAACGCTCTGTAAGTCCTCTACTTAAGCAATAACATAAAGAATGGATTGTAAAGGCACATTAAGCTGGATATTCTTCTTTAGCATGATATTCGCTTTACTGTAACCCATTAAGAGTTCCTACAGAGCAACATTTCCACTAACGGAAGCAGAGAGACAGAGGCAGCGAGGAGTGTCGAGTATTGATAAGAACAAAGAGTTAATTTGGTCATTTTAGCCGCAGCGCAGACATATCTATTCATACAGAGCTATGCTTCGGTTACATGTTCACATACATGCAGGAAAGTGTCAGTCTTCTATGTACATGAAATCAGAGTGCATGTGGCTGCTTCTGAGCGGTGGGCTTTACTTGAAAAATCCAGATGATTTGGCCTGAGGAGCCATCATCATACAGGCTTGGTTCTTGTGAGTGATGTGAATCTGAAAATAAGAATTCAATAAACAGTTTAGGAGAGATATTTGCTTTTATGTAAATTGTGTTCCTTGTCTTTAGTTAAGAGAAAACTACATCTGTGTGTTTTATACCGTGCAGGGCGGCTGCATCCACGGCTCTCCATCTATCTGCATCGGTAAGGCTTTCTTGGTCCTGAGGGTAAAGAAGAGAAGGATCAACAAAGTGCTTCAGCAAACAAAACATCAACCCTAATGTGTCATTAAAATACCAAAAGAAAGCCAGTAATTGTTGTTATGTTAAGTAGCAGTGAAGTATTATCCTCAGCAGGTCATCAAAGCCATTGTCAAGACTAAAGACTCAAAGCCTGGCAAGTCTGAACATGTCTGTTTCTCACCTGATGGTGAGCTGTGTTGTTTTGGCCAGCCTCACGGCGCTCTTCAGGCCTGTGTAGATCTGACCCATCTCCATCGCTCCTTCGAGACCGACCACCTCTAACCGACGATCACTGAGATCTGAGATATATTTAACATAGAAGGAAAGCATTACTAAGACTGAGATAACCCCCATAATTACAGTCATGACATTTATGACCAGGCTTAAAAAGACAATAATGGACCCATTATAAAAACACATACTGCTATTTAAACCATTACTGGCGCTTTAATATTGCTCTACTTGCTCATATTTGTATTTTACGACTGGATTGAGCAGTTAGGGTGAATAATTAGGTGCCTTGGTATTGCTGGTGTAAAGGGCAATCGTGACTGCAACACAAAAACAAAAACTTCAATCCTAAAATCAGAAAAGAATGAAAAATAAACACTGAAATAATCTGATTTGTGTTACCATGGCGTGCGCTTCAACACTGACCAATCAGAGGCAAGAAGGGCTGGGGCTTCTATAATTTACGTTGTGATGTTAACAATAACAGTGAAGCCCTGTGTAAAGAAGAAAGCTAACCACACTTGTATTTTAGAGATACAGCTTCCATGTCTCCTTTATTTCCTTATAAAAATGCTGATAAAATAGCGCAAACTGAAGCAAATGAGGCAGTCTAAAACAGACCGCACAGGGACAACTTTTGTTACCTAGCAACAGTAAAACGCTCGTGAGAAGCCCTCTGAAATCAGGCTGTGGGCGCTGACAGTGTTCAAAGACAACAATCGTGAGCACAGCCCTTGAAAGATACTAACTTTGGTGTAATTTGTTCAACTTTAATTAAATTAAACTAAATAGATTCGCTGTGCCAGGTGAGCTCAACATGCTCAGCCTAAAAGTAAACGGACAAAGCTGATGTGAAGCAGGTAAGAGAATAATATTCATTTCTTTTATGACAGATAAGAAACTCAGGTTTAAAAAAATAAAATAAAGTGTGACCTTGTTTGTGCTGCCCTCAGGTGGTCAGGAAAAGTACTCAAACAGGTTCAGAAGAATAATACACAACCTAAGAACATCACTGAGTTCCCTTTAGATGTATTAGCACATTTAAGCGACCAACCCTCTTCCAGCAGCAATTATTTTCAGACCATTTAGAGGAGACAAAGCGTGTTGTCACCCCGTTAAATTACACAGGCTGCAGTTTCCTCTTCACAAGTCTGGTAGTGGCAGACACGGAGGAGCGGTGGCATTTATTTGAGGTCTTGTTAGTGTCAAACTGACTAATGTTAGTACTATGTAAGCATTCCTATGCTCTGTTTTGGCCTGTCAGCCATTTACCGCTGGACAGGTTCTGGCTTTATTGGACAGGCAGCAGTTTTATTGGACAGCTGTGTTAAAAATATCTACCTGCTGTAGCAAGAATTGGTTCTGTCCCCAGTGAAGTTTGTTGACTGTAAAAACTAAAACAACAAGAACTCTGAATTTTAATATGAAACCAGTGAAAATCATGCAATATTAAAATCTGTTGTCTACCACAGCAACAAACAGATTTTTGAGTTATTGAGTTACAGTTCAGAAAAAATCAAACTCAAAATTTCTGAACTTGAATACAGAAATGCCCAAATTCTGATGATTACTTTCATTTACACTCTTTATACTTGGTTGAGGCTCATTTACCATGATTTACCATGATAAGAAACACAACTTTTCATGTTATTCTAGTTAGTCAAGATACATCTGCGCAGGAACACAGGTGGCATCACTGTCTCTTCCCCCTCTGTTCTCGGAGATAAACCCAATGCCTGTATCTTCACGAGATGCCAAAGCGACTTCAAAGAACATCAGTGTTTGCCAACATGTGAGTGATAACAGCGGTGGAGCGGCTGCTTGTGATGGTGGGCGGAGTAAAGACACATACAGAGCAGACAGGAAGATAATCCTGCGCCTTCCTGTGCATCTGTGGGTGTGAACATGTGTTTTAGAGCCTAACTGCTGTGAAATAATGAGAAAAATCTCTTTTTCTCTCTTTCTATCTCTCTTTTTTACTCGACCACCTCTGCCCTCTTCTTCGCTCCCAGACAAAATACCTTGTGAGGTCACTTTCAGGACTTCTGGGTCGACGATCACTTCAGGCTCTTCCTGATTCGCCAGACCCTTCGAGTCGGCCTTTTTGGTCTCACCCCATAGATTGGAGCCGCCGTGCATGCTGGGAATGTTCAAGACAGCGATGCCCTCTAGAGACAGGCCGCTGAGATCCAGAGGAGTACCACAGCACTAAAGGAATAACACATTAGAGAAGACAGAAACAGAACTTGCAGTCGTAGTAACAGAATTTCAGCTTTCTCACCTCAATTGTCAGACTTTCGCTCAGTTTCTTGCAGGAAGCAGAGATGGTTTCTGAAGTGGCGAATTCGAAATACCACAGCTTGTTCTTCATTCTGCAGTCGGGGAAAAGAGTCCGTTTTTTTTTTCGGCTTGGAGTGATATTTCATTTTCACAGAACATTTTATGCTTTCAGCACACAGCTCTTCAGAAGAAGGAGGAGGAGTCAGGCCGCAATGTTTGCTGCTACAGACACCTGCTGCCGCCACCTGCATTCGCTTTTTTTTAAGGTTTGTTAAAAAAAAAACACATTACAGCCAGCAGGGAAAATGAAAGTAAAACTGAGGTCGAAAAATTCAAACATCACTCCCCAGCTCTGCTTTTTTTTTGTTTGTTTTGGAGCAGTGTTTTATGTTTTGGTGAGAGGTTTCTCTCTTTGTTGGTGTGTTTTTGAAGAGAAGTCCAAGAGAAAAAATATAAAAAAAAGATAAAAGCGTACCTGCTGTTGAATTTCTGGGGATGTTTCTCCCTCATTGTGTGAAACCGGTGAGCAATGGAGGCATCCTGTCAATACACCACGACACAAAAATGACTCATAGAAGCCAAACTGAAATAGAATCACTTTCTCTTGTGTTTAATATTTTGGACAAACTCACAACTCCGATGGAGAAGTAGTTGTTGATGATTTCATACGGCACCGGATCGCCTTTCTCTTGATTCTCATCTGTGATAACCTGAACACTCCAGCGGTCCATCAGCACCTGAGAGCTCCCCTCAATATCTTTAAGAATACGGCTCAAATCCTCGCCATCATAACCTTCAAAAAGGAAACACACACTCTACATGATTCGTGTTCTGATGTGCAACATTGCAGAATAAATGATTTGAAGACTCCTCAACAAAAGATAAGCCGCAAACTGTTTCATTATTTCCAGAATCAGGAAATTTTTCTAGCATCGTTCGTTTCTCACCTCCTCCCCATCGCAGACATCGCGCAAGGTCATTTCCTGTGCCAAGAGGAAGCACAGCGACAGGTGGCCGCACTAGCAGACTGGCTTTGTCTGATTCCAAGGGAAAGGAAAAAGAGAGAAATGCGTCATAGTGATTTTTGGAAGCTGACGTCTGTCTTTTGCAGCACTTCATCCAACTATCTCACCTATTGCGTCAAGGATCCAGCCAACTGTGCCGTCTCCCCCGCACACTAAGATCCTGTAATCCTGCAGATTTCTGAAGAAGCTCAGTCTGAAGGAGAAAAAAAAGACGGGAATGATATCAAGAGATGGATTCAGGGAGTGAAAGTTCTCTATAATTAGGCTTGTGTATTTTAATCACATTTTCCTTTTTCACGCTGAGTGTAGTCTGTTGGTACTCACCCTGGTCCTGGTCCACCGTTTGAAAGGTTGTAAACCTGCCGTGGATTCAGTAAATACTGAAATTTATGCAGGACTCTGAAATATAGAAAAACAAACTGAAAAGAGTGTTTGTAAAAGACGTTATTTCATCTATTAGACGTTCTGTTCGGGACTTACCTCTCTCCTTGTTTGCCTCCACTTTTAGGATTGACAAACACTAGAAGAGGATGAGTGTTTGGCACAGGGCTGATCTGTGAAATGATGGAAAAACAACGCAATTATCACACCCGGGTATAAAGAAAGACTTGATAAAAGGCACTTTTTGGGTAATGAATACCTGAAGCACTTGTCCATCAGGAGTTGTATTCAGCTCGCTATCATCAGCCGAGCTGGAGCAGCCGTTCTTTACATTGTTTGGTCTTTCCTTGGGGGATCAGAACAAAGACTCAGAGTGAATACACGAGGAGAAATGTGTCAGCTTTTCTCGCCTTTGAAGACAAATCTGTACACACTGTAGCCGTCAAAATACCGCACAGGTGAGAACGGTTTACCAAAAACAAAAAAACATCCTGCGGCTGATGTTGTGTTCTTGTTGTGTTGGTGTGACAGGCGGCGTTTGTACCGCACATGTTGCTTGAGGATACTTTTGTACCTTTATGATAGGGTATATCGCCCATGGAGGCAGGATATGGTCTCTGTGCAGCCCACAGGTGCACTCCGTCGGCTCGAGTTCGGCACATTCATCGTGACGCTGTTAAACAAAAACAGTGACAGATTACATAAAGCATGAACAGCTTTGACCTTTAACAAGATCCGAATTTGTCTTTTTTTTAAAAGGGTTTTTCCATCTCTGCTTTAATTACCGCTCAGACAGGAAAGTTAGAGAAATGGATGAGAGGGAAAAAAAGACTTACAGGGTGAATTTGGGCCTAAACACGCCAGAGGATTAAAGAGAACATTTTCTCTTCGCTGCAGAGAAAGTATTAACCTCTATACTTCACAAAAATCAGTCACAGATGAAGATGCCTCCTCACCATCGTGTGGCACCACACACAGTGTTTGCCCGTTAAGCCTTGGTAGCTCTTGATCTTCTTCTGGCACTTATCACACCTCGAGTCACAGTTCCCACTCACCCAGTCGTGCGCTGGAACCTGAGATGTGTGATTCAACGTTTACATGAGAGGCCTCAGAGACAGGACGACATCTTATTTAGGCCGTGAGTGTCAATATTAATGCGGTCATGGAGACACTTTACCCCCGTTTCTTTCTTAGACTTCACATACGTCTTGGTGCAGGGGGCCGGGTTCCTGTTAGCGCAGCGTCCATGGACTGTGTATTTACAGCCTGCAGAAGACGACATATAACCCAGATGAAGTGTGAATCTACACAAAGGTGAATATACAATCTTGTAGGTTAGAGACCCCAGTGAATAAATATGAAGGTTTCTCTGCAACAAAATTAAGAATTAATACACTGCAGTAACTTCTAGAGTCACTTTTAGAGTTTTATTTTACTCTTGCATTGAAAATAGAAAATGCAATGTGGTGTAATATGAAGGAAAAGCCTCTGATCGAGCGAATGGTAAACATTTCAATGGATCTAAATGCCAGACTTGTCTATAAGCAGAGAGGTAATGTCTGTTTGTGTGCATACAATGGACCACAAACTATAATTATGAGAATGGTAGAGGTCAAGAAGAAGAAATAACGGTTGGAGGAGACGTGAAGTTGAGGAGTAATAAGACCAAGTGGGTGAATTGTTCAGGTTACTAGTTTGTTACTGTAACTTAGAGGAGATACAGTTGAGGAGATGTGCAAATATTACACAGATCTGTTTGTGTTTCTGACTTAGCAGAGTCAGAGAGTCTGAAGCCCTTATGTGACAATATGACAGGATGTTGAAAAAAAGGTGTTTTTTTTAGCTTCACTGAAACAGCTTTCCCTCCAAATCTGCGCCATTGAGTCTTCTAAAGGATTAAAAATTAACCTTCTCTTTCTCCAGATGGTATCTGTGTTGTAAAATAATATAACCTGCAAGTCGCACTTTAATTGTCAATAATGTCTCGACTCTTATGTGATGAATGTCAGCACAGTGTCGCCCTCCTCTGGCGACTCAGGACACTCACAGGTGCAGCACAGTCCTTGTTTCCTCAGGCCCAGCAGCATGCTCTGACACACGTTGCAGTAAACCGGCTTGTTGAAATGTTTCATCCTCCAGAGGTGCTGCCCGTCCTTCTGGGTCACCTAGTCATTGAGAGAAAGAGAACAGCGTGGTTTGCTGCAATTTCCGTGTTTCTACCTTTAACATTTTGGAGGCGCTTATGTGTAATTTTTTTGTACATTTTTAGACTAAGGTGCTCTAACCCTTTCATTAACACATTGGGGATGAAGCCTGCATTTCACAGTTATTTTTCGCACCCACTCATGACTAATCGTGCCTTAATGAGATTGCTGATTATGCAGTCCATAGTGGCTCTGCACATCGTGACACACAGTGTGGAACCGAGGCTATTCAAATCAACGCCGACTTTAATCTGAATTTCGCAACACAAGATTATATGGTTGCTTCCAATCTGTTTTTTGTTTTTTTTAAAGAGCAACCGACGCTCTTATCCAGATTACACTCCATATTTTCCCTGACATTACGCTTCAGCCTGTCAATCACCGCATGAGGCATTGTGGGAAGCAGAAACACAGTCACTGTGAGGGGGCTGAATTCATGCACCCCAGGCTTCCAATGATCATTGGCGGCTAGAAATAGCCCGAGGGGAAGTCCCTGGCATTGTTGCAGAGGCCAAACCCAGTGACAGAGTCCAGTTTGTAGTATTAGATCATGCAGTAATCAGAGAGACATGCAGGTTACCAGTAAGTGGCTTTTATGTTCATTTAACAACACCCACGGCATAAAACGTATCAGTCCTTTAGTCTGATATATACACTTAATATGATTATCACTCTTTTCTGTATTCAAAAGTAATGCATCAGCCTTAAGATTGCTATATTATGCAGCCACTCAGTGAAATGTGGGAACAGCTTGTGCAGAGTAAATGGAAAACACTAAAGCACTCTGATGGTGCAGAGCTTGCATGAGAAGAGATGACATTACCACACCCTGTGTAACACTGAGTCGGCAAAAAAAGCCCTCAGAGACGGGGAGGAGGCAGGGGACAGCGGGGAGGCGTGCAAGGCCACAGTTTCACAAGAGCAGTAAAAGTAGGTTTTATACCACTTGGTGAGACACCTGCTATAAAAATGAAATACATCTGAGATAGACTTCTGGAGCCAACACCTGATAGAAAAGAGAGACAATCTGCTTCTCACTTACCTTCAAACCCAGCAAGACCAGCAAGGGAACATTGTTCATGCCCCCCTCCACCCACTCCTCTAGGGACACGGTGCCGCTGCTGTCAGCATCGATCGCTGTCATCATGTCCTTCAGAACCTAAAGAAATGCCATTTGATTGATATTATCCAATCAGCAAACACATTGATATTATTCATAGGTGTCCACATTTTTTTCTCATCCGGGCCCTGCATGGTAATCTAATTATTTTTTAAAGGTGCGGCCGAGCTTATCATCTCGCCTGCCCTAGCAGATGAATAACAAGTACTGCCATATACTTTATCTATTGGCGTTAAAGATATCTGTAGCAAACAAACGCCACCCTCTGTATGAACATTTGAAAGGTCTCATTTAATGTTATTTTTAAACCTTTAGTCTTTTAAAACAGGGTTTGAAGAGTTAAAAATACTCACATAAGCACTCCAGGCCAGAAAATAAGCAACACTGTGTAATTAGTATTTCAAATCTAACACCACAGAGAACATTGTGTCTTCTAGAGAGAGTGGGATAGTAAACAGAGTTTTAAAAAAACTATTGAGCTTAGTGAATTTGTTTACCTCCACATTGCAATATTATGTCAAAAAACAGCTAGTTAAACAAAATCAAACCCATTACCGGACAGACTTGGCCCATGCCCAATACTTATAAACAACACACATAATGAGGCCATGATGGCAGCTTATTCCAAAGCTTTGTTTTTGCTGTCCAAACAAACAGACTGAATGCAGTTTTCAAAAATATCCACCTAGGAAGGTGTAATTGAAAACCTCGATTTTCTGTGACCTAGATTGCCAAGGCTAAAACGCACAGAAAAAGCTGGACACAACCCATCCTCTGACTTCTTTATCCACGCAGTGATCTGAGTGGTCAAGGGTGCTATAATTATGAGGCTCTGCACCGATTGGCTGTCTGATTTCTGTCAGTGTTCAAGAGTGCAGAAAATTGCAGAGGTGGAAAAACACCAAAACAAACTTGAAGAGCCAGCCCCAGTACTCTCCACATATGACCCAGAACAGTGATGGGCACGGCAGTTCTTTTAGATGTACTGAATCACTAGAATCAGTTCACTAAAAAGATTTGTTCACCAAATCACCGAGTCATGGAGCGGTTGGCGGGAGAAGCCTGCGACTCCGACCTCTTGAACTAATACACAGCTGAACAGGTTTGTAAAAATGAACTTGTTTATAAGTCATGATGTTTTAAGTGCTATAAGTTCTGCTCAGTAAATTGGGGTCAGTGAGTGATTCGTTCACACCGTTCCCTCGCAAACCACTGCAATGATAGAGTGCTGCAGGTTTAATGCAGTACTTGTTACATGCTGTGTCCTATTGTATGCAAGTTGTTGTTGTGGCAATTTAGCAGCAAAAAAAAAAGGTAGTTTTGTCTGACAAAAATGATTCCAGAGAGTGTAGTTCAATGCGTGATTCGTTCACCACAGGTGTTGGTGCATGCGGTCTCGACTGGCAATGCTGACTGGCAATGCTGTTTCTCACTTCAGCTCAACTGAAACGAATCACTCTAGGAAGTGATTCGGTTCAGTACAATCACTTAAAAGATTCGGTTCTTTTGAAAGAATCGTTCGTGAAGGACACAGCACTAATCCAGAATCTAACCCTGAACTGGAGGAGGTAACTGAGCACTTGGCACGTTTGGTTCTAACTCTTGACACCTTGACACTGAAACCCAGAAGTGAAACTAAAACAGCGTGAGAAGAAGTTGATCTGCTCGTCGAGTAAGAGCAGTTTTGGATGCCTGGTATACAAATCACTCCTGTTGTTATGTCACCTCAGGAGTGAATTTGTAATCTCCACATAGGAGATACGTTTTTTTTCTGTAAGTGATAATGTCCCAGCAGGTGAGCCAAAGAAACAATCCCTAAACTTCCATATTCTGGCAGGAATGTAAGAAAGTTTGCAGTAAAACGCTGTTTTCCATAAAAAGGCCTTTAATACTCTCATGGCTGAAAGAACAGTGTGTGCAGGCTGTAATGGATCTGTGGGACAATTTCATTTGAGGAAAGAGCTCTCAGAGACTTACCGGCCTCAGCTCTGACACATCCCAGCCGAGATATTCAGCAGCGTGCATCATCTGAGCAATAATCCTATCCACTTCCTGTTCAGAAAAAAAAACAACAACAACAAAAAAAGACTTAGTCATTCACAAAAAAAAAAAGATTACTGTAAGATTTTCTCTTAAACTCACAGAGCTATCGAGGACTCCGTTGCCGTCTCTGTCATACAGCTTGAAAGCAACTACAGAGAGAGAGGAGTTTAAAAGAGGACGGATCAAGTCAACATTCATATTATTTTGGGCATCATAGAAACAAAGGACTCACACTCCAGCTTGTCTCTGGGCTGGCCATCCTCCAACAGGGAGAAGTAACATGACACATCCTTCAGAAAGACCTCCTCTACAGGGGAGAGATGGAGGAGAGAAAGAAAGAGAGCTGGCTGTGAATCCTCTGGTTACCATATCTGCACAAATAGTACCTCACAGGCGTGTGGTGATAAATGAACGTATGCCAAATAGGCCGTGGCGTAAATTGATAAGAGCCCTGCTGCAAAGTAGCGTGGAGGCAGTGAGTTGTGTAAATACATGGTGTGTAATCTCACTGGCACTGTCTTCCTGGGTGGGTTCAGAGTTTTGGAAGGAGCGGAAGAGTCGCTGGCAGAGATCCACAGGGAAGTCCTCCACTTCTAAATATGTCTTCAGAAACAGACGAAAGCCTTCTTCATTGATGCACTGGAATGAAATGAATGGAAGAGCGTGAACCTGAAGTATTGACACCGTTTGAACAGCATGTGTGTTAACTTCTGCATTTTCAAATCTATCTCTGACAGCACGGGAGATTACAATCACACTGCTGTCATCGTGAGAGTATGATGTATTTTACATGTGCGATTTTTCCCACAGCGACACGCTTCATTTGAGTTCGGGAGGCACATGAGAGTATCGAGTAGGAGGGGGTTGGATGACTTTTGAAATCCCAAGAGCTTTCTCAGAAACGCATAATCCATTATTAATAAGTACAAATATCTCCACAGTTGCATGCTTTTCACGTGACAACAACACACACACAAAAAAAACCCCAATCTCCTGATTCAAGATTCTAGCCCATCTGCTGTGTCTCTCTCATATGATAAAATGCTGTAGGGCTAACAAGCTAAAATCCCTTGATAACAGTGAACCACAAACCCATTTCTTGTTGACATTATTCCATTTTTCTGATACCCTGCAGAGCTGCCCCAGTAATACACAATATCACTGCAAGACGGTCAGATTTTGAGACAAAGAAACCTGAATTATTTCTCTTTTATTTCCAAAAACCTTCACTGATGAGTGTGTCTTATTAGCTCATCTGTCTCTACTCCCATTAAAAGGACAACTCCCATCCAATTATCTCATCAAAATTTATGCGATTAATCTAACGGTCAGAAATTACAGCATTGGCGTCTTGCGCAGATGAGTTGGCAGTGACATCTGCTGACGTACAGTATTGGAAAGATGTCTTTTCGATCACATTTGGGCTTACACTGCATGAGGGCAGCCAGCACACTGTTCTGAGAGGCCCTGCTGCGTGGGCAAAACCAAGGAGTTAATTTACATTTGAAACCTCGCTTGAACGCGCTGACGATATTTCATGCGGACAGCTTGGGGGGCTGATCGATGGGTTGAAATCGAATTAATCAGCGTAAGTCAATTAATAACTGCCTATTGTACATAACCCAAATGCTCATTTCTCACTGTTATGCTCTGCTGGGGGGTTTTAATGCAGCTCTGTTATGAGCCTCTAAGCTGTATGAGAGTTTTGAAGGAGAGGAAATGATGCTGAGCAGCAGGACACAGTGTCCCCTCACCTCTCCGTGTCTGTGCCGGGCCAGACTGCCATCTGCATCAAATTCCCTCAGCACGTCTTTCACCTTCAAGCTGCAGTCTGAAAGTAAAGACACACAGGTCACTCAGGGATACACATGTCCTACTCTAATTCACGGAGCTCTCAAAATATCCTCATATCACTCAACTGACTTCAATCCACATTTCTGAGACTGTCATATGAAAACGAATGAAAGAGACATGCATGCTTAGCTTAAAAAAAAAATTGTGGCAGACTGCTACCTCTTCTAGATATGAGATTCATCATCATCATGAGTGTGTATATGTGGGTGGAAGTGGAAGTAAAGGAGAGGTGTAAAGCGCTGAGAAAGCTGCCTGCCTGCCTGCCCGCCCGCCTCCCCGTCTGTACTCACATTCAATGTACTGCTGTAGCTGGATGAAGTCGACAGGGCTCAGTTCCTTCACCTCTGGGTTTGTGGGGGTGGACATGGTGCCTGCTTCTGCACTAACTGCCTGCCTGTGCGCAGCAGAGAGAAACAGTGAGATGTAGACAGAGAGAAAAGAAAAGGTGGGTGCTCGGTAGCCGGCTTCTTTGTAAAACATAAAAGCATGGCTGGGAGCGAAAGATAGCATCTTCCAACTCGTGCTGTGAAAAATCCATGATTGTTGACAGGGAGAGTTACACTCAACACCCACTGTTTGAGATATCAGAGGCAAAGCAGAAACTTCAGGACACAATAAATGGTTTTAAAACGTTCTCTAACAATTACTGTGATCTATGTTCATAGAAACAAAGTCTTACAGTCAAGATATACTGTTGTTTTTGTATAATGTTTACACAGAGATGCAATGTCACGAATTGATTTAGTATTTTTCATTAGTAATCACTCAGGTAGCTATCCAAACTGGGCCAGAAGTCTAGTATAAATTATGTCAGGCTACAGACACCCATGGCACTTCAACTCTGGGGATTCTCCGCACCCAGAATCTCCTCTCATAAACTCACTGGCCCATATTTGATTTATAAAATAATAGGAGCTGGAAGTGTCTGCAGTAGTTAGCCGGTACAGGGTGCAGTGAAGTGTTTTAAAAAGCTTTCTAAGAGGCTGAACAAACCAAACTGGCTTGTCAAGGGACCTTCCCTCTGAACAATAAGAAACGACTCATCACTATAGAAAGCTTAGAGTGAGGATGAAATCTGAATCTATGAGAAAATCAGACTGACACGTTGTTCTCAGACCTGAAGCATGGAGTTGATGTACATTTGGCAGTTTGTCAGTATATTCCTGGGAGACAAACATGCTGTTAAAAACATAATGGAAGGAGATGCTCCGATGACAGGAAAAACAAGACAAATGTATGGAGCATTAATCATTGAAGAAAGAGGTGGAACTAGTTAATGGAGGAAGAGAAAGTGGCCCATCCAGACATCCTGACTGATGTTATTTGTTTTGCAGATGCATAACTGTTAAATGTTGCAACAGCATCTGTAGGATCAATCTAAACAAACGTTATAATATGACAAATATGGCGGAAAAAAAGGAAAATGAGTGATAATTTTAGCAGAAAAACCAGGATCTTTGCCTCCAGGTCTATCACATCAGCACCAAGAAACAGGCTCTCTGATTTGTTCATGTTAATCCAATTTACAGACTTTACGGTTCTTTGCTTCCTGTGACTACGGCTGCAAGAAAGTATTGAGAAATTTAAGAACTGTGTCATTATTTTTGTCATATCAATTCTCAACAAGATTATGTACAGATATATCAATCAATCAGTCAGTCTTTATCTATATAGCACTTTTCATGCACAACCATGTAGCACAAAGCGCTTTACACAGAAAAAGGAATAAAAGAAACAAAGAATACCCAAATCTACCCCAGTCCAACCCTTCATTCCCACCCCATGATGGGAACACTGGAGGTTTATGTTAAAATCTAAAGACAAAGTAACCTAGAATGAAATTTAATAAATGATAACTAAAATGAAATAAAAACAACAGTAAAAGATACTAAAATAAGAGCACCAAAATAGCTCAATAAAAGATGATCCTGTCATCAAAACTAGAAAGGGATAAATGCTAAAACACTTCAACAAAGTTAATAATATAAAATTTAGTTAAAAGCAAGACTATATGGGCTAGAATGGATCACTGCATGTTTGCATATAGTCTGTTCTTCATGTCTTCACTATTTCTTTTCATCAGCCACTGTACAGCAGAGCTATGGTGGCCCTAAAGGTCAACTGCACAAGCAATACAAGGAATAAATAAAACATTTCACTAAACACAAAAAGATTTAATTGATTTTTATTCATTGGCTTTCAACCCTGCATGAGACTCAGCTCCTGTTTCAGTGTTTTATGGTTTGTTTTTAGTTATTTGTTTTAATATCTGCTTTTATTCTATCCATTGTTTTAATTGCTTTTTGATTGTTTTTTATGTCTGTGCTGTTTTGTCTATTTATGTACAGCACTTCATTCAGCTGTGGTTGTTTTAAAGTGCTTTACAAATAAAGTTGAGTTGAGATTTACGAAAACAACTACAACCCCAAATATGTTTAAAAATTAATTGTATATGTACACCAAACCTTTGAATATTTAATGACATGCAAAAACATTTTCCAAATTGCAAAATCAATTTATAAAATCTACAAATATTTGTGCATTCTGTGAGTTGTTTTTGCATTTACTGAAACAAGATATGCATTTAGTTTTATGTTTTTTAGAGTACTAATGTGGCCACCATACAATCCTAACTTGTTAAGCATAAGCCTCATTCTCTCGTCATGTTTCTACCTGATTGACTTGGTACATTAATAAAATCATTTGCAGGCTGTTTGCGCAGATTGCAGGTAATGGTAGGAATGACAAACATCTTAATATTTGTCTAAGTTGTGTACCTCATCCATCATAGCAAACTGCATTAGCGTTTCTACAAATTACATTACCATGATGGGGTAGTGCAATGTAGACCGGCAAAATCAATCTGCACTTCACCTGCATTACCGCGCGACGTTAATGGACTTTGAAAAACAATAAATCAGTCTTTTCACTCAGCTGATAGATCCTAAAATGTGTTTGTGACTGCAAAGAGGGAGAGGCTGATTCAGGTGGAGAAACTCATCAGCATACTGTGGAAAATACTCCTGGGAAATGATAAGACTGGAATGGCCTTTAAGAGCAGCTTGTAGGCTCAGAACCAAATACCCAGAGGCAGTTCTGGTAGTTCCCCACTTGATACTGTGAGTTTAACAGAGAGATTTCTTCTTTTACAATAAAACAGGATAGGTAAAGTGGACTCAGTGTGACAGATTTTACGAGGTGGGCCAGTGAATCTAACACGTCAAGGCTATCCTATCATCAGCTCCACAAACACAGAGGTACAGCGAATAAAAGACTGTGTGGTAGTTTTAAACCCAGGCTGATGAAAAGGACTCCACTGTAAATGTGTTGTTCACGCTCAGGTCTGCAGGTGTTATCGCACATTAAAGTGCAGCCAGTGCAGGTATCAGTGACAGCTGTGAGCACCGAACAATAGAATCAGAGTGGTCAAAGGACAAAGAGTGCACTGAGGAGAGAAAAAAAAAAACAGTAAAATCATCTGTAATAGCGCCCACTCTTCACATGTGATCTGGATGCATTTAGGCTCTAAAAGGCTCACACTGTCCTCTCTTAATACCCTCAAAGGTCAGCAGCTTTGCCTGGCAGCTTTGTTTATGTAGTCGATCAGGTGGGCCGGCGCTGACTCAAAAGCAAAGTGACACATAAAGAAATAATACAAAAACCATCTGCCACTGATCACCTGACCTAATTATTCTATAAATACACGCCTGAAAATAGCCATAAAACACACGTCTTATTTTAGATCTCTCCTGGGTGTTAATTCCTCCTGCCTTGGAGCTTGACGTCGTGAGCAGCATCAGTGACTATTTTGTCTCCTTACCAACTGAGTATCATCATCATCATTATTGTCTGGTTCAACAGCATCTCGAGCCTATCTGAGTAATCTGATTCCTCACTTCCTGATTAGATAATGATTTGCATGCATGATGCAGGGTCGGAATTAGGAGCGGTAAGAACACGGAGCATCCCCTTCAGTCGGGAAAAGAAAAGATATATATGGCAAATAAATACAAAGATGGTTTTGTCCACTAACCACAGCAGGTATTAATATTTCATGAGGTTTAAGGAATGTCTGTTAAGACCTGAAAGAGACAATGTGACTCTCTGCCTAGTGCTGGGCCGAGCTGAAATGGCAAACACTTTATGAGGGATCTGTTTATGTTGCTTTATAGAAACATTTGTGTGGCAGAGGCTGCGCTGTGTAGACTGAAGGAAGATTTATACGTGAGCTAACGGGAGTCACGTAGCAATCATTCAGCATGATTCACTGTGATTCACACTACTTACTGACAGTTTGAGGTACAATTCTGCTCGAACAAAACACAGCAACATAAAATCCTTTCTGGATAAATAGAAACACAAGGGCTGCAGACTCGTGGGCAACTAGCGGTTCTTCAAATAGCAGTAAAAACAGAAATAACAATTAAAACATTTAGGTGGTTCTACAAGTAGCAACAGCTTGTGAGAGCCGCATCTACTCCCCCGTAAACCTCTAAAAAACCGTCTGCTCAGAGCCTGGTGTCCGCCTTTACTTTTGACCACTCAACTGAAAACAACAACAACAACCAAAGCAGCTGCTTTATAAAAATCCACACAGTGAAATAATTAGAGGATCCGAGTGGACAGCTCAGTGGGCACTTTCCTCTACACAGGCTGCTTTGGATTATGAAACCTGTGAAGTCTCCTTCGTCACAATGTCAACAACCACACAGCACTCTCCTTACAAGTATCATTTCAAGGTACATTCGGGGATGACCTTTTTCCATGCAGGCTAATGTTTGTGCAAGCTGTCATAACACCCACGCCTTGTGTCAAGGAAATCTGCTGTTTTGCAACACTTGCAGGGTGCGAGTATTTGACTCCGTCACTCTGTGGTTGGAAAACACTGCGCTAGTTCCCTGAACAACAGTCTGTATCTAATTTTGGTCTTTGTGTTCTCTCTGAAACTACAACAGTTCTCCTCACTGATGTGCGTGCAGACTGCAGCAGGTCAAGAGAAGGGGGAGGACATGCTTGGTTGCTATGGAAAGAGTTTCCCTCCATCAGCTGCTCTCTCCGTCAGAGTGCTGCCACGGGTGACTAACAGGTAGGAGGAGGAACAGGCAGTCAGCCAAGAGACGGGGGGAGCCCAGTCGGTAGCTGCGAGTCTTCCCCCTGCAGCTCCACCTCCTCCCACATCATCAGCCCGATTTGGCCTTCAAAACTAGAGGCCACACTCTAACTTGCATTCTACATGCAGATGCTACAGTGACTCATGGTATAAACAGGGGAATACTCCCCAACTATAAATGGATTGTTTGTTCAAAAGGTCAAAGCGAGAGGGTACAAAGCAGAGGTAATATTTGTCTTAGTGAGGAAACGATCTGAGAAAAAGCATTCCTTACATTTTTGTGTCCCTAGGGCGACAGTCTGTGACTGCTTCCTTTTATTGTCTCATGTTCACTGTAGTGCAGGATGGTACTTAATGCTGTGATACTGGTATATATTACCATAGAGTGGTGGTTGCCAGCCTTTCTTTGCCTTAGAGCTCCCCTTTCTTGTATTGTAGAAAAAAAGAGCCCCCCCAGAGGCCTTCACAGGAAAAAGTGACTCATTACTGTCAGGAAGTACATCAATTTTAATCTTAGAGAGAAGTGTGGAAAATGAATGTTTTAGAGAGAAGGGACTGTCTAAAATATCAAGCTACTGTGATACGTTGATTTAAGTTAATGTCTGAAAATTCAATTTCTACAACCTCAGAGATCAGACCCCCCTCCTTAGGGACCCTGGACCCAAGGTTGGGAATCATTTCTATAGATGATAAGTCATGACTGATCTACATTATTAAACCAGCTGCAATATCGGTAGCCTGTGATTAAAGCAATACATCTCCTGACACAGTTTTTAAAATGTCCTCATGTGTCCCTTACAAGCGAGAGGGGATCATAACAGAGCTTTTCATGCACCCAAACTCTGGGAGTCACTGCTTTTTACCATCAGATCAGCAAAACAGAATAAAGTACCTGTGTTTTATTTTGGTTTCATTAGTCTTCATTTTAAATTAATGTAGCTACAATTGTTTTTTTTCTCTCTGGTATTTATTTGGTTCAATTTTTTCACTGACTTGAATTTAAATGAGTGATCCCTACATTTCTTCCCATTTTTTGACTATTTACAGAAGGATGATGTTAAGTTATCCTCTTTTTTGTTCTAGTTGGATGTTGTTTCATCTGTGCTGTCAATGTTCTGTCTGTTTGTTCTATGCAAAGCACTTTGGGCTGCATGCTTATATGCACGAGAGGTGCTATTCAAACAAAGCAGGATTGAATTGCTTTGGGCCGTGATTTTGATCTTACCGGCAGGTACAATTGTCAGGAAAGTTTGTTTTCCCCTTTCCAATGAAGCTTTTTGTATTTGGTAATGAGATAAGTAGTTGTTCTTTGGCTTTTTCAGATTATTAATTGTAATATAAAGGCAGCAGATAAACTAAAGATTCAATAAAGTCGCTCTGTAGCCATTATTTCATCAATAACATGTATAAACTTGAAGGCTGACTCCTGGGTCATGTCAATTTCTGCTTTTAATCCAATATCCTGATCTTGCCCTGACCTGTACATACATGGGCATGTCGTCTCCTGCTCTCTGGAAAACTTTGCCAAGAAAGTGTACTTAGCTTGCATGCCTTGGCAGAATCAGAACCAGCATCAGAAACCTATAGAAATGAGTCAGTCTCCTCACTAATGGTCTGGTTTACATTTGTGAGCAACAAAAAGGTACTTTTAATAACCGACACGGTTTCATAACCAGTTTAAACCCCCACTGTTACAAATATGTTAAGCGTTTTGAAAATAATGCCTCTGTTGTAAAGGGCTTTCCCTTGTCTACAACAGTACGCTAACAATTGAAGAATCAAATGATATGCAAACTGCAGCAGGCTTTAGTTGTTCGAAACACAAGAGGATTTTAACACAATAAGAATGGATTGCAAATGAGGCAAAAACACCAAAGGGGGGGAAAAAACAACAAAAGACAGTCACCACAGCATGAATCACTGATTTCTTGGAATATGTAGGCGAGGCTTTTCTCGCTCCCTTGCTTGAAAGCGAGTACTGCCCATCACTCAGAGTTCAGACTTGAATGTGACTTATATAATAGGTTTTTTTGTGGAGGCAGCCTTGTGGAACACCACGCTGTGTTCAGAATAAAAAAAAAACACACACGCACACACAAACCTGCCCAGACTTGAGAGGGCGCACACTGTCATACAACTTTCTAAATACTTTGACGGCTTGAATTCACGTACGCATCTTGAGTATTGTCTAGTTCGCCCACAGATCTGTGCACAACTTAAAACGCAGCAAGGACGGAGATATTTCACTGGTGTGACTTATGCACTCATTATCTGTTCAAGAAAGAATAAATTATAAGTTGCAGCATTTGATGCTTCACCTACACCTGGGTGAATTTAATCATATGCATGACATGATTAAAAAAAGGATTGACTTATGACAGTAAAGGTAGATTCAGCGTGATGATATATTAAGGAAGTGAAGGAAAAATGGAAGATAGAACTACTGTGTTTAGAGAAGTGAATCAGTCTGTAAACAAAAGGCTTTTATTTCATTTCTCTGCCTTTGCCCTGCTGTTCTTTTCATCAACAGTTCACATAAAGAAAGTAAACCACAGATCACAAAATGGGCTATTTCATTTACAGCCTCCAGCCTCTGATGTAAACATTAACTACGTGCTGATTGAACTGACAGCAGTATTGATCGCAGGGGCCCTGAGAGCTTTCCTGCAGCTGGAAACAGATGAATACAACCAAGACAACCAACTCTCAAGCTTTGGAATAACCTGTTCAAAATGTGCACACAGTAAAGAGTCACGGCCTGAGACTGCACATTCAGGCAAAAAGAAGAAAGAGCAAACACCAGGTTGAGCACCAAGACTTTCCTGTGTGCTTTGTTTTTCCTGTTTGCACGGGGGCTTTCATACACACTCAGCGTTTGCTGTCAAATGACAGTGAAAGGGGAGCTGTGGATAAAAAATGATCATGCAGCAGTGACAGTGCCCACCAACGCCCACAGGCGACAATCATCTACTTCACAATGTTGGTGATTTAAAAAAAAAATTCAAATAACAAAAACAAAGTCAAAACCATCGTGGTGGAGGCTTTAGCGTCTGTGCTGGTTTAGTACCATATCCTGTAACAAACATAATCTCAGGTGGTGGTGGTCACTCAGATAACATCATGTTTAACAGGAGGGTAATAACACTGTAAACCTGTTTGCTTAGTGCACTTGTGAGTATCAAGTTGTAGTATATGCTGCCAAGTCTCACATAGTGTGGAAATCTATACATGAAAGTTTGTCTTTCTCCAGACATGCCTCCTAAAACATTTCCAACACCCTCCAATGCTCACCAGTCTCTACACTAGACCAGATGAATGGCTCAATCCTCTAAATAGACTGGGAGAAGGGTTCCCCTGCTGGTAATTTAAGTAGTCTGACATTAACAATCATGTCACGCTGCAAAGGGGAACTGAAATGATGCATGTTTATGAGGTTTAAAAAGAAGGCAGAAAACTGTGCACTTCAATGAAAACGGTCTTCCTTGCTGGCTGCTGTTTAGCTGAGTGGAATAGCCCATCATAAACACTCGACTATCAGTATCTAAAAGCCTGCACAGAGAGCTGAAATCCATCGGTGGTCAAGTGAATCTCACTTGGTTATTCTTCTTAGAGCTTACTTTGACAGCAGCGAAACAGACAAGAGATAAAAACAAGATTCCTGTGAATGTGGCTGTCATTTCTGCCGATCAGAGCTGCACTTCAACTCCAATCAATACGCCGAGAGAGGATCTCTTTCTGTGTTTGTGCGGGTCTCTTACCTTTCCCGTTGTTAAGTCTTTATGGAAGTCGTCGCGGAGGTGCCGAGCAAGTGTCCGAAATCCAGCTTTCAGACGTGGGGCGAAGTGGCCGTTAACTTTGCACGGCGACGGCGGATCGGCGGAGTGCAATTGGTGTACTAGTGAAGCGCAGAGACTGTGCGAGGATCCCTCCTGTCAAGCACCGCCTCAGCTGCTCTGCGCCCTCTCTGCTAACCAATACACACACATACACACACACACATTGCACCGGCGTGCATCCATCTGCGAAGTTGCACAGCAATGCACCTGTGAAGTGTAGCACTCAAACCATCGACCTGCAGTAGAGCTGGGCTGAACTTTCTGAAAGCTGAATTTAACAACCAATAACCATTAAAGCTTCATTTTACACCAATATAATGGTGTTAAAGCTACTGTTAGGTTGGTTTGCCAGCTTTAAAACCGACAGTTACGGGCACCAAAGGTCACAGAAGTGTTATCTTTGACAGTTAAAAGAGAGCAGGGTGAGATTAATACAGTCAGAAAAACACTGACTCTTTAAGCCAGAAAAAAATCTTTATGAACGTCCATTAATAAGGAACAATTAATTGAAAAAAAAAAAAAACTTAAGTAAGCTACTGGTTATCATAAAATTACTATATCAGGCATGATCTCAGAGTGTAAACTGAAATATAAAGCTTCAGAAAGACAAAAGTTTAGCTAGCTCCTAAAAAATACCTTTAATGTAGACATATCTAATTTATTTTAACTTTATTTTAATTTTATTTTATTTTATTTTATTTTGTTTAAATTAATTTAACTTAATTTAATTTAATTTAATTTTATCTTGTTTAATTTAATTTAATTTAACTTTATCTTTTTTATTTTATTTATTTATTTATCAATTCATTCATTCATTCATTTATTTTTTGTCCACTCAGTATGTCGAGGTCAGCAGCTAATAGTTTGGCAGTTTTTCACCCTGGGTCAAGCCGTGCTGTTGCCATGGTTACCCTCAGTTTCCCCAACCGTTGATGACAGCTGTCCTCTGCACCAATCAGAAACAAGTATTCATTTTTTCAGACGTTTGCACGTACAGTTAAAAGCTAAAGTCCCATGTCATTAAAATTTTTGATTTTTTCTACATGTCCTGGTTGTCTTTAAAGCAAGATGTTTAATTAATTTCCAAAAAAATAAAAATAAAAAAAACTACAAATTCAGACTCAGTTTCTAGCCTCATTTTCTATGCAGTGAACTGAGTGGGTGGGAATGCCATGGTAATGAGCTGCTGCCTGCTTTGGCTGCCTCAATGTTGTCTGAGGGGGAGGGCATAGACCAGTGCAGATGCAGAGGCGGAAAAACACCAAAGCAAATATGGCGAGTACCCCAAATGATCCCATGCCAGTACCAAGCCAAAATTTTCTGGTTATAAACTGTAAATATCATCACAGGGTGGTGCAATGCTGTTTGTTGCTCAACCAGTCAGAAATGAAGTGGTTGGCACAGCAGATACACATCAATAGTGGCCACAACAAGAGCTTAATTGTTCAAAATAAAAGCAACCACTTCTTCTCTGTGGTTCTTGGGTGACATTAATAAAGACATTTGTGTTAGTTTTCGCACCAGCATGAAAGCAGTTGTGGTGTCTGACTCTAACCTTTCACATATTGGCTCTGTAATACTTAAACAAAGAACTTTGTGTGCTTATAATTAACCATTACAAGTTCATTAAACTATGTCATAATATTTCACTGCAGTAACTTCTAAGTTTTTGTAATTATGGTTGATTCCCTAGTGGTAATCCATCTAAATACCAACTTCACCACTGCACACAGGCCTCTAGTATTAGTGCAGTTTAAAGGTCGTTAGAGCATTACATTGTTGTTAGGCTTACTCTGAGGATATACGTATCATATTGTTAGGTGTGGAGAGAGCTTTATGTCTTTTAAGAGCCAACCACATCACATAATAATGTGTAGTCAATAATAGAGCCTCAGTATTTGGTAAAGCACATGATTTCACATTCCAGTGACCACAATGGTGAGGGATTAGGCTTCACAATGAGGACAGGGCTGGCTGGGGAGGATAACCGACACGGAAAGCATGTGGGTGTCTGGGTTAGACAGAAAAAGGGAGAGTGAGTCAGGACGGTGCAGTCAGACCTTCCTCCCTCTGAATTCTGTGGTTAAACTTTCCTTCCCTTTTCTTAATCTGCCTCAACATAATTTCATATTCCACTTCTCCTGCTCACTGCCCTGATTTCTTCAAAGTAGCAATCATACTCTGTACCCTGACATTTTATATTATGTACTCAGCTGACGTGCCTGTCACGAATGAACCTCCCTGTGGGTCTCTGATGACATGTTGTGGTTAAATAAGGAACTGCATTTTTTCCTGATGATGCTAAACTTCACACAATATCCCCATGAGAAAACGCATACAGCAGAATAAAGACATAGTTGGACATATTTATTACTTTCTTGTCTGTACAACACGGTACATAACAGACACAAAACGAATAAAAACATTAACAGGGAAAACAATAAAGGGCACAATCCAAAACTTGTCTGTTTACTGCACTTGTGTAGGCTTTTATACTGGACGTCTGCAGTCTTGTTTATCTTAATACAGCAATAAGTGACTATGGTGATGGTATGATTATAGTGTTTTAACGCCATAAGAGTGTCTTTATAACTTTTTTTTTTTTTTTTACAATCTCCAAGCGATGGTTTTAGTGATATGTAAGTGAATAGATGCTTGCTATCTGTGAGAAATGAAGATATCAATCTCTATATTTCAATCAGAAACAGACAAAATGATCAATTGATATCAAGTGAACCAATACAATTCATCAAATCAAACTCTTTCTCCATAGTTAAATCCCAAATGTTAAACGTCACATTTAACACTTCAGCTGGACTCAACATACAGACTTTATATATACAACTGAGGCAACAAATACAAAATCAATTTTTCTTCCTTCAATGAACTTCAAATTCACCGAAAAGGCAGATTTCCAAACATCAAACGGTAACATCTTCAAGCATGTTGATGCAAAAGGCAACACAATAAATAAAACGAATGGCACAGGAGGTTTAGACAATCTGAAATGAGAAGCACAATGTTTTTTGTGAAATATTCACAGGAAACTAAATCCTAAAGCAAGCACACAGAAACTTCCGAGTTGACGTCCCTGCAGACGGTTAACACAGGCTGACAAAAAAAGAACTGATATGAACAAAAATCACAATCTAATTACAGTGAGAGGAGTAAGAGACTGACATTTATAATCCAATATAGTATTTGTATTTACAGGCATTTATACAACTGAGGACATTAAACTGGGGCTCAAGCTTATCACTACATTAGGACACGGAGCAGAACAATCAGATCATATAATGCACCAAATATAAACCTTGTAAACATCACATCTCACCTTTTATCTTAGATCAGTCAGATTAAGTTTCTACTTAATAGGATCATAATATAATTGTCCTTACTTTAAGGCATAGGTATCAAGCTTAGGAGTGAGCCTCTTATATCATTTTATTTTAAATAAGCCAGATTTATTCTGAAGGTTTCACTCCAATGAGTATCAACTTACTCATCACAGCAAACCCCTAAAGCAAAAACCCTCCCACTTGTCTCTGGTTCAGCTCTGCTTGCCGTACAGTTATAAGATCTCCTCCACTCCGTGAGCAAAGATCATGACCAGGCCGGGCTCAAGGATCATATCCTCCCCCATATGCTGATTCTCACAGGCCATCACCACCACCGCCTGCTTGCCAGGGATGCGCTTAGCAACGTAGTTCTCATAGTAGCGCCTGTTCATCTGCCGCGTCTCGAGCGTGGCCAGTCCCTGTGGCCAGTTCCGCTCGTGGGCGTTCTCGATCAGGTCGTTCACAATGGACAGGGGGCAGCCGCTGTCGATCAGGGAGCGTTTGATCACTGCCTGGAGCACGGCATCAGGGGTGGAGATCATGCCACCCCATCGTGTGACTCTCGCAGGCTGCATGGAGTTCACCCACCTGAAGATAATATAAAGTGAAAACCACAAGAGAGTTAAGGGCTGAGCTGCAGCTCCCTGACATGATTAATAATAGAACACCCAAGAAGAGAGAAGATGAAGTTTTAACTCACTCTAAGATCTCATTGTACTCGATGCTCTCCTCCAGGTTTTGCAGGTTTGGGTTCGCACTGCGGATGGCTCTCATATAGGCTTTTAGCAGCTGAATGTCCCGTTTCTGGAAATTAATAACATCATTTTCAATAACTGAGTTCATATGGTCTCCAAAATACTAGACATAAAATCTCAATTTGCAAACCTGCAGTCTGTCGGCTCCTACATCGATGACTTAATGAATCAGCAGCACTCTACTCTTAACTCACTTTTATCGACTCTTTCTGGGCACACATTGATCCTTAATCCTCTTAGCTTTTCCTGATTCCAAACCAGTCATTAGGAGGATGTATTTTAATAGCAACACCTTATAGAGTAAGGTGGTGATGTATAAATATTCCTCTTCTCTTTCTTTATCTGACTTTATCAACAAACAGCAACGTTTACTAAAAAAATGGAGCTTTAATATTTCATGGTGTGACTTACTGCTCTCCTAACAACATAGGCTCCACCCAGCTCTCCACATCATACTTGATAACTTACACAGGAAAACTACAGTGACAGACATCAGTTCATCCTCAATGCAAAGCAACACCACAGAATATTTAAAATGGCCCAGTCAAGCAAACTTCTATAACTAGATTGTTTTGATGAAAGACCTGCACTTGAAGAACTTTAAATAATATGCTTTGGGGCATTTCTAAGCTTGTGCTACACGAGTTTGTAAGCAACATTTTTCAAACTGGACACATAGAACACTTTGTGGCTAATACATCAGTGAGCAGAAATATGGTCTTACTTGTTCTCCCAATTGGTGTTTATGTTCTGCCACAGTTTTCTCCAGCTCCGAGATCTTCGTCTGTTGCTGCTGGACGACGCTCCGTAAGTGTTTGATACATTTATGGTTGGGTAGCTCATCTTTGGGCATTTCAAGCCTGTAGAAGTAGGTCAAAGACAAAAAAAACACATTATTGTTATATCCTGCTGCACAGTGAAAAGGTCATACACTTGAACTCAACCTAGGGTGACCTGTGGATTGACCTATGGTGTTATTTTCTGGTTCTTAAGGGTGACAAAACTTTTGCAATCACTGCATGCAGCTGTTGCACTGCACTCACCCACATCCCTCCTCACAGTTGACGGGCCTTTTAGGGTTGTGCTCACAATCCTTCAGATGCGACTGCAGCTGGTCCAGCCGTAGTGTTGCCGTGCAGCCAAACCCTGCATTGTCACAGCTGATCTGGAGTTTGGACAGCATGTTGCGCATGATGCGGGGCACAGGTCGGAGGTGAGCTAGTGTCACAACCGTGCGATCGACGGGACAAATCTGCTGCTGGGCGAACCACTGTGTTATACAGGCATTGCAGAAGGCATGCTCACAATGTGGAGCCTGAAAGGAAAACGAGGAGAGACGCATGAAATACATATTTGAAAAATGATGTGATCAAATATGATTTAGGATTAAGGCTTGCCTGCACTGGTTCCTCAAGGACTCCACTGCATATGGGGCACAGCAGGTCTTCATCCACCTCCCCTTGGAACCTCGTAACGTCGTACCCCATGGTACATTACCAGGAACCACAACCTCCTGTGAGACACATTACTCATAGATTAGGCACAGAAACAACAAGATTGCAGCAAGATATGGATGTTAGCAACTGCAGCCGTAAACTGAGCATACCTCACTCACAAAAGCCCTTCAATACTTCCATTCAGCTCTTGATATAAAGCTGATGCGTCACATCAGGCAGATATCATCAGTCTGCAGAGAGAGAGACACCCAAATACTCTGGAAAAAAACACACATGACAAAAATAACTCTTTAAAAGGCTGTTACAAGAGGAATTACGCGCATCTTATCCCCGTCTTTTAAATCAATTACAGCTGTAAATGCACAATGACACATGACATTTTAGCATGCCGTATTTATACAGATCCTGGAGCCAAAAAGCGGTGTCCTTAATCCGGAATGTGGTTCTCTAACATTATCCTCCACATATGAAATTGCACTAACATCTGAGGAGAGCATCCTGTTGTCATCCCAGCTGCCTGATAGCTGACCTCATTTTGGTAAAAGCAGCATATACCGGTCTGGGGTGATTTAACAGCCCCTTCAGCCCCTTTTCCTCCCGTCTGTCTCTCTCAGCATGCCCTGCAAGCGGACTAGCCCTTCATGCTAATGTTAGCTACCTAAATTATGCTCCTCCGCAACAAAACCGACACTAAAGCGCTATACATTCGGGTGTCCAATGAGACAAACTGGTGTCATCTTAAATAAATGCCCAAATCGGTGATACCAGATGTCAGTGCGGTTTGCACGTCATGAATTAAATGTGGATCATGCGAGCTAACTAGATAGCCATGCTAGCGCCTCCAGTGCCTCTGGTTTCGGTTTCCTGTGGATAATAGCAGACGAGCTAACCAGACAGATCCCAGACTGGGCAAATTAAACCCACGAATGGTTAATTACAACCACCCACGCTGAAAGAAAACAGTATAAAGTAGTGATATACTCACTTGAGCATGAAGAAAAATTGACCCGGATAACGATGTGAATGTATTTTCTGACGTCCTACTGTACCCACTAGCTCGCTAGCCACGTCTTGTGCTACATCCTACACCTCTGTGTCGTCGTTACGTCGGCGACTGTTGACGTCATGACGTCCAATATTAGCTTTAATTGATTTGTTGAAACTCTATCTATCTATCTATCTATCACTAACAGAGAAAATTGAAAGTACGTGTGTAGGTGTGGTAAAGACCTGACTGTGTCTTAAGAGTGTCTTACTCGTTAACTACCCCCAGGTGATTAATTAAAGGTAAGCCAGTAATTTAATTTAATTGTATTTTAGTACCTCTGTGTTGGAATGTGGGTAGACAGAATGTCTTTTTCAATTGAAAACACTCTGCATTTTGTTCAAAACGCCACATAACTAACCTGCAGCAACATGAACAAAACCTGAATAGGGGAGAGTGGGTAAGTTGAGCCACCCCCTGTTGCTTGGAAATGGTAAAAGAAATTGATTAGGTGACCAAATATATAAGAGATGGGCATCAAATCATGGAGTCTGTGAAGGTTTGAAGCACATGAGTGAAGGGGTTAGACATTTATTACCAAAAAATACATTTTTCACTCTTGAAAGTGAATTTAGTCTGTCATAAGTTTTATTAGAATTGTGTTCAGACCAAAAAAGATCATTTTAAATTTGTTTTACACATCAATTGTGGTATCTATGAACATAAAAGTCCACCATTTTAGCCTAGAGGACTATTAAAGACATAATAGTAGTTCAGGGGTAAGTTGAGCCAGTGGCACAACTGAGAAAGTAAAGGAGTGTGGTTCTCAAGTCCAGTCCTCGAGGCCTGATCCACACCTGATCCAAATGATCAGCTCGTTATCAAGCTCTGTGATGGCTTAATAACGAGCTAAGCTTCTGAATCACTGAAAGGCATTCTCATGTTACAATGGCTTTTTACAAAACAGCTTTTTAGCAGTTATATGCAATAATAATTATAATATAATAATATATATAATTATAATAATTATTATACCAGTTGAATAGCATATAATAGATAAAAATACATATGAATGTGAAGAAGTGACTGTTAGTTAGAGAGAGAAAGGTGAGGGAGGGCTGGGGTGGAGAGTGGGGGGGTAGTGGCTCAACTTACCCCGCTCCTATGAGTGTTCTCCTATGGTCACTCCTATGGTTCTCCTATGGTCAACTTACCCCATCATGGGGTAAGTTGACCATAGGATGAACAACATCTTGGCATGCTATATTTTCAAGACAAAACTATGGTCCCCTTGATGTCGTGATCCGAAATATGAAAATGGCTCATCTTACCCCACTCTTCCCTACTTGTCAACTACCCCCAGGTGATTAATTAAAGGTAAGAGAGTATTTTAATTTAATTGTATTTTCGTACCTCTGTGATGGAATTAGGGTTTTTAGATAGTATGTTGAAACTAACATCTTTTAATTTGAAAAAATCCGCATTTTGTTCAAAACGCCACATAACTAACCTGCAGTAACATGAACAAAACATGAATATACTCTGTTGCGGTGCTCTGTATGAAGCAAAAAGGTGAAGTGCAGCCAGAAAGCAGGAAGAAAAATGTGCTAAATACAGTTGGTGAGAGGATATGGCTTAACAGAAGGAGGAGCACACTGAAAGCATGAGTCACCGCACTTCCAAGTGTGACTGCATGTTTCAACACAGCCAGAAAACTAATGTCACCCTCATCACATTGCATGCGCCCTATTAACAAATCATGTGGTTCAGCTGAGAATACAGCCCCAGGCAGAGGAACCGTTTGCACAATTAAAAGTAGACTACTTTGATAAATACAATTGTCCTTTTGTTTTCTTCCTTGCTGCTGCAGCTTTTATTGCAGATAGTTTTTTGTAATGCTCTATGCTGTTCGCACCTGGTGCCTGACACATAAATGTAATAGTTTTGTTTTTAGTGTTGGCTTGTACTGAAACAAAGTGTCTCAGAGATGCATGTGGAATTAAGACAGACTGAACGAGATTAAACAGTGCTGTACCTCACTTGGTAAATCCAATCAAGTGCTTCATTTTCCTTAATTAAATCGAGATAAACAACTCAACCATAGAGCAGAAACCTCTCTAGACAATTTTCATTCCAGTGTAAGGATTAACTTTGTTGTATGAAATGAATTTTAGGATAATAGATGTGACCAACGTGTAAGATGTAGCACAAAGACATCAAGAAATAACACCAGACACAGGACATATTTAGCAATAGCACTTTATTGAACACAAACAACCCTAAGCCACAATACTGAATGACAAGACCAATTGGCTGCAGCAAACATTTTATAAAATAGATTCAGGTTTAATGTCACTAAATTGTTTTTTTTTCTTTTAACGTCAGAAAGACAGATGCAGGTTTTTCCAAAACAGTGAATGATCTTTTACATATTTAACATTTTGTAACAAATTATCATTCACATGTTCACACAAAGGAATAACAAGGCAAAGTGCTTTCAGGATTGCATTGTCGAAAAAACTAAAACAGAAAAAATGAATGGCTTGAGGTTTAGGTGAGACTGGGGGGGAAGTGGGGCTGGTCCTGTCCTGGATTAGGCGATGGGTTCAGGGGATTACGGGGTGGTGTTTTTGGGTGTGGGGGGCGCCTGGTCAGAAAACCTCAAACCTTTCACCTTGTCCTGTACCCCTTGTAGTCAAACTGAACATGAAATGTCAGGGCAGTGTGGAGACAGACGCCTGTGTAGCAGAATTTGGTTCGGAGTGGACTGATGGATTCAAAGGCATACGGCTTGAGGGGCTCAGACTCGCCCTCGTACAGAATTACAAACCCAGCTTAAAAACGTTCCTGTGACAACCTGTGGTATCATTACAACTGCAGGGTGTGAATTGGCCGACCCAGAATGAAGCTGTAAACGTTGAAATGATTTATACTATAGGGCTAGACAGGGCAATATACACACAACCAAAGAACGACAGTGTTAAAAGAAAAGCAAATGCATGGTTATTGATTCCTAAAAAGATGGATCCTCTGACCATTCGCCACTGAATGTTAAAGGGGGATAGACTATCATCAGAATCTGCATCATAACATTGTCTGGCTTCACATTCCAGTGGTATTTTGTCGTATAAATGCTTCTCATAAATATTTTTTCAACGTCAAATAGACATATACACATACAGCACAACCAAGCACACTTTTTTTTTAATGTATAACTACCATTGCTTATGATAAATCTGTATTCCCGTACTGTGAATAGTTTTTTTTTCTTTAATCAAACAGGCGGAGAGACAAACAATACTCAAGGCTGCAAAACAAGGAGGTAGGAGAAATGCTACTGAAAAACAGCAAGTGATGCTAACGTGATCGTTTGCCTAAATAATGGTGAGAGACACCAGGCGTTCACCAGCTCGACTTCTCGAACCGAGCTAGCGCCAGCACCTGCTAATCCAGTCCGCGTACGTGAGGAGCAGTGTGTCGGATTTGAGCTTTATTTCAAAATACAATCCGACACTGAAGTAAGATTCGGAAAAATCTCAAAGCTGAATCGGATGCTTTCCTGATTTTGTCCGACGTAGACTGGCGTAGCAGCTGTGGGGATGAACTAACTCAGGATATTTAAGAGGCCCACTGTGCCTTAAAATAATTTAATCCTGTCTTAACCCTATACATAATTCCAGACTAATCATATTCTAAAAATTGGCTAATTTCATTCAACGGAGTAACTTCATTGGTCCTGTTGTCATCACAGGTCGAGAGACCACGCTGCTGGTGATGGCATTGACTCCTTTACACACAGTAGAGTAGTAGTATATATTTGCAGATTTGTAAATGAGGTAATCAGGCTAAATAGGGAACCCTGTCATTGACACACATGCCCACTTCATTCACCAGCAAAGAAAAGAAAAACTTCCTCAATCAGCGGGACAGGACTGTGGGGGAAAATAAGATCAACTTTGGAATGTTGGGTGGACGAGCCAACTTTGTCATTTTTTTTAGTTTTTTTTTTTAAGTTTTTCTGTGAAGGTGCACTGTGAAACTTTTTGATTGTAACTCATCACATGCCCTGATTCAGAGTCCTTCCCCTAAAGATAAAGGGCCCTTTTGTATTTCCCCAGATAAGCCACTCAAAGTAAAACAGGCAACCCATCGTCGACTTCTCTCTCTCCCTCTCTTCTTTAATTTGTAATGAATTAAGGCTGCCTCAGCAGCAGATCCATGCCTGCTTTAAGTCCAGTTGTGAGAGGATTGTTAGAAGCTTGTGAGTTGCAATGAGGTGGCAACATCTACAGTGCAGCGGACTAGAAACAAAAACATGAAAAGGTACTACTAAAATGTCACAGAACATGCAGAATACATCCTTTCCTACAGTAGGCTATTCCTAATAGCACATTCAAAGGGGCTCCTAATGGGCAAATTCTCTGATATGGCTCTGCTTTAGAGTAATCAAGCTCGGGTGAGACTATTTCCACCGTGGGCTCACAGAAGGAGCGAGTAGATAAGGTGCTCCACCAGAAGATTGCTGCCTTGTTTCACCTGCACGAATACTTTGTGTCATTCAGTTCAACAGGTTCAACAGTAAACACTGGAAAAGTGTTTGTTTTCCTTCTCGTAAATACATTTCACCCCCTCCTCCCTCAAAGACACACCCTCCTGCTGGTGAAAACAAACGGCACTTTCAAGGGGAATGTTTCTCTAAAACCACAATCACAAGGACCTCCGAGTAACAAATTCAGAAAACACATAGGCTATACAGTAGATATAAATCTCATGAGTTTCTTATCTGTACAAGCTTTAGGCTACACGTTGAAAAGGGAGGGACACGTAAGAACCCTTAATGCTGAACATTAAAAAACAAATATAAGGCATTTTCATATTTCCTTTTATCCGCATACATCACTGACAGCAGGTCTAAATATTTTTGAGAAAACATTTCATTCAAGGAGGAAGAGGATGCATATACACATCTACACATGCAAATGAACATGTCTACCGGCTATAAACCAGAAGCTCAAACTACAATACCATCAGAGTCCATCCGTAAGAAGAAGAAAAAAAAATAATGCACCTACTCGAATCTATCAGTCAACTTGTGCACAGTCCTTTCTCTGAGCAGGCAGCTTTTCAACTTGGACATTGATCACAGTTTTCAGAATGGAATATCAAACACTCCACTATCAAACGCCACCTCTCTGAACACAAACAAGAGGACCGAGAAAAATCCTTCATTTGCTACAGATGAGTGACTTTTGGTGTTAACAAAAAAAAAGAAAAAAGGGCATATTAAATATTTTTTCCAACCGAGGAAGCAATGATAAACAAAAAGTTATTGCACTTTTTATCTTTTGTCTATTTCAAAACGAGGTCAGCTTGAGAGAAGATGATTCATGCCTTAATGTCGCAGTAAGACAACAAAATGTTACGTCACTTCTATAGTATGATCACACTGTTATTAACACTGCACACAGCTACTACTGCAACCCTACTCGTAAAATCGGTCTATCCTAAAAAAATGAAACACAAAAACAATCTCTACAATCAGATCGCAACACAGTCACAACAAACAGCTCGCCTAAAATCTTGATCTTGAATGCAGGTACCGCATTTTTCACAACTTGGTTAAGCTTTGTTAGCGTTGATGAAAACCATAGAAATGAAAAGCAGAATCAGAAGAAGCTCTGAAATTCCAGACGATGGTCTTTCTACAGTTAATGTGTTACTGACAATCAAACCTCATGATCTGAAGCGCTCAGAGTCGTCTTAATCTTTGCCTAAATTTGGTCGTCTACCGGCTCCTTCGCTCTGATGTTCAGGGAGCCGATTGAGCCCCGAGGTGCCTTCTTTGGATTTGTGCTTTCATACTTTTGATCCCCATCCACTCAATGTTTGATGTGCCCTAAATCGCATCGACTATGTGCAATTTGATCTGCCACCCGAAGGGAGCACTCAGTCGCTGAGATGCGTCATGAAACCCAGAATAAAACAGAAGGAGTGTATTTAGGCTTTTTATTCTTATGACTCAGATCTCATAGGGTGGAAATAATCCTGCTCAGAGGGAATATGAGCCTCTCTACTGTACGTTCAGTGTAATTTCCTTTTTCCCGTTATAAGGCTTCTGGGAAATACAAATGGAAGACCGTACCTTTCGGTAGTAACAAATAAAAGGCACCATGCCACCACTGTGCTCGATATTACACAGGTCCTAATGGTGGGGGGAAATTAATAACCAAGTGTTCAGGCAGGGAAGGCGGTCGAACTAGCTTTAGTCATACAGTGTAATTGTATTGTTTTGACTTACAAGAGGTAAAGTTTTGTAGCTACCTTCATTTCCCACCTTGAATAGACTGTACCCTTTACGCTATATGACCTGCACCAGATAACAGACTCATCTGTTGGTTGTAATGTAGAGAAACATGTTGGGTAACTATGTGTTTCTGTCTTAAAAAAGAAGGGACTTGTGCATGTTCGGGGTCCACATGCATATATTAAGGAGTCACTCACACACACCGTAAGAGAGAAATCTACACAACTGGCATCAGGAGAAACAAGAACAGATCACAGAGGATAAATGTCAGCGTCGTCACACAAAATATCACTGATGAGGTAAAAACTGCAGGTCCAATAAAAAGTACAAGGTGCAGTTTGCTGCCCCCTTTGTAAGGTAGGAAACATGAGACATCTGCCGACACTAATCTAACACTTCCGCATAGATACATCTCTGATTTAGGCTGGTTTAAGCAGAATTACACTACCCACGACAAGATGGATCACAAGATTTGAACTCTTTGTTAGCATAGCTGTACAAGCATTTTTCATAAGAATTTCCTTTCCATCTTTTTTTGTTTTTTTTTTCTTTTTAAATCTTGAGGTACACCACTTCTCTCCCCAGTGTCATTTGGCTCTGGATGACGGTGAAGCCAACGTTTGATTGTTTTTCGAGTGAATTCTGAATTCATTCATTCACAGTGGCAAATATGGCGATATCCTAACCTGTCACGACAATCTCTGCACCATGGCAACCTTGAGCTATGTGCTACCTCAATTGATTTGTGTGCTTCTCGACACCCGAAGGCATCTGTGAGACCTAAATTTGCTTTTTTTTTTTTTTCAGTTCAAGCAATCCAACCAAGTAGCAGAACTCTACACCGCCGCGATGCAACTTATCAGGTACTGCCAGGTATCATTTCCTTTTTTTCAGCTTTTTAAGGCAAAAGGCTCAACAGTGGATCAGAGAGTTGAATTGAAATTTGCCATTTACTTCAAGTAAGAACCGAGACATCTGTTGAGGCAAATCAATTCTATACTGAATATACCATGCTTCTTTTTTGGACATCAAAAATGTTTTTTTTCCTCCTGGTAACACACATTATAAACCACCTTGTTTAAAGAGGGGGTATTATGCATTGTTTTAAAACTCTGTACTTCCTTTCTGATCAAAATCGCCTCCTGTTGCTCACTGTGGTGTATTAAACTACCATTATTTCAGTTTGAGCTGCTGTCTCTTTAAGGCCCCTCCTCCACAAGCCTGCCTTCTTCTGATTGGGCGGGCAGAGCTAGATGTTCTGGCCCTGCCCCTTCTATTTTGTTCAACTAGCACAGTGGAGAAACAGCTTTGAATACATACGCAAGCATTCTAGTGAGTATGAGTCCCGTATTTTCAAAAATTACCACATGATTTAAAACTTTTTATACATCTATTATCGACACCAAACATTGCAACTGTGCAGTTTTTGTTCTAAATGTGAAAAGCATAATACCACCCCTTTAAAAACAAATCACACAGCCTAGGGATTGCTTTGCCAATACCAAAGGGACTAACTATATTCTGCAAAAATATCCAATTTTACAATAGACTTGTACAAACACCTAATTTTTTTTTAACAGAATACTTGCATTTAAGTACTTATATCCCATGCAAATATTTATATAGTGTTTCTTTGACTAATAGAACTGGTGAAAAGACATGCAGCTCCGAACATAAAAATGTAATTACCTGCCTACTTGTGAATAAATTACTGACCAAGTAAGAATGATTTATGTCTAAAGGCAAATAAAGGTTTCTATGGCACTAAATGGGTGTAGCTTAGGTGCATTTCTGTCAAATATAGGCTATTTACGAGTATGTGTGATCATATCTACTGTAGACCTTTTTGTCCCTCTTGTTTTACTGTACTGTAAGGCAATCTCAATGGAATGGATGAACATGAATGTTTAATTCATCTGAACTCTTGTCCTCTGTTTACCTTATAGGCTACACTCCACACAAATATGTTCATATATGTAGAGAGAAAGAAGAGTGATAACAACACAACAGCAGGCCTCTATTCCAACAAAGAAAAAAGAAAGAAAGAAACCCTAACCAGACCCTCAAATGCAGGAAGACTACTACACATACTGTAGAATATGTAGAGAATTAGGTTATTACATGCTACCTGTGTAATCATATCTACGCAAGACAAATGAAGAGCAACAGTTTAAAGTCGGGAGAAAGCAAATTGTCCTGCTCTAAACTGACCCTACATTCATTTCAGTCAGAAAATTCATGGCTCAGATTTGATGGTCAGACTGTAAACTGCTTGAACATATGCATAAATCCATTGCTGCTTTACTAAAAAGAGGGTTCGCCCCCCTCTTTCTCTCTCTCTCTCCTTCTCTCTCTCGCTCTCCCTCTCCGCACGTTTTGGCAAACAGGCCATATTTGTGACCAAAGATTATAACATCTAACCCGCATTTAAAATCTTCCATTGGCATTTATGCTATGATTTAGTGAATTGGCCTAAATGGATGGCAGTGCAATATTTGTGCTGCACACGGTTACACACACTCTCTATTGCTACAATTGGACCTTTCATTGCTTTCCGTTTCTGGTACCAGATATATAATGTATATGCTCCACTTGATCAACCGTTATAGTATATCAAAATTGTGATCTAGCTCCATGCACAATCACTCATTTTTTCACTGGTACACACACATGAAATAAAAAAGAAGAGCATGTATAAGAATACTGTGATACAACAAAAGGATCAGTTCCGACTTGTACAGTTTCAGGGGCAATGGCTCCGTTTACTGGTCAGATAAGGACATCACAAGAGAGAAAAAAACGTCCCTGCCCGAACAGACAGCACCTACAGATGGCAGAGAGAGTATGTAGAGTATTTTAAGGAGCCTGCCTGAGGTGCACTGACTTAAAGCGACTTCGGCCAGAGTCTGTTATTAACAGTAGGCTGGGTAATGTAACCTTGTCACTTTTCACGGGGCTGTTTGCCCAGAGTTAGTCAACACAAGAGAAGAAGTCAGCGGGCAGTGGATACTGTCCCAAAGTATTTAGAGACACTTTTTTTTTCTTGTTTTTTTTAAATAATGCATCATAAGAGTACAATTTCGTTGCAGCCTTTGCTTGTCTTTTGCAACCCTTTCCTTCCTGTATTCAGCAGCAGCAACACACATGCATGTAAACATAAGTACATACATTAACATCTGCTCTATTTTGCACACTTAGAACCTGAATGTACTAAAGTGCGTGCTTGACTATCTAATTAAGTGCTGTGGGATTAGGGTTAAAAAGGAATTAAATTATGGAAAATCCCACCAAAAAATAAAAGTCGACATAATCTTCCCGCTGAGATCTGATTGGATTAATAAAACTCTGTTCGCTGCTTCAGCACAGATCCTGAGATTACAAATTATTATGTACCTATCGCTAATATTAGTAATAATGTAAGTGCTCTCCTGAAATTAGAAATCGATCAAGAGAACAAAAAGGCTGTGGGGTCACCAATTAGTTCCTTTTCAAGTTATTGAGGTCAATTGAAATGCCAACTATGAAACTATGACACTAACTCTGAGAAAAATCGCCGCTCTGAAATGAACTTGATGTCAGCTTCAGGAAATCAAGTAAAGAAGATTTTTCGCAGGGGGGGAGGGGGATTTAACAACATAATCCTAGTCTAGGTCCTCATCTCTCATCCAGTCAACTAATGTGTGCAATTGTGCCACTTCATTACCAGTGGATATGAAGTTCTCACACCAATGAAAACAATCTGACTCAGTGTAATTTAACCACCAGCAGATGGTGTAAAAAATAGCATAGGTATAACATCTAAAAGTCACAAACAGCTCTAGTGGTCCGATACAATCATCTTTAGTATGCTTAGTACCAGAAATGGGATGAAAAGACGACAAAATAAACACCAAAAAAAGCACATATTTGGATTTCTGCTATTCCTGAAATCTAAACAACAGGTATTGGCCTAAGCAAAGATCCCTCTCCTTTTTCCTCTTAGCCCTATTTGCTTCTATAAAGGGATATCAATTCCCTAGTTATTGATAACGCCGGGACATATAAAGATATGCCGGGCAGTTTTTTTTTTTTTTTTCCACTATGGTGCAACCGTAGTTCAATGTCGCTGCAATCAAATAGGTGGAAAAGATAGTCAGTCTCAGGGCTCGTCGTACGCTGCCATTACGCAATCCAACTGAAATGATGTGTTACGGAAGGCATGGGTCAAAAGGCATTTCATGAGATGCCATAAAGGCAATCCAGTGCATTTGTGTTGACACTGACAGTAAAATGCCCAGCACACACAGAGCCATTCGTTTAGTCTTTAGGTTAATTTTTTCATGAAATAATAAAAAGAGAAGAAAAAAAAAAGAGGAAAGAAGAAAAAAAAAGAAATCAAAACACATTCCAGGGAAACAAAAGCCCTTGTGACAGTGATTGTCTATTCAATAAGGTTAAACAAAAGAAAGGCCAAAAGAAAATATTGCTTGAAAACTGCCCAATAAAAACAGCAGAAAATACTCCATATCTGTTCAAATTGATCACCAAGAGGTTGAGATATGAGTTATTAGATGTTTAAGACTAGTTCACCAGCTCAGAGAACAAAAAATCTCTTTTTTTTTTAGTGAGAGCGTGTTAAAAACCACAATGCTGATGACCAGTTCGACTTCAGAAAAAAAAAAACACAAAAGAATGAAAAGAAGAGAAAAAAAAAAGTTATGAGTGCCTAAAAACCAAAACTGATCGCTCTCTTTTCGATCGTTAGGCCTTTTCAAATTCTGAAATCTTTTTTTTTTTACTTTTTCAAAAAAAAAAAAAAACACTGTTAAAAGAGATGGGAAATAAATTGAAATGGCTTGTTCATTTTATGTGCTCAGATATATGATGCTTTGATGAGGTGTTGTTGGCAGATATTACTAGTAAAGCCTTCATCTAATAATAAACAAGGCCTCAGTCAGTCACTATCCTACAGTAGTTCTCCAGTCCTACAAAAAGAGAACATTAGGCCTACGGACCCTGGGTGAAGATGAAGCAGCTGCTAAACGAGTTGACGAGGTATATCAAGATCTATTGTCTTTCTCTATACAGTACAGTTCATCTCAAATAAATAATTTATAGCCATAATAGTGTTGATCAACTTTGGTCATAAGTTATATGCTTAGAAACATTCTAGCTTAACAAACACTTATTTAGCATCTTTAAAACATGAAGTCAGCATTAAGAACAAATCGATGTTACAAATGCTGACCCGAGCGTGGCCCTCCTTTGGAAGGAGACACGCTTATGTATTCAGCAGCATTACCAAATTATCTCAAAATGCCAAACAATTCTAGGCCGTACGTTTTAAGTACACTATGGAATTCTTTGTGACCCTTTTCCAAATTTGCGGATTGTACTGTAGTACACAAGCATTGCACTCTTAAGCAAAAAAAAGTTTTTTAGATTTTTTTTTTTCCCTTGTGTGGTTCCTTCATAAAAATCTAAGCTAACGCACAATTAAAAAAAAAAAAAAGAGAAGGAAAAAAAAAAGTAATCAAAAACAAACAAAAACTCTTTGATCACTCTTTTGGGAAGGCTGTATGATCCTCTACAAGGTCACCATGGCTGATTCGACATGATATGACTCTGATAGTGAGTGATATGGCGAGAAAGTTGAGGGTTGAGGGTACAGAGAAGTTTCCATGCTCTTAGATGTCGGTTATATAAGTATGTCGACATGGTTTTAAAGGGTTAAATGATTTCAGATGGCCAGATTGCTAAAGTTTGTTTTGGATGCCACTTTGTTGTCGGAGTGACCTTGTAGAGCAATCTGCCTCTAAGTTTGAAGCACTACAGGAGATGGAGGAATGGGATCTAATTGCATATTAGGTTTGACTGCACCTCAAGAGAAGACCAAACACTCACGCACACACAGACACACAAACACATACATACACAGAACAGACATGTGGGTGGGTGCTCTCCTGGTCCTCTGGGCCATGTTAAAGGGAGTCCCTCCCCCCCTCTGGTGGTGATGATGGTGATAGCAGCTGACTGAGGGGGGCGTGTGGCCTCACTCAGACAGACACCCGTCCAGGCCAACCGGTGCACCGTGACGGTCTTTGACGTAGCCGTTGTGGAGGCCGTTGCTCGGCAGGGGGGCGCAGGTGGCGGTGATGCCGCAGTGCTTCAGCAAGTTGAGACCCGGGGAGGGGGAGACGGTGGGGGAGGAGCAGGAGCAGGAGGAAGGGTCCCGCTGGGGGAAAGGCTTCATGGTAGAGAGGATAAGAGCCAGGCAGTCGGCCACGTCCTTGTTGGGAGCGCAGGCCAGGGCTGGGGTGTGGCCTGTTTAACAAACACATGTATATGAGCGCACATACACAACTTCAACACAACGTTTCTGCTACATCAGGAAAACTTTTAAAAGCTGCACAAACTTGTTAAAATATACTGAGACTTTATAAAACATGGTCACGTAAAAAAAGAGTGAGGCCACAGTTAAGAGCCCAGACAGTTTATCGCCTCTCTTGCATGCTAGATGATAAAACATTTAAATTATACATGAATATATGAATTTTAACTAGATTGTGCAAACTGCAAAACTTCTACATAGAGAAAGTCCCAAACGTCAGAGCACAACCGTTTATGCTCACTGCCATGGCTGCGAGTTTTACACCCTGTTGGTGATGCTTCAGTCTGCTCCCCTCTTGGAATACTGTCAGTCCAACTCAGGATCACAAATCTCAAACATGTTTGAGATTTATGATCCCGTAAACTGGTTTTATTGAGGATTATTTGGACGAATTATTGGTTATGACAAGCCCAGAAACAAGCCCTGCCTCTCCAATCATTGGGGGTAGCCCTGAATCTGGTCTTTAACTGTTTAGTGAGGCCAGCAACCTCACAGCTGCTCCAGCAAAGTTCACTACAGTTCACTTTATGCTCAGACACACACAGTTAGCTGTGAACCCAGCAGCTCTGAGGTCACATCAACTTGAGAAGCAGGTTTCAAAATCTACAGCTTCCCATGGACTCAAGTTCCCACAATGCTCTGCACAGAGACAGCCATGAAAAAATGACTTCCCAAAAAAGAAGTTTCCAAAATGTGAATTGAGAGAAATAAACTCCAAAGAAAATCGAATCTAAACATGTCAGCTCATCCAGTCAGTCAGTATCAAACACGTCATGTTCAGGCCTCACCTTCCTCATCCACAGCCAGCACAGTGGCTCCTCTACTCAGCAGTGCCTGCACCACCGTAGCCAGGCCGTTACGAGCTGCAAGATGGAGGGGCCTGCGAGAGAGAGCGAGGGAGAGGATGAAAGACAGCCAGACGAGACGCTATCGGTCTGACAGCCTGTTATTTTCAGATCGGGAACATTTTTATCAAACGTGAAGACCAGAGAAAAGACAGGATGTTCGACAGAACGACAAAATCAGCAAATCTGTGTCGTTAAAATAACTTCGATTGACATTAGATCATAAAGACAGAAGTACAAAGCTGCTGATCGTTTAAGGTTTTTAGTTTTAAGCCAAGATTCTCACATTTGCAGAGCACTGTTGGTGGCGTTTATGAGTGTCGGACTGTGGATCTCTCCCAGGATCAGCAGGGCGCACATCTCATGAGCCTGAGGACCAGAACGGAGAGGAAAGTTACACACGGTCATTTTCTGTCATTGTTGGCTTAGCTTTTAAGGAAAGACTTGGAAACGGGATCTGTGTTTGTTTAGGCGAGTGAAGTCTAAACACAGTGGGGGAAAGTGGAGCTTTGTGTTTCTGACGGGATGAGTAATCGCTGTGTTTACCTTGCTGCAGGCCAGGTGCAGGGCAGTGTTCTTGTTCTCATCCAGCAGTGTCAGGTCAGCCTTGGCCCGGTGAAGGAGGATGGCTGGAAGACACAAAAACAATCATATCCTGCAACAGCAGACAGACACCCTCATCTGTCAACGACGCTAACAGAAGAGACGCAACAGGTTTTCCGAACTCTCAAAAGAACAGCAGGTCTGCGTCTTACCCACGGTTCCGCTGTGTCCCTTGTCAGCAGCTACCATCAGAGCGGAGCGTCCACTTTTGTCCACTGTATTGATCTCTGCCCCATGGCGAAGCACCAGCTGAAGTCCTGCGACATCCTCAGCAAATGCAGCAGCATGCAGTGGGGTCCTACGAGTTGACAGAGCGTGAATATTTGAAAACAGAGAAGACGGATAAATGCTGTCCTCATGTTGTTCCCACATAAACGGGTCTTTTGTTCGCAGACTCACCTTCCTTTGGCATCTCTGGTGTTAATCATGTGGACCCCAGCAGATTCCAGCAGCCTCTCTGCAGCACCGCTGTGGCCATTCAACCTGTGAGCCAGAGAGAGGCGTTAACAATTGACTTTGAAGGTTGTTTGCTCTCCCTGAACTGCAGAAAGTTTTCTATTTTGACTCAAAGTTTTGAGTTTATGAAGAGGTGATACTCACAGAGCACAGTGCAGGGGGGTGAAAGGGTTTCCCTCTTCATGGATAAATGTTTTGAATTCAAGTAAAACCTCCAAACAGTCTTCATGCCCTGAGAACAAACAAACACACAGCGTTTCAAACAATCGTAAACATCAGCAGCTTTACAGATCGGCCATTCACGGTCAATAAATCTATACAAACCTTTGTAAGCAGCCCAGTGTAATGGGGTGTATTGTTTGTTGTCCAGCAGTGTATCTTGTGGGTCTGTTGCCATGGCGGCCTGCACCAGACTGGCCAGGATCTCGGTGTGGCCTCTGGATGCAGCGTAGTGCAGAGGTGTCCTACCCTGGACGTCCCGACACAGTGCAGAAGCTTTGTGCTCCAGCAGGGCTGTAACACAGTCATCGTGGCCCAACACGGCCTGGACAAAGAGCAGCAGGAAGAGGAGAGGGACGCAGTCAACACTGGGACTTTAAAGCTAAATGTAACACATGTTCAAGTCTCTGACCTCCTGCTACCTTGACCCACAATATTAGATGTTCCATTTAGGTCTAAAAAAAGAAACCTAAACCCTGTGCTGACAGCAGATTCTGACATCTATAGCTTATCCTTATCAGAAAGGATTTTAAGCAAATACTCAGAGTAGGTATATTATCTGACTACAGTATGTAAAAGCTGGATTTAGATCAAACGCCGCAGTCAAAGTGAAGATTTTCATCAAGGCTGCTGAACTAGAAACACTCAAAGACGCTGAATAGAAGAAACAGTTCTGAATGCAGCGCTACATTACCCCTGCACTCTTAATTCCAGCTGTGACCCGACCTCTCACTGCTTTACTTCTGCTCTGCTGCTACCACTGCATTTTGTTGTTAAAATCCTGTCGAGTTGTCCCTTTAAATGTGAGTCAGACTGTTATTTCAACTTTGCACAGAGACCTGCAGCCCACCAGGACCCGCAGGAGTGACTAAAAGGCTGGGTAAGCTGGTTGGTGTTGAAGCTAAAAAAAAATCCAAAAAGCTGCATCGATCTGACATAATAGTTCTTGTACAAAAACTTCAACGTGATTCCTACAGATGCCCTCTGAAGAGGAACGAGATGTTACGTCACATAGCTGGGATGCTACGCTAAGACAGCGGAACAGTTACCCTGCTGCCTCCTAAGTCAGCTAGAAGGAAAATTCAGACTAAAGGATATCTGCAGCCGAAAGATGTTAAGGTAGAAGTTGAACTAAATATAGTATGATGTTTATTTTGTAATTTGGGGCCACGACAAGAGTAAACTAGCTGATAAAGAAAGGTTTTCTTTGACCAGTTGGTGCCACTTGCCAATCAGGAACAAGGTGAAGGACTTTATTTCCGCTGTCTTGCTTGAATGTCTGATATTCTGCAGCACTGTGCGGCCACACGCAGAGTTTTTGACCTACCCCTCTGTGCAAAGCTGTTCTGCCCCTCTTGTCCTTGGCGTCTGGCAAGGCGTCCTTCTCCAACAGGAAGTGGACACAGTCGGTGTGACCTCCCTGGACAGCGAGCATCAGAGGAGTCCTAAAAAAAAAGTGTGACAAAGGGACGATTACAGATGTGAAGAGATTAAATAAGCATCAGGTGTTATATTGTTTATGATTAGGAGCAACAGTTTCAAAAGGAAACAAACTCACTGGCCAAATTTGTCTGCAATGTTGATGAGATCCCCCTCCTCTCCGTAATCGATCATCATGCGCAGGCAGTCTGAGTGACCATTGGCAGCTTGAACCAAACAAACAAATAAGTATGTTTATCTTTTAACTCTGCAGAAAGGTCATGATGGTACAAAACTACACTGCAGTATACCTGAAACATGAATTGGGGTCCACATGAGGCGGTTGTCGTTGAGGAGACAGGAGGCCCCCTGAGCCAACAGCACCTCCACACAGCGGGCAAAGCCTTTCTGGGAGGCCAGGTAGAGCACGGAGCGTCCCGCAGCGTCCTGCATGTCCACATAGGCCGCAGTCTCCGTCAGCACACGCAGCGCCTGCCAGTGTCCTTTATCAGCCTGAGGGAGCGGAGGAAAAGACGACGAGGTTTCAGTCAACTCTAGCCGACATTATGAGAAGTGATGACCTAGAGAGAGATTGTTAAGTGCTTGACTCACAGCGAGATGCAGAGGACTGACTGGAATACTGCTTTCTATGTCTCCAAGTGCATTAAAGGACATCTCCAGGAGCTGAAATACAAAAATACAAGACAAGTTATTAACTGAGGAGAGATTTAAGAGAAAAAAATATATATATTTCTGCATATTTTTGTGATCATGCCTAGCCTGCAGAGAGACCTGCTCAGACATCAGTGAAACAACAGAATAAACACCAGAGCATCATCTGTCACATCTTTGGAAGTGTTTGCATGAGTCCATGTCATTTGAGACATATATAGGTGACCATAAAGTTACAAGGTAAACAGTGAAGTGATTTATGTTTTATAAAGTCCTCAAAAACTTATCAAGGACCTCTTCAAGGATGAGGATTTCTTTGTTTTGTCTGTTAAATCAAGTGAAACTCACCAACTCCAGGTTCTGTTTGTTGCCATGGTAAGCTGCATAGTGAACAGCACTGTAACCCTTCGAGTTGACCATGGATGGATCAGCACCGTTGTCCAAAAGATGCTCCAAACAGCTGGTGTGCAGAAGGGGGGAAAAAAACACTGATGTTTAGAGGCCTGAAAGTTTTCAGCAGAGGAGTGGGAAAGAAGGGAAAACTCACAAGTATGATTCCTTTGCCTCGTCCTCATCGTTCTGATGGTTCCCAGAAAAATGACGATCAACCCTGAGGAGGAGAAAAAGAAACACTCAGACTCAGGAGGCCTTTTTGGGGTCAGTCCAAAATAGAGATTTTCTACAGTCTCTCACTTGTTTTTCATCTGAAGATGTTTTGCATTAAAATCAGAGTCAAGTCAGGACAAAGACAAAGTCCTTTTAATGCACCAATTATCAACCTGCTCATGACTATTTCAACAGTTAATCAATTTTATGAGACAACACTTGACTCCCTGCCAGACTTGAGGCGAGTCTGCTGCCTTCCCTCACTCCCTTCTGGTGTTTTAAAGAAAACGTGTGAATAAGAAGAGAGAGTTTGATTCGGACCTGCTGAAGGCTTGGGAGGCGGCAGAGTAGTGCAGGGGAGTACAGCCTGTCTGGTCAGGCTCGTTGACCTCAGCGCCAGCGCTCACCAGGGTCACAGTGCACTGGTACCTCCCATTAGCAGCCGCATAGTGCAACGGGGTCCTACAGCGAGGATGGCGAGCAAGAAAATGAGGTCATGTGAAGAACAGTATTATGTACTCAGAGATTCAGAGAGCTAACAAGGAGGAGTGCAAGCTTACCTTCCCATTATGTCCCTCTTATTCAAGTCGGTACCACTACTTAAGAGCAAGTTCAGACATTCAACATTTCTGCAAGAGGAAGAGATGACGTTAAAGTTGCATTTAACGTGAGAACCGAATATGTGGAGTCATTGTAAGATTACAGTGACAAAGCAGATTGTGTGTCTCACCCTCCAGAGGCAGCAGCGTGTAGACAGGTCCTCCCAAAGTTGTCAGGGGTGTTTATGTCAAACCCAGCCGATAGTACGTGCTCCTTACTCATGGATGAAACTATACTATACAGCTGACCTGCAGGGTTTCCAAGAAAAAGTGGACTGTAACGGCAACGTCCAAGAATGTACAAACACAGAGGAAGAAATTAAGTTGACGAGGGAGGACGTGAGTTTAAAACGAAGACAAACCTGAGGAGAGTAACTTGCGACAACAGTCTGAAAACCCGTACAGCACAGCTAAGTGCAAGGGGAACATTCCATGGATCCCACGTCTGCAAAAGCGAGAAAAAAAGACGCAAACAAGATCATCAAAAAGTTAATATAAGTGTTTTACAGCTTTACAGATATACATTAGAGTCTGTTTTTACAACCCTGATGATATTTATCACCAATACCACTTAGAGCTCTCAGATACCTGGCCGTGTCTGCTCCGTTGGTCATCAGAGTGCTGATCAGCAGTTCATGGCCGTACTTAGCAGCAACGTGGAGAGGAGTATTGCCATACTTATCCACACAATCAATTTCCCCACCTGACAGAGAGAAGACGAGAAAAGGGAGTGAATTAAAGACCTACAAGGACAAGAGATGAGCGGACGATTCTGAGAGACGATGACTGACCGTTTTGGATGAGAATCTGAGAGCGTGTGAAGCGTCCATGAATGGCTGCCATGTGCAAGGGGCTTTTCCCTTCTTTGCTCTGTGGGGTGAAGACACAAAAATCACATCCTGTCATTTCAGAGGAACACTTCTGTCCATTCCTATAACTGCAGCCTGATGCAGTGCTGCTGTTATTTCCATTCAAGACCCTTCATACCTGCTGGTTGACATCTGCCCCATTGTTGACCAGCAACTCCAGACAGAGGGCACCGTTGGTGGAGACGGCGGCCAGATGCAGAGGGGTGTAGCCGCACTTGTTGGGCTGGTTAACGTTAGCTCCGTGGTTCACCAGCTCTGTAGCCACAGCCTCCTGCCCCATGTAGCAGGCCACATGGAGGGGAGTGTTTCCAAAGCTGTTGGGCTCGTCGATCTGGAAGGAAAACACACGCAAGAAAGAAACATCAGAGCGTGCCAAAAAAAAGAGCTGGATGATAAAGCACTCTTGGTAATATTGAGGCATCTTAAGTTGGAAAAAAAACATCAATATGGAAGAAAAAAGTAGCGCTCACCTCTGCCCCCATCCGCAGTAGGTACTTTACAATTTCGATGTGACCGCTGGCAGCAGCAGCATGAAGAGGTGTGTAGCCTTGCTTGTCCTTACAGCTCTTGTCTGCACTGCGGGACACGAGCAACTTCACGACGTCTACATGTCCTACAGGAAACACACAAATATGACACCATTTAAACTCTCCATACAGAATGAGAATGCAACATATTAAGACATCATCACGACATCATGTTTCTGTCTTTCACCCGTGATTTATAATCCAAGTTACTGCTCATCATCTTCGTGCGGCTAACCACGAACAATATGAGCCATCACTGCTATTAGACAATGAGGATTTGTGCTGAGTAGCCCTGGCAAGAAGACGAAACCTGCTTACCCAAGTAAGCAGCACAATGGATGGGCTGTCTCTCCTTCTTATCGATGGCACTCAGGTTGGCCCCTTTGTTCAGCAGCAGCTTCACCATCTGCAAAAGAGAAGAGTGTATTTATAGGTTCTCATCATGTAAGAGAGCGCTCAAAACGGAAAGGAAATAACCGTGGACGTACCTCCTGGAACCCACTCTGAGCTGCATGGTGCAGGGCAGTTCTGCCGGTGCGATCTGCCATGTTCAGGTTGCTCAGCTGGGTCAGCAGAGCCTCTGCGCAGCGCGTGGCACGGTTGGCAGCAGCCACATGCAGAGGTGTCTGCCAGAACTTGTCTCGTGCGTTCGCCTCTGCACCGCGCCTCAGCAGCAGACCCACTGCCCTCTGGGGAAAGCAGACGCAAATTCAAGAGCTTAGAGCATATTTCATATCTCTGGTTTGCTGCATTTTCCTCCGTCAGCATTACATGAATCTTAATGAGGGTTTTAAGCGCTGTGGACAGAGGCTTAATTGAATTAGTCGAAGTTTTCTGGCAGGGATAATTCGACTGTTTTCAAGAATAAAATTAATGACTTCAACGCTTACTTCATTTCTGGAAGCAGCTGCCCTGTGCAATGGGGTCAACCATACATGGTCTTTAGCATTTACAGTGGCACCTGCAAAGTAAAAAAGACACAAAACATGATTAAAAATTGTGACTACACTGTGAAATGACAATGATGGAGAGGCCTACAGGGGTTATAACAAAAGATGGAGCCTGCACCAAATTTAAAGGGAAGTCAAAACACCAAAAATAACCTGATTCAATGAGGAGGTCCATTATATGGACGTCGCCCACACAGGCAGCAGCATGAAGTGGCGTACGGCGCTCTTGGTCCTGTTTAAAAACATAAAATAAAACAATATAATGAGTTTGATTTTCGTCTGTTACCATACTACGAGGCCCGTCTGTGCCCTTGATAATATGAACCCTCTGGACTTTGCAGGGCAGCTATGCATCATACATACCAGTGCATTGACATCCTCCTTTTTGTGCAATATTAGTTGAACTTCTTCAGCATTACGATTGAAGATGGCCTGGACCAGAGGAGGCTGCAATTCAGAGAAAAACAGAAGGGTTACGGCTACGAGAGAGAGCTGCAGACATTTACGCTAATGTTAACCCGGGCATGAACGCCAGGATTCATCTAGTTCTTTCTACAAACCATAATCTCGAAGTTAAATCCCTCCAAATGTTATCGTTTTTGTGTTATTGTGCGTAATGCATTGATCGTACAGTTAAATAACCGAGTGCGATTATGTATTTCTTCCAGCAATTACTCGGAGCCCTAGTCTGAGGCCTGCAGGCCCTTGTCTCTCCACGTACGTCAGCTAGCCAAGCGGCTCTGGCTAATTCCGCTCCAGAGCTGGCCCTGACCCAGAGGAGGGCCTATACTAGAGCAGCAACAACGTATATGTTCGTGTACGAAAGCCAAACATCGCCTACTGTGAGGATCTATAATATGAATACTCGAATTTACAACACGATACGGGTGCACGATCAATCAGCAGCCCACGGACGGAATTCGTTCCGCGAATTAGACGTTTTTTGTTGCGCACAAGAGCAGGTCTCTCCCAGCAAATAGACTGCGCCACAGCACGAACACGGAGTGCTTTTCTTTTCAGCGTACCTGGTCTGCAATGTTGAGTACTCCCATCTCCCAAACTCAGCCAGGACGGAGCTCCTTCATGAGGATAGAACTTCGAGGTATATTGCGGTGCGCTACTATATCCACTTTTCAGACTACACCCATCGCTGGTTGCAAACAGAAATGCGGTCTTGATCTGTCACTGTTGTTGTCTGTATCCTATGTCTGGTCTGACGATACAGGCTACGACTGTGCTGGTCCGCCTACAGGCGTGGCGGTCTGGTTTCGCCTCCGAGGGTGAAATGGCACCATCGTATGGGGGACATCTATAACGCACCCTGTAAGTACCTGCATCGACTGAATAATACAGTGACAAAGGACATGTTCATATTTCATGAAGCATCTGATAGATAAGGGCTGGGACGATATGCTTATCTTCCGATTCGATTCTTCTACAATTTTTGGATGCCGATTCGATTTAAATCTCGATTTTACAATATTGTCGATTGTCTTGATTTTTAGTCTGCATTTACGACACCAGTGAAACAGAATGGTTATGATTGTCCACTAACTATTCCTGGAACCATATTTTCCCATAAAATACACATCACATGTAAGTCAGTTTTTAAGATTTATTCTTAAATGAATGCAAAAAAACGGAAGTCACTGATGCAAAAGAAAGAAAGAAAGAAAGAAAGAAACCAAAGTCCACTGCAAATAAAAAAGAAATGGTGCAGATTAAAAAAACATGTATATTTTTTTCTTTTCCATTGCCACTTTTTTTTTTCGTTGAGAACTTCCGTTGTGGCTTTTTTATCTGCGCTCTTTTTTTCTTTATTTGCAGCAGTGGCGGTTTTCGGCCACTGTAGATTTTTCAATGCAGTTAAAAAAAGCTCTGATGTACAACAAAGTTGATTCAACGTCCAAAATTAATAATTCTACATGGCAAATAAAAATGTTGACTTATTTGTGCCTTCTGTTTTTGTAAATTCTGGAGAATTTAGTCTCTTCGCAGTGAGACTTATAGTTAGCTATCAGATGCTTCATGAAATATGAACATGTCTATTCGGTTTCTTTTTGCTTTTTTGCACCAGTAACTTCCCTTGTGACTTTTTTTTTTTTCCATTCTTTTTTTTTATTTGCAGCAGTGGCGGTCCTCAGCCACCGTAATAAACAAATCAAAAGATGACCTCAAAAGCGTTGATGCACAAACAGCGAAAGAAATAAGATGCGTTATTCTCCACACCGTTGGGGGGCGCAGTTGCACCATGACGCGGTTGGATTGTACCGAAGATTAGCGGACAGAAGAAAGGGACAGTTTGTCCCACCGGCGTTTTATTTAGCAGCAGAAGGTCGTCGGCGGCTCGGCTGTATTTGACAATAATGAAAACGTGAACAAGACCGAATAACTGTAATTTGTTTCAGTTTGACTCTAGAGACGTGGAGTAGTGTCAGTATTTCTCTTAAAACAGAGGGATGGGGCCGTTTGTCGCGTTCCGCTCTGGCTCGTTATGAAACCTTGCTAGCAGAGGTTCGCTAACGTTAGCAGTTGATCATCGTCACTGACGTTAGTTACGCCGAGAATCCCTCCTCCCGGTCTTGGACCAGACCCCCCCCCGGGCCCATCTGCCCTGATCCAGGACCCTCTTCCTCTCACTGAGTTGCCGGTTTGATGGCAGCTACAGCCGGAGCTCGGCGGTTACCTATGGGAGTGCGGACTTTCAGTGACTTTCTGCAGATCGCTACGGTGGGCTCCCCTCGCTCCTGCCGCACAGCGGTGACGAGAGGATGTCTGCGACAGAACATCAGGTGAGCCTGTCACGAACACACACTAACAGGCTATTATTATAACAACATACAGTTCGAGCTTCAACACAGAGCGGCAGACACAGGGCCCCCTTTAGACTGAGCGGTATGGAGTGAGAAGGTTACGGGCCAACTCTGTCAGGGTGGTCCACTTTCAGCTCTTATCTCGAAGGAGGGTGCAGGGACCTTGTTACGTTGGCACCCTGTTGACCCGGGTCTAGTCTAGACTCAGTTACTCATTATGAGTGAGTATGTATATTTCATGAAAATCTAAGGGATATGGACCAAAGTCGGGTCCCTATCTTTCCCAGTTTTGACTTTCAGTCAGTACTTTGTGACCCCCTTGCTCTTGTACCAATGACAACCATCCTACTGTTTAGAGACACTTTGTATTTATCAGATATAATGATGAATCATAATGTGAATACTCAGAAATCACAAGACTGCTGTTTTGTAATTATATAATAGTCACTAATGCATGTAGGGTAATTCATTTCTGCATGATAATAATGCAGTATGTTTCCCTAATGCAATATTTATTGAAATATCAGAAACTACAGTTGATTTGTGGTAAAAACATGGTATCTCCTTCATGTGTATCAATAATGTAAATGCACATGAAGGACATGTGCTGGTGATGTGCAATAACATAATTAAGTATTGTGATATCAATATGCAGAGTGATAAATAGGCTTATATTAGGGCTGGGTGATATTGGAAAAAGTTAATCACAATATAAATTTTTCATATCAGTCAATATCGATATATATCACAATATAAAAAATGAAGTTTAACAGTGTTTATTGTTTGCATGCCTTTTGCAATACAATAAGCTACTGCATCTGTGAGGTCTTTGTGTCTCTTTGACGTTTTGTCGTAAGGTGTTGCTCTAGACTAGAGAAAGCTGACTGAATGGTCAGCTGTTTCGGCGGCACAGGTGCCATGGGCTTCTTGCTCCACTCAGGGTTGGTAGCTTTTTGCATTGTGCGTGCGTTGTGCTGGGCGCTGCTTCAGGTGGTGAAAAAGATTTGCGGTATTCCCCGACTTTGTGAGAACATGTACTCGACATAATTTGCAGTGCACATTACTCTGCTTCATGCCCGATCTCAAAAAAACAAAATACCTCCACACCACCGACTTTTTCGTGCCAGTGTTGTCGACATTTTTTTTAAGCCTTTATCTTGCACTCATTTTCTTTTTTTCTCAGCGACAGTGCTGTCGGCTTCACGTGTTAAAGTGCTATGGTTGTGTGTAGCTGCAACCTGCTACTACACAGTTGTTTGCCACTTGGTTCTAATTAAGCACATGATTGGTTCAGTGCGAAGTGGACCCGGAGCAACTCTCCTTTTCATCGTATAGTCTACCAAAACATGGCAGAATGCCGACAACCGAAAAGCATATGGACTATGTTCTATATTGATATTGAGGAAAATTAATCATCGATGTATTTCGTTACCGTTGTATCGCCCAGCCCTAGGTCACCTGCTGATGATGTGCAAAAACATAGTTAAATATTGTGATATCAGTATGCAGAGTGCTAAACAAGCTTATATTAAAGAGTTTATATACACTAAAATAACTCAATAACTTGTTGAACATAAAGAGGTAAACACAAAAGAGGGTTAAACAAGAAACTACTTCACTGGTTATCAAGTGTAGTTATTTGCATCAGCTTTAATTAGGTAAAAATACAAAGTGTACTCCCATAAGTATTAATGTTTTGTTCTAATCAGAAATCATTAGTTTGAGGCTGTCAAGACTCTACCGTCCACCTACAGGAAAACACATCGCTAAGTGATGCAACAAGCCTGAGTGGGTGTCACTGCATACCTTTTTTTCCATCAGCACAACAGAAACAGAAAACACCAGCACCCTCACAACACACAGACCTTCCATGAGCTGCTGGTTCTGTGTTCATTGAGTTAGGCGGCTGTAAACTGGAACATAGTGGGCCTTTTTTTGTTGTTGTTGTTGTTGAGCAGTTTGACTTCTTTCTGGAATCTGGCGCTCATGACATTTTCTCTTAACTTGTAGACACTTGTCATCATGTGGCATTTTGATGACAAGATCTCCCAGAGTGCTTTGCCTTCAAGATTGGGACACAATGACCGCTGCTCCCCAAAGCAGAAACTTCATCAGTCTGACCAACAAAAGGAAGGAATACTCCGAGCGTCGGATACTGGGGTAAATTTCCAGTCTGAGCTTATGATAAAGTCACCTTCTGGTACCTTTTGATTTTATTCTCTCTGATTTTACACTCTCTGTTTCAGCTTTTCAATGCAGGAAATGTACGATGTTGTGGCCAACGTTGACGAGTACAAGAACTTTGTCCCCTGGTGTAAAAAGTCCCAGACCATCATGAGAAGAGCGGGCCACTCCAAAGCCCAACTTGAAGTGGGATTTCCTCCAGTGGTCGAGAGATACACGTCCATGATCACGAGTGTGCGGCCTCATCTAGTCAAAGTAAGTGCATGAAGCTTCTCTGTATCCGTTTCATTTTTGGTTGGCTGTGGTTTTTATGCAGTACCGCAGATTAAATAAACAACAAAAGGCTTCTGGGACACCAACTCAATTCGCTCAGACTAAATATTTCTGCGGTGTTCACAGAGTGTGTCATTTGTGTGACTTTCAGGCGGTGTGTACAGATGGAAAGCTGTTCAATCACCTTGAGACAATATGGCGCTTTAGTCCCGGCATTCCTGGCTACCCTCGCACCTGCACCGTAGATTTTTCAGTAAGTCGCCCTCAGTTTGGTCACTGTGATGACTCATATGATGTGTGATATGATCTCTTGCCCTGCGCTTCTCTCTTGACACGCAGTTTTGCATTTTTAAGTCTTGATAGTAAACACTGAGCTTCACCTGGGTCACTCATTTTGCACTTGCTGCTTTTACAGATTTATGTACAACTTTTTCTTTGCTAAGAGTATTAACTTTCTCAACCCCTAAAATTAGCAGAGCACGAGTGTTTTGCCTCCTGTCAGAGTTTCACAGATTTAGAAATATTTAACTCTTGAAACCTGCAAGAACACAACTTTTTAGTCACATTGCATACTCACAAGTGATAGAGGCTCAAAAGTCACGGAATAAGAACCAAATTGAACTTTAGATCAAACACAGACAGACTGAGTAACCTGCTGTTAGTGTCCAGCTACTCATGGATGTACTCTGTTACGCTTCAAACCTGCTTACATTGGGCCAGGAAGTGAGACAGAGCTAAACTATGTGGACAGAACACTAAGCTCACACATTTGAGGTGTTTTAGGCGTGAGTCTTCACTCTGCCTTGACTCAATAACAGGACTTGTCAACACTCAATCTTGATTTGAAACCTGGTTTGAGCCTGATATCTTTGTTGAAATCATGCCATAGCTTGTGCCAAAGGTTAGCCCAGGGCTCGACAGCACCACCGTTTCACTCGCATTTGCGACTAAAAATAGATGTGTGCGAACTGTAAAATGTATTTAGGGGCTCATGTGTGCATTAAAAAAAATCAGCCAAGGCAACAAATTTTTTTTCATGAAGTTAGTCTTAGGTTGGATATTTGACGGACATTCACTGCAGATCTACCGGTGTCTTCTCACTCTCCATAACCAGGAATCCTCTTGGCATCTTCGCTGTCAACGTTGGGTGTTGAATAAGGGACCATCAATAAATTACTGGTTGATGTTCTCAAAAAAGGCTGTTTTCCTTCAATAGCTACCATGTCATGTGACCAAAAGACCTAAAATTGATTTAAAATAATAATACTTATGTCAACCAATAAGACACACCTCTTTATTTTCATAATTTGTCCTTATACATTTTTCTTACCCTTTTTTTTGTGCTAACACGAACTAAATTGATTGTTGTTTTCATCCTCCACAGATTTCCTTCGAGTTCCGCTCTTTGCTGCACTCCCAGTTAGCCACCATGTTCTTCGACGAGGTCGTAAAGCAGAACGTCGCCGCGTTCGAGCGGCGAGCCTGCAAGATGTACGGCCCAGAGACTCGTATCCCGAGAGAGCTGATGTTTCACGAGGTGCATCAGACGTGATCTCAGCAGCTGTATTTTTTCTCATCTGGCCTTAAATCATACCTACCTTTTTATGTTTGCCATCCATACGACCCTGCATGATGCTGCTCAGTCGGCAAAAACTTCAAGGCTCCTCACATACAAAGACATCCAGCTCTCGTAAGCATTATGTTGGAGTTTTTGCATCAACATCAACTCCTTGTGTTAAGTTAGTCCACTTTCTGTCTACCTCCACTCAAGGGATCCTTCTCCAACAGAAGGAACCCTCCATTACTCTTGCTTTATGGCAGTTTCAAGCTGTATTTATGTGAACAAACCAGTAAATAATTCCAACACCATGGTACCAATGGTAGAGAGTCAATAATTATTCTAAACAGCACAGAGACACTGAAGACAAGAACACTTATTTCTGTAAAGGCACAGACTTCTGCGATCTTCTCTGATAGTTCACTGTGATCTCAAAGTTTCCGGACACATTGAAACTTGATCCAGTCAGTTTTTAATTCAGTTCAACACTTGAATCAGCTTATTATACTGTATTTGAAACATGTAATCTTTGCCTTTACTTTGCTCTTTTGGTTCATATTGAAGATTTAATATATTGTTTGAGTTGTGGTAGTGAAAAAAAAAAATCATTTCATCTGTTTTAATTTATCCATCAGTTAAGTGCACATTTTAGCTGTTTTACCAGGGGTGGAATTAAACGTGCCATGTTTCGAGTGTTGGGAGTTTGTCACTTTGAATCGGGACTAAAAGACATAAAGTGTAAAGGGAAAAAAAAAGGCTCATTCGCTTTAATCGGCTGTGTCCTAAATCAACTTTTAGTTTGGGGAACTTAAGCTTTAACTTGCCTGTTGTGCTGTGAGAGTTGTGTTTTTGGACGTTGAGACTTGGCCTGCAAATTTCAACAGTACTTTATTTTTTTACAGCCCAGCGGTAGTTCGCACTCTATCTACAGGAACTTTTGCACAAACCAGATCCACTCAAGTGATCCATGGACCAATCATACAGCACTGTAGAGTACTCGAAATGGATTTGCAATAAAAAAAAAAAAGAAGTTTTAAATGAATTTTAAGATCTTTTAAAAACGCATGTGATTTTCAAGTTTAAGTGCGGGTCATCAGAGGATGTCGCTCTTCTGTTTTGTACACTTAGAGAGTGTAAGATCTACTGTTGGGCTGTATCATTAAGAGTTATTCATATTTAACTGTGTCTGAGTGTCATGATACTTATTTGGGATGTTTTTGCTTTTATTCTCATCGCTTAAGATGTTTCAGTGTTTAAAATAAGCAAACAAAGTCGCCAATATTTGCTTCATCTTATTAGAACAGGAGTAGGTAAATTGAATCCACATATATATAAACAGCCTGTGGCATTATTCCATGATAAAGGGCTCGTGAAGAGAAATGATTGTATGGCGGATCGGTGATATCAGTCAGCTGTTACACCCCTCCTCTCCAAGTCTCATACTCCAGAAAGACTGTGAACTTTACAAGCTGGATTTTGGTGATAAAAGTTGATGTGGTTTGTCTCATGGTAAGGGAAATCGATGTGAAGGGATCGCTCATCATCAATGCATGAAGAATGTTTGTGTTTTACATTAACTCACTGTTACATAAAAATAAAGAGGCCACACTTCCTACGATTGTAAAAATACAATTTTGAGTGTTATATCATCTATAAGATAGTTTAATTCTATTTTATACCATATTCTATTCAGGCATGCTGTTCCTAATGGTAGTAAAGTCGCATCATGGAAGAGCGCACCTTAGCTCCAAGTTTTTCTTACTCTGGAGATGTTTCATTTTCACGTTAAGGTATGCTGATCGAATTTTATGCCAAGTTTCTTTTATTTTAGGTGCCAATACTCTGTAAATCAAACACAAACGTTAAAGAGGTGATGGTGTAACCCTGAAAACCATCACTGCAGCCCTCCCTCCTTACAGTGTTCCCCCTGACCTATTCTGACCCCTCTCCCTCATAGTGTTAGTCTAGTCTGGAAAGTTAAGTACATCACAATCACTGACTGAAGGGTTGCTACAATAGATGCCATATTTTTGCAGTCCAATCACTATTTTTTGTTGCAAGCTAAAGTGTATCTTTGTAAATACCGTGGGTGTATCTCAGAGCTTTGTTATTTAAATAAAAAAGGCAGGTGGAGTTTGTTTGTGTGTGTCTGTACTTTTTGTGTCTAATTCCTTCTCGTACACATTTGAAGCGATTAAACTACACAAACACACTTTTTTATGGTTGTAATTGTGTGGATTTGGATGAACATTTGGGCAGAGGGGACGTGGGTTCAGTGACAGAGGGCACAGGCAGCTGACCAACAAGAAACCAGAGTGGGGTGACGGTATGTGGGACAGTTATTAATAACAGCACGTAGGAGAGGAGGTGTATGATGACCTTGGATCTACTCTCATCATCACATCAGTTTTTTTGTTTTTTTTTAATGTCAAATTCAGACTTGGACAAACCTTTTTTATTGGGGAGGGAAAACAGAAAAAACAAGCAGAGATGTTTCCACAAAAATTAAAGTTTGATCATCTGAGTGTTTATATCATATTCATAATAAAATGTGTAAAACATGACGTGTAAATTTAAGGTTCATGAGTATATTTTAGTGGAAGCTTAGCAGTAAAATTTCCAGTTCCTGTTCAGTGACTCTGGGAAACTCCCCGTACAATATTCCCAAAACATCCTTTGTTTTCAGGTTTAATTTTTCTGTTTCTTCTCTGGTAAATTAATTTGCATGTTTGTCACTGAACTTTTACCTTTGAGATCTCAGTCATCCTAAATGGGGTTACATTTTTGGACAAACTGATTAATCCAGGTGTGTCTGAGTAGTCACAGCGATCAGTCACACTTGGATTAATCAGTTTGTCCAATCATGTGAGACAGGAAATAAAGGAGCTGTCTTAAATTCAGGAAGTAGTGGAGCTGTGCATTGGAGCCCACTGCTGCAGTCTTGTTTCTGAAAACAAAAGACTGTGTGTAAGAGTCAGACACACGTGCAGCTTTCTTTGTGTGGTCCCAGTGCAGACAGAGTGTTACTGATGTCATTATAAATAAGTCAGAAAAAAGGTGAAGATTTAACTTGGGGAGCAGGTTTTAAAACCTCGAGTCAAAATCTGGACATTAAATGGATATTTAGAGACGTCATCATGGGTGTTATTCTGCTCTGTATCATTCAATAAATTCTCCGTATGAACCTTTTTAAGTGCCTCTAGAAGCCCTTACAACAAGCCTTCCTAACACTGTATTCCAATATTTATTCTAAGTTTTATACAAAGGTATGGTTTATAATCTATTATACCGCAGTGCAAAAGAAAGAACACAATAATAAAAAAGATAATTCTTGTCTGATACTTTACTTACCGCTATAAATTCCTGTTCATCAGTTCTGATAAATGTGTTTTAGGAACATATAATCAATAATCTCATGCAGTGTTGTCGCTTTAGGCACCCTAAGTCATGTTTTAACATGTGAGTATTAAAAAGACGCTTTTTCATGTGAGAGTTATAGAAATTATATATACATATTTTTTTAAATACACAGAATGAGCTCTTTATGAACCAAGTTGTGTCGTGTTATTAAACCTCACCTTTATAAGGCATTATTATACTTTTTTTGATAGACATACTGTATAAGCTCTTATAAGTGCTTATTATCACTCAAAAGTGTTGCTTTCAAGTCTTATAGTTGCATTTATTAGACTTCATCAATGTGCTCATGGTGCATTAAAGGAGATGGTTCATTTTTATCCAGGAAAACCTCACTGAGATTAAAAATGTTTTTGATATCCGTGACCTTTCTCCAACAGCAGCACAAACTTTAATCAAATACTACATTCACTGCTGCACTGGTTATTTCTCTCACTAGAGTCTTTGTGGGTTTTTGGAGACTCTCCCTCACCTTTTCATATTCTTGAAGCAAATGCTTCACTGTCACCTGCTCAGTCCTGAAAGAGGTGATCATCCACCCACACCTGGACACCACACATACCTCCTCAGAGGCTGTGGAATCAGCTGCAAACCTGATGTTTTAAACACACCACATGACAGATGTGATCGACACGGAGAGACAAAACAACACAGAGAAGTGTTAATAAAAACCTTTATTATTTTCCATTTTTTGTTAGGTTTTTTTTTCCAATATTTGCTCTTCAAGCTTTTCTTGCCCTTTTGACCCTTCCAGCCCTGTCCCCCAAGTGTTTCTCTGATGAATCCGTCTGCACTGAATTCTCCCAGTTATCACGAACAACCTTTATGCTCCTCTACGATCAAAATAACCACACCTCTTAAACCGACCCGCCACATGGAAGAACACAACAACACACGCGCACGCATACACACACGCCTGATACAGCAAGAAGGAAGATGGTAGCAGAGCGGAGAGATCTGAACGTCCGAGCGATTGAGCGAGCGAGCGACGAACACGGCAAGAGAAGTTTGAAAAGAAGATGCGAGAGCTTCAACTACATAAAAATGGAGTGTTGACAAACCCAGGACTTAAGAGCAAGCTTGAAACAGTCAAGTGAAACACCTGAAGAAGAAAAAAAAAGAAAAAAAACAGCACTGGCTAGGCCCACAGAGTGAGACGAGAAATCGTGTATGTACAAGTTAGCTGCAGATTATTCCGTTTGTTCTTTGAGTTTTTCGCAGCGACGCCGCTCCAATGTTGGTAAACTGTGGTAATCATTGTGGTTGTTACAAGCAAGTGATCACACAGAGCTCATACATTCAAGCTATACATATATATACCTATGTACACAAAGTATAAATAAAACCACAAAATGAGAACCCAAAGATTATCGTTTTATACAAATTCAACACCAAAAAAAAAAGAAAAAAACTCTGTCAAAAGGGGACGCAATCAACCTGGGAGGGTTTCTACGACTACTAATTAGGAAATCCAATCAAGCAAGTGCTCATTTTGGAGTAGTTGATGTTAAAGCGCTCTCCTGTGGGGATTAACAAAACACACACTCAAATAAAGACAGGACTTGAGCTCACACGAAGCCCCCCTACATCCCACTTTTTTTGATTCAAGCTTGCTCTTAAGGATTTATTACAGGCTGACAATTACAACACCCTTTGCTCGAATCTTCGTTACCACTGTTACTGTACATTATTACTGATTCTCTACCATTCAGAAGACCCTTTTGAGCAGAGAGACGAAAAATAGGAGAGCGTGTTAAAGAAAAAAAAAAGAGCAGAGGGGAAATGATTATAAGACAAAAAGACCGTTATTTTGATCATAGAGGTAATACAGGTCATCTTTAAAACACGGACAAACGAAAAGTGGGAGAAAAAGGAGTAACACAGATTTAAAGGGGCAGTATCTTTTAACTGATTTATGTGTTAGTTTAGTTTTACATGTGAGGACCTTTGTTTCCAAACTGGAGTGTTCATACATGGGAGTGAGACGCACGGACAGCCTGGGTGGGACTGAGATGAGGGACAAAAAAGATGTCCGGCTTTGGAATATCCTAAAATAAATTTCTGCGTCAGCCAAAAGCAGGAAAGGAAAGGGATGCGCTTTAAATCTTTAAACAAACACAGGGGGATGATTGATTCACTCCCATAATTCCCTTTGAATGCCTCTGCCTACTCATAGGTCAGATCCAGTGCCCAATGAGAAACACCCAGGCACTGCACCGGGGAAATTCTTAGTAATGCTAGCAGACGTCTAATGGTACATACTTTGAGCCTACTGTGGGTTACATGTATGTGTGCGTGAAGTTTTCACCTCTCGTGGAGACTTGATGGGGAACTGATCGGTGTTTTTAAACTAAACACACTCGAAACACTAATGCTGTGACGATTTGAAAGGCCCTTCTTTTGTGAAATGACATTAAAAGCGTACTGTCTCTTTGAATCCCATTGTATCCCTGGGGTTGAAAATGACAGGGGGTCAACTTTTGTCTGCCTGTTTTTTTTGTTTTTGATATCTCCACCTCCTCCCACCCTTCACACTAACCCCCAAAACTCCTTCCAGGTGCGTCTTCAACCTGACTTTGCTCCCACCAGTGTCATGAGTCCATCTGTGCTCATGGACTTGGGGCGCTCCAAGGGGAAGCCCAGGGCTCTACTCCAGACGAGCTGAGCCAGCACGCCGAGAGCTCGGGACACGCCGAACAGCACTGTGTAGTAGTTCATCTCGGTCATTCCATAGTACTGGACAAGAAGAAGAGAGACAGGCATGTTAGAGTCGAGACTTTCAACTAAGAACTACCCAGAGCTAAGCTGGGATCAGACTGTTCTCCAATATGGATGAACAATGCTTTAGGAAATTTAGAAATGTAGTTAAAGCATGCCATATTTCCCCTCTAGCCCCTGACACGAAGAGCTACAGGGGTGAAATACCTGCAGCAGAACTCCACTGTGGGCGTCCACGTTGGGCCAGGGGTTCTTGGCCTTGCCCTGCTCCAGGAGCACGTTGGGTACAATCTTGTAAAGCTGAGCGACCAACTTGAACATGGGGTCGTTGGGCAGGTGCTTCAGGGCGAACTCGCGCTGGCAGGTGTAACGTGGGTCAGTCTTCCTCAGGACGGCGTGGCCGTATCCTGGCACAACCTGTGAAGACGGAGGATGATGTGAGTGAGGCTCACGCTGCTTTAGGAAACTCCTTGTACGGGCTTTTCTCAATGATAAGTATCAGTTATAAGAGCGATGCGTCTTTACCCTTCCAGACTTGAGTGTGTTCCAGATGTAATCCCTCATCTGTTCATCGGACACCTCTCCGCCCATCTCCTTCTGCAGGGCAGTCAGCCAGACCAGCACCTCCTGTGAGAAGTCAAAGAAAAACGCACATTGGATTTAAACTAATCAATACAGCTGGAGAGTGTACAACTCTCCTGCCTCTGTGTGTGTGATAGTATCAGTATGAAGTTTTACTGAAACTCTGAGATGTTTCTAATATGACAAAAAGTGTCATCATTAATTTGGGTGCTAATGAGCTAAAAGAACAAATCCTAAAATCTTTTGTGGAAAAAGGCCGACTGACATGAGCTGATAAATGCTTCCTCAAACAAACTTAGAAAGTCTCTCAAACTGCAGGTGACACACCTGCGAGCAGCCATAGTAATCATCTGCTCAGCACAAACCTGATTGGCCAGACCGTGAAGAGGACCTGCAAGACCGTTCATGGCGGCGCTGAAGGACAGATAAGGGTCGGAGAGAGCGCTGCCCACCAAGTGGCTGGTGTGGGCACTGACATTGCCTCCTTCGTGGTCACTGGAAAATAAGCAAAAGCACAATTTTAATATTAATGTAGCAGTAATGAATCCGAAAGACGGCGAATTCGGATCATGTGTGACTTGGATGCATGAGCAAATTACACACAATGCTAAATAGCTGTTTGTACAGACCTGAAGAAACTGACGAGTCAATACTGCATGAGGAAGCTCGTGTAGATTTAATCAACTATGCTGAACTATGAGACCGAGGCGGCTTCATGTCGTGTATCATAATAATATTGACACATGTTTAGTGCTCTAAATCAAGATACTTTTACACACTTGGACTGAGTTTACAGACTCATCCTTATTATTTGAGAGTAGCGTTATGTAAGACCAATATTGACGGTTTAAATCAAACTGATTTGATTAGAGGGTTTGTTTGTTTTTTTTACTTCCTGAATTCTGACAATGATACGCTGCTAATGTTTCTATCTCAAGACTGTATTAGATTTAAATGCTCTCTCTTAAACATAATTAAATTTCACAAATCAACAAAAAACAATATTATAACCTCGACTGCCTGAAATCTACTTTGCACAATTTTGATGTAAATATAGAAACCCTCAGAAAAAAAGACCCTTGAAGCTTACTCTAGATCTACTACTCTAGATCTACTGCTCTAGATTTACGTTCATACCTGTGGATGGTGAGGTAGAGCCTCATGAGCTCGGTGAACTGGGTGTCGCTGTAGCCCAGCATGTTGGTGAAGTTGTGGGACCAGTCCAGGTTGGAGTCGATGGCTCCAATACTGCTGCCTTCACGGTACAGATTGCGGTAGATCTTGGCGGCGATGCAGGGCAGCTTGGCGATCAAGTCCATGGAGTCTTCATACACAAACTACGAGGACATTAAGAGAGCGTATATGAAACAAGACCCTGACGTGTTCATCAAGATTAATCCAATCAAGTATGAGTTTAAAGTGATGAAGGTAGCGCCGGTTTGAACTCACCTCCCAGTACTTGGTCTTGTGGACGCCCTCAGAGTAAGCCCGTGCGAAGCTGCTCTCGCTGTTCAGCGCTGTGATGGCGGCGCTGAACTGAGACATGGGGTGGAGGTTTGTGGGGAAGTTATCCAGCATGGTGACAACATGAGAGGGAAGTGCAGCTCTCTTTGCCCACTCTTTGGACACCCAGTTCACCTGAGGCGACAGAAACACAGCCTAAGTGGGTGACATCTTGATACTTTTACCTCATCTGCTCTCCGCTTTCCAGGGTTTGCTGACTGTGTGTGCTCTTTGGACAAATCGCTGGATCATTTTCGGACTTCACTTTTCTGTAAAAATATAGAAATAATGCCGAGCTGACAGCAGACGCATCGCAATTCATCTGGTTTTAGGAGGACAGAAGGCTGAGAGGTGAAAGCTTTTTCTTCGGGGAATAGTAGCAGTCAGCAAAAAGGAGACAGCTTATCAGTGAAGTTGTCCTGGTATAACCCTGCGGGGAGATAGTGGGCGGCAATAAAACGCCTGTTCAGATGTAAGGACTGTCTTGTTTTGTAGTTATGGATAGAGTTCTGGAGTCTTCCATAACGGACAAAGTCATACTCAAAAAATATGTAATATAACAAATATCTCACCCTTTTTATTCAAAGTTAATGTTTCATTTAAATGCTAGAGAATATTCTGTGCGGTTCTGACAGACAGATGGATGAGGAGGGTAAACAGCTGCGCAGACCTCCCCTAATTATTCCTCCATTGTCGCGTAATGATACTGATCTGCTCCCACTCACCTGCTCCTCAGTGGGCACCTGTCCTGTGACCAGCAGCCAGAAGAGACCCTCAGGCAGTGGCTCCTCGCCTCCTGGAGCTTTGGGCAGCAGCTGCTGGCACTCTGGGATGCTGTAGCCGCGGAAACGGATGCCCTGCGTGCGAATGGACAGAGAAGGGGGGGATGAAGCAAACAAATCCATATTGGAGTTATCCTGAAACGCACCGGCAAGTAAGTGTTGGCGAGCAGCCAGAGTGAGCTCCAGCTCGACTAATTATATTTGGTTAATTGAATATCTGCTTCATGTGGAGGTCTGGGAACAAGGAACACGACGGCGCCAACACTTTGACTCTGTTAAGCTCTCAGCTTCAGTTAGAAAGTAATCAAGGGGACAGTCTGTGAGGCGAGTGGATTTAACAGACAGTATAAAACAACCCACTCATGACTTGTTCCACTACTTTTAAAGCATACTGACCTCCTCAGGATCCAACACGGAGGTCTCATACACCAGACCCTTCATGCCCCTCATACCTCCATAGACCTGTAGATAAAACAAACAGACAGACATGAGGCGCTTTGTAAACATTAGATACTCAGTTTGAGTTTTTTTAATTCACTAAGTGGTTGTCTTTGAGTTCACATCTCTAGTATGACTCCAAAACACATCCTTGAGATCCTCTGCAGCTGGCACAGGCCCAGGACCAGCCTTGCGCCTCTGTGACCCGAGTATCTCTAGAACAGTCTCCCTGAAGAGCTCAAGGACTCAGACTTTCAAAGAAACCTTGACAAATATCTTTTGAGCCTTTCTCTGCAGGGGAGAAGTTCAGCTTAGTTGCTTTGTGTTTTTCTGGGTTATTCTTCAATCTTTCAGTCCACGATCTTTCTCACTGTTTCACATTTAAAACTGAATTGTTATTATCAGTGTTTTCCTTGATTGCTATGTGTTATTTCTTTTTTATCACACCGTATAAACATAATTGACCCGCTCTTGAGTATTACTGATAAATTATTTTACATAACTTAAACAGGCCACAGCTGAAGGTTGAGTTTCTGTCACTGAAAGTAAAACAGAAACAAACCAGAATCTCCCAAAAAAAATCAGAATGGAAACCGACCCGAGTTCAAACCGTTGAATGATTGATGTGATGTTTGTTTTGGACAGTACAGGCTCGAGTGACTCAGCTAAAATACCTCTGCTGGCAGGAGTCAGCGCCGCTTCAAACCGTGACCTCTGAGAGAGTTGATGTGACACAATAAACAAAGCTTGGCAGGATCAGCAGATCACTGAGGTCGATAAGCCACGTCTGATCTATATACTGCTTAATGACCTACATACTCGTTTCAATATCAGTGAAGACGATCTAATGGACCTTGCTTTGTATGTCATCGGTGTGTGGTTCTTATTTTATTTCTTGACACATGAAGCAATCACGCTAATTTGTGAGATACTCACCATGTCAACAGTAACCTGTCCTATGTTGGTTTTGCCATACTGCTGTTTGAAGTTCTTGATCCTGCTCTGTTCTTTGGGGATGAGGTCTGCCAGAACATCCTTCAGATTCTGCAGAAAACATAAAACCATGAGTCATTTCCTCGGCTTTATAAACATCTCAAAATAAGCTCTTAATGTGAACTCGCGCAGCTCCCTAAAGGTCCTCATCTTTTGTTCCCTCTCAAAGGGACAGTGTATTCTTAAAGTACGTCAAACAGATTCCTTTAAACAGCAGATTAATTATGTTTGCGATCCGAGGCAAGCAGACAACCTTGAAGCGGACGGAGTGTGCTTACCGTTGTTGATGCGCTGGCATGTCTGGCAGCCACGAGGAAGGAGGCGGCACTCTGTCCGACACAGAAAGAAACAATATTTAAAGTCTAAGTGACACAAAAGATTGAAAAGTCTGTAAAAGAAACACAAATAGATCCTCTGTAGCTTTAAGGCATATCGCTTAGACTGCACCACAGGAACAGATCTACGGTTTCCCTCTGGTTAGGCTCTTTAGTTGACACTGATGCACTGATCATCAATAGTGTAAGAATCCACCATCTTTTATCTTGATCTTTATGTTACTATTACATGCCCTCTCTCTCAGTTTGCATTCATCAATGACCATTAACCCTGGGGTGTAAAATTGATGTTATCGTTAGAAATTAATCATGGGTTTCAATTATTAATCCTCCTTTACAGTCATTGACAGGCTCTTTATTTCTCCTCTCTGCAAACAGTCGATTCCTTAGGGCATCCTCTCTTAACACATCAGGCACTTAACTTGTCTTGCGCACATTTGTATCCCCTTTTTTGCACCGCCTTTGGCTGGTGTTCGCTTTCTATATCAACTTACTTACATGACGACTAAAGGAGACGAGGTGTCGAACCACTACAAAGATCTAAAACGAGTAAATACTGGTGAAAAGTTCTCCTCCTCATTCCTCTGCTGACACATGCAGATACTGCAAGATGTCCGTTCACGCACTAAAGACTTGTCACTGATTGCCAGGAATATTCAGATGCTTTGACTCATACGAATATTACCCAACAATGCAGCGGGTGTGTTTTAAAACCTCCCTCTGACACACAATTCCTTCAAGGTCATATTTAGGGATGAGCTAAGAAGCCTTGCAGACACCCCAGGTTTAAATCCAGGGAGAGTCAGCTTACCTGTCTAGTCCCGGCTTACTATGACACACTAAGCTATTAAACATGTGAAGTCCTGGTGCTTTAGTCATGGGACAGCATGCCTTGTATTGATGTGTTGCAATAGGTAGAACAAAATTCTGATGTTACCACACCTCCTGTTGCTACCCTGATGCAACCGATGATCTCAAATCCAGTGTAGTGGAAGTTTTACGCATGACAGAGAAAAACTAAGGACTGAAATGCTCTTTTTCTTGGCAATAACTGTTTGGCATGTATATTGAATATTAAAAGCAAACGTGTCTTGTAGTTTAGGTTCTTAAGCCGGGGACAGTTGGTGGTACTGGGACAAGATAAGAAGTTGTAGGGGAGATTTAAAAAATCCTGGCACTGATTATTCAAGAGTTTGGAGAGTAGTAATCTTGTTGGAAGCTCAGTGGCAGCAGTAGAGAGTGGTTACTGAAACACGACTCCTCTGAAAGCTTATCAAAGTTATCAATGGAAGAAGGGAGGAGTTTAGAAGACAGGAGGGACAGCTGGCCCGGCTCCCAATAGGACCCCAAACTGGCTGCGGTAGTAGTAAAAGGCTGACGAGACAAGCTCAAACAAAAGGCAGGATCTCGCGCCACCGCGCACACTCCACACAGCTGACGAGGATTATGTAACAGCTCAGGCCAGAGTCTTAAATATAGAGCACAAGTTTCACTCAGTCACTCCCAGCTTCCTGCTGAGGAGAAAGGTTAGGGCAAAAACACTGGAGAGAAGGGCACACGAGAGCCAGAGTCGGGAAGAAACGCACGCAAATGTTGGAGCAAACTTTCCCGTGGGTTGACAAAAATGAGCATACAAGCTGGACTGAGAGAGAAACTTAGGAGGGGAGGCCACTTGATTTGACCTCAGATATTATAAATAACAATCTCAGCACACTCATTTCTTAAACCAACATTTTCTAACAACATAGCGAAATACACGAGAGCTAAATTTGTATCGAGTGGTGAAATTCTCTGAAGCATAAACCATCACAAGACTGTATTTCGCCCTTGATCCCAGTCTTGTGAATCACATGATTTTCAGAGCAGAGATTTTATGGCGAATGAATGAAACTCCAGATCAAAGATTACTGCTGATGCGAGAGGAATGGTGACTGTGACACAGCAGGTTATCGGTACATATACCTAATGTTATTTTCCTGTCACCACGACTTATGTCATGAACGTGATATCTCCCCTCTTGTATGTATAGAGTTCAAGAATTTTAGTCACTGATTAATGCTTGACAGGAAGAGAATCAGGTGAGCGATAAGAAATCGTGGAGCTGATATGAGGGTCATTTAAGTGTAAGTAGTCTGGACCTAGAGGTCAGTAGAGTAAGACACTGGGAAACAAGAAACAAGGAGCATGAAGGGGAACTATTGCATGCTGGTTAGTTTCTGCAGGGTGGGATTAACACAATAAAACTTACGGTGGTGTAATTTTGAAAATACAGTAAAATTCAATGCGATTCCTGTCTATAATGACGGGTATGAGTGGTTTTACAAATCAGGCAACATCTGTGTAAAATCTTGAGTTTCAAATGACGTCTCCATTGCAATAAAACTCACATCTGATCAAGTGATTCTTTAAAATTTATTCCAAAAATATCTCATTCCACTTTATATCATCTGTATTAACCTGACAGGCTCAAATATAAACTCTATTTCAAGGTATTTCAAGTCAATTTCTCTTGGGCAAAGCAAGAAAACTGTGTCGGCTGTTTTCACTTGTTACAGTAACTTGATCCTTTATTTTTCAGTGTATAATAATAATAAGCCTCTCGGTGCAAGCAGTATGACTCAAGAGTACAGGGACCACCTTAAAAAACAAGTGATGCAAGAAGCGAATGAGAATATTCACCAACTAAAATAACATATGCTTTTACATGATTTAAGGGGTGCATATCCCACTTACCCCACCCTAATTTTCATGTGTTAAAGGTCTGATTCACAGGTGTGTAGTGTTACTTAAACCTAAATGAAAATACTTGTACTTTTTGAGAGGGATGCCTCTAGAGAATTCACACTACAACACTTGTTTCTGCAGTATTATTTTATTATTCTACATTGAAGATTTGTGTGACACAACATGACAAACGTGTAAAATGGTTGCATCAAGATTTAGAAGTATTTCACATGTGATATCTTGGTAACTGACGTGAGTTTATCCCTAATCTCTCAAAGGAACAAAAGTAATATTTCAACTTCAAGTTTCTACCTGTTCTTTCCAGTGTTATGTAAGGTCTGTGTTTGTGAAAATAAACAATATTTTCAGAGAGTCTCATCAATAATAAAAGGCTGAAATGTGGACGTGAAGGTCAATGAGGGTGGTCCAGAAACTCCAAGTTAAAGCAGAGTTTGATCCTAGTGTCTGTAACCCTCTGGAGGATTATTAACTCCTCTCTGTAAAGGATCATTACAGTCCAGTTTAGTAGTGAAAGCAGACAGATGAAACAGTCTATGGTCTCTGCTGAGTGAGGGAACCCGAACCTGGCTGTGACTGAACCAGGCCAGCACAGACCACAACGGACCCTCTGTTCCGAGACTGAAGTTCACAACTGATCCAACTGCAACACTTTACATCTAAAACATCAAATAATAAAAACTGATCCCTAAAAGTATCACTTATAAGAAGGAATCAGAAGAAAGACTCCTGATCAAGAGCATTTCACAATGTGGTTAGCACAGCTAGGCTAGCGAACGTTACCTAGCTTCACTCTTAGCCTTCAAGGTAACACCTTTGGGCAGATCAAGAGGCACACAGGCCGTTTTTTCGTCCTCTTACCTTTGAATTGAGGAGTTTAGGCGCTAGCCTGCTGATCGACAGGAAGGACATTGTGTCTGTGTGAGAGTGTTATTCCCGATTTTCTCTTTCCAACTAGAGAAGCCGCTGCCAGTGCACCGCGGAGTTGGTTGAAGGTGCCCCTCCAGAAAGCAGAAGGTTGAAGAGGGATTCTGGCCCGCAAGTAGGAGAGCTGTTGATTGGACGATGCGCCGGATCGGGACAACTGCGTCGGTGTGTTCCATTGGCCAGAGGGAAAGTTACGAGTGCGCTGATTGGGTAGAGGCCCCTTGTCGTGTTCTGACGTTAGCTGGAGCTCAGGGTTCGTTCAAGAACGAAAGTCAGCGTTTGATAAAGATCTGTCAATAGTTATTTAAAAGTATATCTAAAAAACAGACATTTTAAATCTGTATATTACATTTAAAATGGGCAGAAAGCGTGTGGCACAAATCAATACACACTGGGCTACCGGCGCAAGTTCATGATTTCACACTATTTGCCACTATTTATCATGAATTACAGATAAGATGACCTCGCGACCTGAACTGTTCCTTTATATCTAATGTAAGACTTTTATTTTCAGTATATTATCAAAGACTTCACCCATTTGTCATTTATATCTGTCCTGTGCTATTTTTGGCATTCAGTATTTGCATATGTTGCTCTCAATCAATCTCAACCTTGTAGGGGAGAGTGGGGTAAGTTGAGCCAAAGGCTAAGTTGAGCCACCTCCTGTTGCTTGGAAATGGTAAAAGAAATTGATCATGTGACCAAATATTTAGGAGCTAGGCATCAATTCATGGAGTCTGTGAAGGTTAGAAGCACATGAGTGAAGGGGTTAGACATTTATTTATTTATATAAAAAAACATTTTTCACTCTTGGAAGTGAATTGAGTTTTGAGCTTCAACATAAAGGTCAAAAACCTAGCATAAAAGTCCACCATTTTAGAGACTAGTTAGAGACAAAACTACGATTGCCTTGATGTAGTGATTTGAAATATACAGAATGGATCAACTTACCCCACTCTCACCTATAAAGATCAATGAGTCATGAATTAGAGATAAGATGACCTCCAAACCTGAACAGTTTTTTCCCTTTAAACCTAATGTAAGAAAACAAAACAACACTTTGACTTTTATTTCCAGTATATTATCAAAGACTTCACCCATTTGTTATTTATATCTGTCCTGTGCTATTTTTGGCATCCAGTATGTTACTCTCAATCAATCAGAGTTACCTTGTACTATAAACTGCTCTGGAAAACCTCGCTCTGAGACTACAGACAGAGACATTTAAGAGATGTTGGTGGAAATGGATCAGATATATAAGAGCACGGAGACCTGAACTGCTCTAAATACCTTTGATACATGGCTTGAAGTACCAGACTATTAAACTACTTGGACAACTGAAAACTGATATTGGTAGATCTTGTGGAAAATGAGAGAATGTGACATCCATTGTTCAAATGTTCATACTTTACATATCATAAAATGAAAGGGAGTGTAATAGATTGGAGAATATGCTGGTCTAATTGGATATGTTTGTTTGCTTTGCCACAATTGTGTAATTGTGATTGGACTCATTTTGTATCTTTCTCCCTGATAAAAAATGCTCTGGAAAACCATGATCTTTGTGACAACTGAAAGCAGTATCAGCAAAGTTAAAAAAAAGGTAGATTTTGCTGTAAAACGATGTTCAAACTTTATTGTCAAGTACTGTTGAGAAAGAAAGGAGAAGCTGGTTGTTTAGAGTCAAGGGCATACATTTTCAAAACCACCTGCATGCAGTTTACCGGTTTAGTTTGGTTGATAGTTTGATGGTCGAGCCCATTATCCACTATCTTTTGGACTAGAGCGGTTGAACAGCCTGTAGAGATAATTCAATCCTGCCAAAATGATTCAAAAGCAAAGAAACACACATAATGAGACTGCCCCAGAGAAACTGACAAAGGTGCTCTGCTGTCATCCTTCATTCAGAAGTTGTTGTGTGTATTGTATCAGCTGCATACTCATCCTAATTCACAAAATGCAAGTTATACTAATAAAACTACTGTCCACAAAATGTATTTGGAACATCCAGAGGGACGATTGTTTTACTTTATTTTATTCAAGCTGGGAACACAGTGCAAAATGCCCTAAATGACTTTTACAGCAAGGAGACAGTGGAGAGTGTGCCCTAGAGAGTAACCTTTGACCCAGTTTGCATGTTATCTAAGATTTTATGGTTTGAATGTCTTTTATAACAGCTGCCCTCTTCATATAGTCTTATATGTCTTCAATCTGCTTTAATCAGAACCAGATCCACTCAGTGCTTGGTGTATTTGGAAAATAACAACATTAGATGCAACCATTAAATGTGTTGGACTGGTCTTTTAATAGCATCAGCAGGGATCCTAGTCTTCTCGTGTGTTCCCAGCTGCTGGTAGATTCTGTACTCTTAACCCTGAAGGGTGAAATTCGGACCTGCAAAACATATAAATGCAATGTCAACTAACTCACATCATGCAGCCATTACGACATGCATGTTTTAAAACCTTTGTGACAGAATCAGTAGCCGTCTTGTCCACATTATCTCATGTGAATCTTGTAAACAAACAGAGCCTCATACATACAGCGGAAATAATAAACATGTGCAACGAAGAATACAGTACATCAATCAGCTTTTTATAAAGTCATAGGAGGTGATCTGATGTGCTTGGTCCCCACTCCTGTGCTCTTGTGTCCAGTAATCCGACCCAAGGTAATGCATAAGATGGTGTAAAGTCTGAAGAGAGTCCCTCCGGCAGAGGGGAAGGGGCTCTGGGTTCAGTCGTCTTCCTCATCTTCATCTTCTACAGGATCTAGGAAGATGCTGTGCTTCAAGCATGTCTGGAGGTAGTTCACCACAGTCCGCTGGAAGTGCTGGATGCTGCGCGGCTCTCTCAGGATGTGGCCCTCGTCTGGGTACAGCTGGAGCGAGTAGTTGGCTTCCACCTTCACTAATCGGCTCAGGAGCTCGGCGCTGTGCTGGAAGTGTACCCTCGCTAAAAACACAAACATACAGAGGAAATCAGAGGTGGAATAACAGACAAAAAGGAAACTTTGGCACAAACTAAAAAATGTTCTCACCATCTGCAGTCCCATGTAGAATAAGGAAGTTTTCATCTTTCAGTTTGTTAACTTCTTCCAGCAAAGAGGCGGTCTGAAGAGATATACAAACCCCGTTTTAGTGTGTTTTTTTTTTTTCTAAAAAAACAAAAAAAGCCCCCCCTCCCCCGAGCTGAAATAATGCAGTCCAAAAAACAGCAGCACTACAATAAATTCCACAAACATAAAAGTCTAAATGTTCGGCTTCGCAGAGCGGTTAAAAAAAAACAGGAGTTTAAAATTTATGTCCACCTGAGAAGCTGTAAATCCTGCTGCTGTCGAATTGTATTGCATTATGCTGAGAGGTGTGCTCTTTATTTCTTATGGCGCTGTTGATTTAAATAGGGTTGACACAAAATTAGAAACACCTCTCAACATAAAGTATGGCAATTGGGCTGCAGTGCGAACTAAAAGTGCCAAAATGACCATAAAGTTAAATTAATACCTAACTAAACCACGTTTAACAAATAACACCCACGGAGACGGGATTTATCAGGGAACTGTTGAATTAGACCATATTGGTTTTGGGTAATAAAAATCTGCATTTGAGCATGTATCTACAACCACAAAGCATAGAGTAAATGCTTCGGATCCTCACAAAGTAAGCGTGCTCCTCCTTTGCTGGAAGGCCTAGATACCTCTCTGAGAATGCAGCACCTGAAAAAAAGTGAACAAACATCAACTCAAACACACGAACAGAGTCTCAGTCTCATCAATATTCCAAAACCCTTGAAGTTTGAAAAGTTTATGACGTGATCTCAACTTACTATAAAGCCTGAAGTCAGTTATTGGTGCAACAGCTGCCGTGCACTGAAAGAGTTTATCTGTCGCGGCTAACATCTTGAGAGTTAAATATCCGCCGAATGCCTGCAAGGAAAAGCAGAAAAGCGCTTAAACAAACAAAAAGGAAGAGAACTTTTTGCTTTAATAAGAGTGTTAAATCCTCAAAGTCAATAATACTGTTACCTTGCCATATAGGGCCATCCGGCGATCATCAATGTAAGACAGCTGCATCAACAACCTGTGGAAATATCACAAAGCCCTTTGAGTTCACCGCGCATTTTTCACACATGTCAGTTTTATCGCCTTACGGTATGTTGTTGCATAACTTTACTGACTCAACAACTCCCAGATAATCTTTGACTCTGAGCGAGCCGAGCTTGCGGGGATCCACGGCGGCGGTCTTCTGCCCCCGTCCGACCCCGCTCCTGCCGTCCACCCAAGCCAAGGCCACATTGTAAGTGCTGGAGAGGACCTGAGGCCAGTCCAGGGCGAATTCCTCTGTTACAGACTGACTGCCGGGAACACCATCTCTGAGCGAGACAAGACGAACAGGATCAGCAAGAACTGTGACAGTTATTTAGATGTGGGAGAGGAGAAGAGGCAGACGGAGATCAGAGGTTGTGAAACAGGTGACAGGTGTCAGTTAAGGGGGCTTACACAATGACAAGTAGAGGGTGCAGGTTGGCCTCGTAACCCTGAGGCAGAGATAGTTTCAGGTGGAGATCTGAGGGAGGCAAACAGAGGCAGAGGTCATAAGGTCATAAAGGACAGCTGTACATAGAAATGTTAGAGTAAAAACACTGAAGCTTTTGGCCTAACCTGACACAGAAAGGCCAAATAAATGAACAAACATCCAGGACAACACAAAGAAAAACACTTACGCCTGGTCCTTGAGGCTTTGCAAAACTCACATTAACTACTTTGCCGCTAAATAGAAAAAATGTCTCCTTTAGTCGGTACTTAACCACATTTGTCCCTTCCAGGTTTGCACTTATATCTTGTGTTCAATTCTGACTGCTCAATAAAGTCTAGCTGCTGAATGAAAGATGATGTATGACTGCTTTTTGAGAGGCCAGTTTTTGCAAATGTCAACACACCATTGAAACAAGTCAGTTTCTCTGCTTTCTTTTCCTTTGTAGTCAAGTATTATTAGCATGGCACTTGTTTTTATGATTCAATTGTAGTATTCAGATTAGATATAAAACTCTACTGGTGCATTTTATAACGCCTTTAAAAAGCACTAAAAATATACATAGATGGATAACGGTGCCATACTGTTAGAGGAATTTGCTCTTGCTGTAAAGAAATAACCATAAACAACTGTGTTAAATACATGAATGAATGGAAACACACATAATAAGATAAATATAGAAGATACCATGGTTGTCAGCTGGAAGCGTCCTGAACAGGGTTTCAGGCAGGCTTTTGTCCTCCAGAGCTCGAGCCAACGCACTGTTATCCTCCAAGACGACATATCCTACAAGGTATAAGACAAAAAAATCCCAGTTATTTATCATAAAACATGACGACAAACAGAGATGGCCCAAGGCATAAGCGGACTAAGCTCCTGCTTAAGGCCCCGCAGACAGTTGGGGCCCCCAAGAGCAATAAAAAAAAAATTGAATATTTTTTTTTTTTTGCATGTATGAGTGAGTGATGCTTTCTGTATGATCAAATATATTATTGTAAAAATGAAATTAAGTAAAAACATTTTGGTGCTGCTGCTGATGTAGGCCTATGATTCTTACTGCCGATATGTCAAAGCTCTGCTACCATTATGTTCCTTCTGCTGTGAAATGTGCACTGAGCATCCTGAATGTGTTACATTTTGAGATTAAAAACCATATGTGGCACCCTGAACATCATTCATCAGTCATTCATTGGTATTATTTGTATGGTTGCATTGGTACTATTTATGTTATTGCCTAGGCCATCCCCTTAAATGTGTAAAGACATGTCAGGTGCATTACATTTATACTGTAGTAGGTGTGTGAATGATCAACAATCAATATTATTGGGAGAAATAGAGGACCCCAAAATCAAATGTTGAGGCTTGGGTCAGCTCTGAAGGCAAACACAGGAATAGTTTAGGTGGTGGATAAATCCTGACCATTTAAGAGAGAAAGTCTTTTACCGACGGTCGCAGACAGGGGGCACTGTGCACAAGCTAAGAAATCAATCACTCTGAATCCCATTGGGCTTCAATATACCACTCTCTGCTGGCTGTCACTAGAAACTGCAAGCAGCCAGTGTGTGTGTGTGTGTGTGTGTGTGTATGTGTGTGTCTGATTATACCATTAATCAGACAAGCAGCTGAAACACTCACTGGAGGGGTCCTTTGTGCTGTGAACTGTCACTTTAGGGATTCCTGGGCCTGTGGAGTTTTTCAAAAGACAACATTATTAGACTGACTGTCGCTCTGTGTGAGACTTTCCCATTCCTTGTAAGTATGTGTGTCAGCGAGCGAAGGCGTTGGAGTGTCTGACCTAAGCAGTAGAGGGTGAAGTAAGTCTGATTGGGGCTGAATTCAGCTTTAAAGAAGCGGCATCCATCAATCAGGTTGCAGGAGATGCACTGGCGCTGAAAAACTCCATCCAGGTCCACACTTGGAAATAAGAGAGAAGGGTTATTGAAAGCACTTTAAAGTAAAACAATAGTCTACAGCAGTTTGATACGCTCCAGCAGGAGAGGGTCAATTAATTGTTTATATATTAAGGAGAAGTGTCAGTGTCTCGAGACAAACTATTCAGGCAGTTGCCTTTTTCAGACACGAATGAGGTTCAATAAGGGTGGACATAAAAGTCGTTATACAGATGGCTCTGTGAGAAGCAGTGTGGAGTGCCTCTCCACTCTACTGCTCACAAATTTCATCCTGGATTAATCACAGTTAAGTTCAAACAAGCTACCATCCCTCCTCCATAATATTGTGCTATCTCTCTTTAGCCTCCAGCAATGTAAGTTAATAAAAAGATATGAAAGCGTGGAGGTTGATGAGGGAGCAGACATGAGTGTTTATCACGAGTCTCAGCGACTCAATTCTCCGCGCCAAAGACGGGTCCTGGTCCATCGAGTGTGGTTCTCTCAGTTATAAATGTGTCAACTCGGCTCATGGCCTCCAGCTCCTTTAGTACACACGGATAAAAATTCTAATATCAACACATTAGTGTGCAGTAACTCTTCTGGATGCTTTTTTTAAGCATGCTAGCGGGAAACTGAGACGTGTCAGAAACTCAGTTCAACAGAGTGCAGTGAGAAGAAAGACGTCTCGAGAACTTTTCATTTAATTTCAATAGATTTTAAAATAGTTTCTTTCACCTCAAGAATTAACTGACAGATTTCACTTCATAATGATGTTGCTGATTTGCACATTTTTACATTCAAACATGCTAAACTAAGATAGTGAACAAGGTCATGTTACACCTGCAGTAACATGTTGATGTTTTTGGAGCGTTAACCTTAAAGCACAGCAATATATCATCAAGTTAGTAGGGGTGGGAGACAAAATCGATTCACGTAAGTATCGCGATTTTTTGTTTTACAATTTTTAAATCCATTTTTATGTTGAACAGTAATGTGTAATTTGGGGGGAAATATGGTTCCTGTAATAGTCTGTAGACAATCATGATCATTCAACTGCTTCATTGTTGTTAAAAATGCAGAGTAAATATAGAGAAAATTGACAATATCGTAGAATCGCAATTTAAATCGAATTGGCATGCAAAAAAATCGTAGACGAACCGAATCAGGAGAGAAGCATTTCATCCCAGCCCTACTAGTTAGTATAGCTGGAACTCAGTTTTGTGTTTAAGTTGTGTTTGATGAAAAAGAAGGTGTTGAAATAAAACTTAAACATGATAAACAGATCAGGACTTTTTTCAACATGGTTACCTGTAAAGGTGTCTGCTCTGTCTGGATTCTTCTGTGCTCAGGAAATATCTGATAAAGGTGGGGAAAAAAACACAATTTAAAACTTCTTATATCACTTCATTTTAATAATTCCGGACATATATTATTCACGACTAGGATGCACGCATTTGCATGAGCAAGTGTTTTAATAAAATCAGCGTGTGTGAATTAGCATCAGTGATGGAGAAATTCAACATCTGAGAGCTGGATGTACATCAAAGCTTCAGATGTGGATTATCTGCTTCCATATGAATTAAAGTGAAGCATCATGGGACAGGATGACTTGCTTGGAGGCACAGCAGTATCAACCTGCGGGCTTTATAAACAACCGAGTGGATTTATAATTGACTTTGCTTGATTCTGTGTGATGATCAAGCCTCAGTCAGGCTGTCAGTGAGTGGTTTCTAGCCCCCGGCAGGATGAAGACGGATTAAAGATGTAATCTGTTTGATCCTTTTCTTCTTCTTTATGACAAATATTGTCACAACAAGCACACTCAGGGCCAAAGAGACTTGTTTTGGCCTTTAAAACACGCTGGGTCAAAGTATCTGTGAATTTGTTTTTTAACAGACAGAAAGTAAAGTGTGGTGAATGAGTTTGCACTCTGGCTAACATGTCCTGATCCCAGCTTACAGAGAGGGAGGATTGTTTTAATGAGGGCAACTATCCCGCTCTTGGCTTGTACTTTTCAAGGTGAGGAGCCCATGCTCAGGCTCCTGAGGTTAAATTAACCCACTTCCACACACTGTGACTCTCACATACATTTTTCCAGCCTTCTCGTCCAGAGTGCAGAGCAAGATGACGTCCCAGCTACCTGATGTCAAGAAGCGGGGAGGGACGGAGGGGGTGGCAGGCTGCGTCACACAGGAAAACAGAGGATGAAGACAAATGTGGAGCAGGCAGATATACAGAATATGAATAAGTGAGGCAATAAAGAAAAATGTGTCTCAGAGGGTGAGGAGGAGAAATGAAGATATTCTTGCAAAGTTGAACTAAATGGAGCCGCTGATGGCTACAGAACGCGCTCAGAAAAAGTCATTTTTCATCACGGTTTATTCTGACGTCTTAGCTAAGGATAGCAACACACAGGAGAGAGACTTTTATGGTGCTGCTAATGGTATGTATGAGCCCAGAGTAGTGGGACCTCATTATCCATAGATTATACAGAAAAGTCCGTTTTTGATGCTCGATTCTTTTAGTTCTCTAAGAAGGATTTATGAAAAAAGACCCCAATAAAAATACATAACACACTTTCTTTAATCACTCCACTGAGGATAAATCAATTGTTACGAAATCCAGTAAAAGATAATGAACTGAATTCCCTCGCTTACACTGAGGGCGAACTACCATTTAAGTATTAATGAATCACATAACTCCTGAGATAAAATGTGGTGTTTTAGTCGCGAGTAAATGCAAACAAACTGCTTCAGTAATGAGGGAAGAGGAGGAGTTTATGGTTCGGACTGCTGGGATCTGTAATTACACTATTTTACCTAACCCCTGTAATGACCAATCTGCCAGATATTATCTTAGAGAGGCAACAGGGGAGTAAAAGGTAACTAACCTGGGCTGAGAGACCGGCAACATGGTGAAACTCCCCTCGAGCGCCCTGCTTCGCTGGCAGGATCGTATAAAACATGGAGCTGTCTGCTGAAAACAACGGCACCTCCTGTCGAGGAAAAAAACAAAAAAGTGAGAAAAAGAGAAAACTTAGAGGGAAGAGGAAAGAAGACTTTTCATGAGCATGAGCAGAGCATACCTGCCGCTGGTTTTGCATGATGTCCAACGCCATTTTGTGTTTCTGTAGATTTAAAGGAACACATTATAGAGATATGAATTACTCACAGGACCTTTAATGTACTCGGATCAGCAGCTTCAGCTGAAGAAAGTAAATTATTAAAACTGAAATTTCTAATAAATCCTGAAATGTAGCTACAGTAAAACATTGGAAATGGTAAGTCAAATATGTGAAGACTTAACAGAAAAGAGCAAGCAATAAAATACTGCAGTACATCGCTGAAAATTCTACTCATGCAGCAAATGACCTTAAATATTAATCCAGCTAGTAGACATCTGAGAGCTTAAAGAAATCAATCCGAACTCCCAACTCAGTGTAAAAGAAGCAAAAATTCCATTAAAGCTGTATATTGCCGTGTGGGCCGTTTGAATTACTAATGTGGAACGACTGATGACCACTCACCTCGGAGCATGCCCCTGTGGTGGCCTCGCATACGCAGAGCACTGATTGGTTCTGAGCACGATTCAGCCACCGTACGGCGAGGCGGGTGCTGCTAATCCAAGTCACCATGGAGATGTAGCTGTCTCTGAAGAGGTGATGCAGAAAATGATACAAGGGGAAAGGATTGAAAAGTGGTGCAAAGGAGTGGCAGGGAAGGAGAGGAGGGGAGTCAATTTGATAAGTGTAATCATTTCAGACAAGCGGTGTCTCAAGTCTGCAAGGTTTGCTCTGATTTGATTTTTTAAAATATGTTGTACCTGGCCCTGAGGGAGTCAGGGGGGATCATTTCCAGAGTGTGAGCTGGGCCGTACAGATTCACCACAAATAGACTGACTGATGGGATACTGGAGCCGGCCTGTGAGCAAGAGAAGAAAGGAAACAATTTAAAAAATTAAACATGTTTAAGCTTTGACAAGTTTTTTTTCCCTCTAAAGAGCAGCTGAGGGTAAGTAGTTGAATCAGTACGCCACAATGCTCCAGACTAATTTACCTCAACAACTATCTAATCGATTTGTCCCAAATTCCTCGCCAGTAATTGTAGCCGCGGAGATCAATATTGATGATCTCAATTGATGTTGGTGATGTCAATTAAAATCCCCACAATAGTAAGAAAACAAGACAGTGTGTGCCAATACAAGTCCCCAAAACCACAGGAAAACAAGACAGTGTGTGTCAAAGAAGTCCCCACAACAAAAAAACAACAGTGTGAGTCCCCACAATATGAAGAAAACAAGACAGTGTGTGTCAATGAAAGTCCCCACAACAAGAAAACAACAGTGTGAGTCCCCACAACATGGAGAAAACAAGATAGTGTGTTTCAATGAAAGTCCCTGCATTTACAAGTAAACATGATAGTGTCTCAATGAGATACATTATGATAAGCCAACATGTTTCAATTGTACAGTGAACATCATAAACATTTAAGGGATATTCCGTCTTAAAATTTATTTAGGGTCAAACACACCTTGACCAGTCCACCATCGACTGAGGTAAGGTGACACAGCTCAAGGAAGAACATTTATGATAATTTCTTCATGGAAATGCAAATCAGACCGAGACACTAAGGCAGAAGATCTCCCGCGTCTGCAGTGCAAAATAATTTATATGATGATTATTACTTCAAGGAAAATGATCATAAATCTTCTTTCTTGAGCTGGGTCACCCCGCTACAGTCTGTAATGGAGTGGTTGAGGTCTTGCTACAAACAATCGGCTGCTGGAAGAGAGTAGGTGAGTTGTGTTTAATCTCTTTGCCAAAGAATCAGGCAAAGTTAAAAAGATGTTTGGTGTCTAGTACTATGGCTAGGACCCTATATGTCCTGTTGATCAAGTTAGGTGCTGTTCTGAGCATTATTTGTGGCAATAGAGTCTAACTCTAACTGTGTCTGACTCGGTGTTACGGTGTGTTTGACCCTACATTCATTTTACGCCGGAATATCCCTTTAAACCTGCTAAAAAAACTGAATTTTATCTCTATTAGAGTGTAAATCTAAGCCTAAAAAGCTCACTCAGTAACAACCTCACAGAGCTGCTCGTGTGCCAAAAGCCTTTTCTTAATCAATACTTACTTTGGGGTAGGGAAAGACTACATTAGAGGGGTAGAGACCACCTAAGAACTGAGGGATTTCCATCACAGGTGTGGCAGAGTTGTTGATAGTGAGGTACGCCAGCCGGGCCCCGTCCATAGACCACCAGTGAGCAACATGCGACAGGAGCACTTCCTCTGTTTGAAAAGACGGTCACAATTAGAGCTTTTTTCTCGTTCACTGCTGTCAACTTTTGCTGCAAGCGTGAAGTATTCCCAAAGAGTCTGGGTTAAATCCCACCTTCGTAAGTCCAGTCAGGGAGCCCGTTCATCACGTTCTGCTCGGGTTCGTTGATTGTGAGGCGCAGGGGTTTGCTGGTCACACTCGGCTGGTAGTAGATATCTCCATCAAACACGTAGGCCTGGCATGAGCAGCACATATAGACAATGCCAATCCATTATCAAACACAGTGCATTTGCAGACTCCAATGCTGGCTGACTGAATGCAACCACGGACACTGTCCAAACAGAATGAATCATCGTCCAACACACAGACGCACACGCCAAGTGAGAGCCAATACATCTTTACCATCCCGTTAATGTGCTGCAGATGAGCACAGACATAGCAGCAAAAGCCAATTACATTACACTGAAGGTAGATGAATTAAATTATGATTGTAAAACAACCCCATTATAGCTGCGCGGCTGCCGCAATAACCCCTATGCTGGAGTTCAGCTCATTATGACAGAGACGTGATACCGCAGATGTTATAATCATTAGAGCTATATCAAACGAAAGCTCCATTCATGTAAGAACTACGGTGAAGAAAATCCTCTTATCACATTAAAGCGAATAGTTGATGCAGAGGACTAAGACCCCCGTCATTGATCAGGTAAATTGGTCAGAGCCTTGCTTACCAGCTGGTTCCCCTGAGGCCCCCAGGAGGCGTACTGTAGCGTTGCTTTTTCTCTCTCCGGAGGGTTAAGCTCCTGCAGATCCCTGGAACACACACAAACACTCAGACATAAGCCCTCCATTAGGGACAATGTCCCATTTAAAGCCCTCTGAGGTGCATCCATGCCTTGGCCTTGAGCATTGCTTGAAAGAGATACTGCACTGTGAGGACAAAAGAGCAAGATGCAGTGAGAAAGAACTAAACAAAAAAAACGAGGGTTGTTCATGCAGGAGTGAAAAATTTCGGATCCGTATTTCAACTGCTCTCATTTTTTTTCCTCAGGACAGGCAAACATTTTCCCTCAAGGCATTCTCAGGCAACGATTAGGACTGCAGGTCCCTTGGAAATCCTTTTTCACACTCACTCTACAGTAGATCCAAGACTCGCCCTCAGCTACTGTTAGAGTTGGTCCTCTGATATAATGTATGAATCTCAGGCAGTGCATTTGGAAGAACAGCTCAAAACCCAACGTTGGGAACCCGGCGAGCACACTGATGAATGAATGCATGACAGTTCTGATTTGATGGGACACACTCGGGGGGGTTTTTCAGTCCGCTGGTCTGACGCTCATGCCCAGTGCAGCCCATGCATTAGCATTCATGATTCCACCTACCCATTAGCCACATCGTGGATAGCATAGGAGGCTGTGAAGGACTGAGAGAACACCTGAAAGAGGTAGAGGATATCATGCAACACAGGTGTGCCGCACTTAGATGACAACACGCACATATTGGAGTGCTCACACATGCTCATAAAGAAGTAGAAAGGGAAGTAAATGCAAATTAAAAGGAAGTTAGGAAGGAGGCTGCTCAGGATGACTTTACAGCTAAGCACTAAGCTACAGGGATTTATTTGTGCATCCTGAGATTTGGGGGCGCCGATTTGGTTTGGCTGGAAGAGTGGGCATGCACACCAAATATGCACATCCCTAAAGGAAATCCTGTTTTTTGGTATTTTGCTATTTTCGACTATCATTACACAGTTTGCTGACATGCTAATTTTGTTAAATCTGCTCTTTCTGTGGCTCTAACACAATCACTGCTAAAGGCAGACAACATCAGTAATATTGCTGACTAAGCTACTGTCTTTGAGGAGTAGAAACACTTCTTTTTGTGTGGGAAGTATGATAAATTATTGTATCAGATCTGAGCATTGACTGGTGGACTTGCCAATACCTGATGCTGCATTTTAGGCAGCGTTGGAGGCATCATCTAAACAGCTCTTTAATGCACCAAGAGGCAAAAAAAAAGAGATTTATTTCAGTTTCTCATTACTTGGAGATATTCTGCAGCCAGAAGGTCGTTAGTATTATTTCAATATTGCTCTAATTGAACCGAAAAGATCCCAGCTGGTGATTCTTTAATTCTCTAAATTTATTTCAGTCACTAATTCTCTTGCAGTCATTTCATCCATATTACATCATTATTTTGATCATATCTGATGAGCGGAATTTTTTGATCCCTCAGGAGCCCTTTACAACGAGAAAAAGAGACAAATTTGAGACATAACTTGAAAAGAAAGTGCAGGAATCACAACCAACTTTCTTATTGAATAGCATCATAACCTTTCCACAGGGTCCTTTGTTGCTGCTGTATGTGTCACAGTCCCCAACACAAGCATCAGCAGCTCGATGATTAATTAAATTAACATGCTAAAGGAGACTAAGCAAGCAGGATCAATGAAAGTGTGCAAATGTGTGCTTGCGCGTTAAAGGTAATTGATCACAGCATTACCTGATGAATTCTAGGTGATATATTGATTTTTTCCATTACTTTTTCCCCCTCTCAAAAAAAAAAAAAGGTTGGAAGCAGGCTATTTTCCCGCTGACCTCTGAAAGCCAGAACCTCCAGGAAAACAAGTCCCTAAAGAAATTAAATGTCACATCCTCTATATAGCACACTTAGCAGTGAAATTGGATTTCTCCTCTGCGTTGTTTGTGTGCTGTCAGAAAACACATGGATGGAGTGACGCAGGGGTGAAGCTGCAGAAATAAAGGAGAGGAGAATAAATCCTGAGGCTACCTAAATGAAATTGAAATCTGATTGCGGTGTAAAGTCCGAGCACGAGGGGCAACAGGGTGTATACAGGACAAGAGCGGTGTTAAGACTGAAATAACTGCAGGAGGAAAAAGGAGGAGATGGATCGGCTCGGTGGTGAAGGGAAAATGTGAAAAAACAAAGACAGGAAAGGGAGGAAAAGGGTTCAGAGAGGGTAGAGGCTGTCAGCCAGAGATGACAGGTCATCGGCAAACAGCCAATCTTGACTTTAAGGGAGGATTGCTCTCTGGGACCGAAGGGGAAGCATTGTTATGAGCTCTATGTTCAATCAGCTGTTTATGATTTGTTAAGGACGCTGTAGATTCTGCTCATGATTTAACATTATGAAGCTGATGGCAGGGGCTGTACGTTACTGGGCGTCTGTGTGATAAACAGACAGAGAGAGTGAGGGCATCTGTCTTGGAGCGGCAGAGTGAATTCTAATGCGCCTGCCAGTAACATACCATAAATCTTACAGATCGCTCTGCTTCTACTATGCACCCCCTCCCCAATCCATGTCACCAAAACAGAAAGAGGAGGAGGAGGAGGAGGAGGAGGAGGAGGGGGCACATGCAGGGATTAAACACTCAGGAGACGCACTAACAAGGGAAGCGTAAAGAGATTACGACAACCTTTACATGAGTGCTGATACTGATATGTAACGTACACAGAAAGAAAGATTACAGCATCCTTCTTCTTTCTGCACGTTCTTCTTCAGCAGACCCACAATGCACTGCCTCTATACCAGCACCCAGCATCCGTGTTTGCTGCAGAGGGTAGACACGACTCTCTTGTCACTTTATTTCTCCCTTAACAGCGCTGTTTTGGCAGTTTTTAGCTTGTTTGCCTTTGCTCATCAATCTCAGGAGCTCCTATCGCCTCAAAAGTATCTCACCATCCTTCTTTTAAAAAAATACATCTGTAGGTTTTTTTCTCTCTTTACTTTTCTTCTCTTGCACACAAACCTTTTTAATTCAAACAGGCTTTGAGGAAAGGCACCCACCACCCCTACCCCCCACTGTAAGAAATCTGCTTTCTCTTGTTCCGATGTGGCCAAATCCCTAACTCGATTCCTTGTATACGCTCTTATCAAAATCCATTTATTCTCACCCACCAGGCACAAAAAATGTCCCTAAAGCCTGCAGAGCTAATACAAGACCCAGAGAAGCCTTTTAACTTTCTACCCACAGCCCTGCTCATCCTTTTCTCTCCCCTCCGTACATCTCTGTCATCCTTTGATAACCACTCTGATTGATTTCAAACTGGGCATTGTATCTAAGGGCAAATGGTGCATAACCCATTTTTCACAAGTTGCTTTCCCCCCACACTGCTCCTTCTGTTTTTCCCCTCTCGTTCTCTGCCACTCTCAGCCGCTTCTCTTCCAAAACAGCAAAGCTGGTGCCTGGCGCAAACTGCTTCAGTCAGCACAAATCCCCCCAGAGATAGACAGAAGAAAGTGAGTGAGAGTGGAGAAGATGAGGCGGGAGAGAGAGAGGTGGAAAGGAAGGGAGGACGGAAGAATGATCCTCTTGCATGCAAAACTATATCCCGCATATACACATCCATTACTAAGCAAACAACTGATTCGAGGTGGCGTGCCCACTGACTCTGTTTTCTTCGAGCGTGGATTCGCACAAAGCGTACAGAGATGAGACAATTCCTGCTGACATCAAAGAGAGTATGCTAATGACGTGGCAACAAGCAACGCGCAAATTGGGCAAAGATCTGAGCCACTTCTCTGTGGAGATCTATGAAAACTGATTGAATGTATGTTAACTGCTCAATAATTCATTTACAAGAGATGCTCTGAGTAAGTGGCGAGTGCTGTAACGCAGCAACAGGCTCATTCGTCGTCATCCCTACTCACTCACTCACACACATACATACACATATAATATAAGATTCACAGTCATTAGAGCAAAAGCAGACCTCTAAGGGAAAAAAAAGAAAAAACAGGAAAAGACTGAGAACAAGAGAGAACAGCAAATCTGTGTTCGTATTTTTAATAAAAATGTGGGTGAAAATGTGCTGAGGGTTTTCATTTCCTCCTAATTCTGTTATACCCTCACAGATTACTTGCACATTACACAACTTGCCTGCCCTTTGAGGAACGGCTCAACTATTTATTAATGGTGCGGGGTGTTTACAGAGTGCGACGGCGGATGGAGGGGGGTGGGGGAGCGGCGGCACTGGGGCTATGTGGTGTTTGAGATCTGTGTGTTTTCCGTCTACCCCGACGCTTATCTGAAAACCACCTGCGATTGTGATTCTTGCAGCTTCTCATTAAAATTCCCCGCCGAAGTAGCAGGGTGATTTCATTACTGCAGCTCCAACTTTAGCCCTTCATCTCCTTGATATCTCCCCTTCCCCCAAGCCATCCACTTCACACTGATCACTCACTCTAAGCTTTCCTCAACCCCCTGCACCTTCAGCCATCAGCCAGTTTAAATATTCAACTCCCCATATGTTATCCCACTCATTTGGCGGGCGGTGTTACGGAGCCGGAGCCTGCTGCAGTAGTGCAGAATCAGCACACCCTTTCTCTCCCACCTCCTCTCTGTTCTTTCTTTCCCGCTCTGATTAGGATGCGTGTCGCCATTGTTTTTCACAGCCACTGCTGGCCTGCCACTGCCAGACGTGAGGACGTGTGATCCAACGCAGCTTGTCTTTGATATTTGCAGATTATTTATGCCCCTGGATATTTTTAAGGTAAATAGCTCGCCTGGAATCACAGTTGGAGTTAAACTGGGATAAGGAGAAAACTTACCGGTCGGATGTTATACGCCAAGAGGACAAACCTCTTATCTGCAGAGACTTGGAATTTAGTCATGGTCAGGTCCTGGAAGAAAAAAAATAGAAAATGCACATTCAGTATGTTGTATGTACCTTCAGGTTACTCGTTGGAAAAGCAGTTGGGTGTTTTTTTTCTTGAAAGGGTTTGTGGAGTTCCTCAAGGATCAATCCTGGGGTCTAGCTAATTCTTGTCTCATAGGATTGATATTCTGATTAAGGCAGTGTTTCATTTCTAAGGCGTTTAAATTAAAATTTAAACCCAGATCAGAAAAAACTCAGAAAACAGACAAAAGTGAGCACAATTTAACAAGAGTAAACATAAAGTCACATTAGCAGAGGTTGCCCCATTAGCTTCCAGTCCCACATCCTTGTGCAAATTACATATTGCTTAGATTTTGTTGACCAGACACAACAACTTTATCAAACTAGAGTCAAACCATTCCATGCTTTAAGACGTCATCTGTGCTTGTTTACATCCAGGTAGTATTTCAGCTCAAAGGTAGCGTCATAAACCAGGTGTCTCACGCCTGCTTTGACAAAAATATCATCCATCCATCTTCTACTGCTTATTCCCGTTGGGAGTCGCTGGAGCCTATCCCAGTATCTTCGGGCAAAGGCAGAGGACACCCTGAGCAGGTCACCAGTTCATCACAGGGCTGACATATAGAGACGAACAGCCATCCACACCTACGGGCGATTTGAAAGTGGCCAATTAACCAAACCCCAGTTCTGTATGTTTTGGAATGTGGAAGGAAACCAGAGTACCCGGAGTAAACCCACGCAGACACAGGGAGAAAATGCAAACCCACTACACCACTGTGCCGCCCACAAATACATCAGCGGTACCTCATTTAAACTGATTAATTATTGAGTTAACATCTGGCGAGTGGGATGACATTTATCTGTTTAGTCATCTGAAAGCGTTTATCCCTAATGTTGATGATCTCCAACTTGACGCATTACTTTGAAACGTGAATGTTTTCTGCAACTTGGGAGCAGTGAAAGAAAGATTTGGACGCATCATAGAAATAAAACTCAATGAGCTGAAAAGGAAAAAGATCCTTTTTGCACATCCGGTATAGAAACCGAGCAGGACTATAATTCATTTGAAGTTGTGTTGTTTGCTCACCTTGAAAGCGTCGCTTGAATATTCATCCTCTTTGATCTCTATATCGATCCTCTATCAACTCCCGAAGGAGACATCAGGCTTTTTTTGCTCTTAAAAGGCTCCATCAAAATCCAAAAGCTTATCACGGACTTCTTTTATCTTGTGTTTGCTGATTTTTCCAAAAGCATCTGCCCGCTTCGGTTCAAACACCTCCAGTCTCTCTGAGGTCAGTTTTACAGTCCCGCTTTTTTCAGTAATTGAACAGACTACAGCAATTTTTATTTCCCCCATCTTCTCTCTAACTCTGTATCGTCTCAGTTGTTTTGCAATACATCTTATTTAAGGAAAGAGGCTCTACCCAGACGAGAGAAGCATTAAGTTTTGCTGCGAGTTACAAAATAGATCTTATACATCTTCAAAGATCAGCTCAAAGCTTGATTAAAGAAACTGTCTCTGGCTTCCTCCTATTTACTTTGAATCCTTACACAAATCAGTTAAACTGTACATCAGTCAATGGTCTCTCTTATCAGATCATTAGTGTGTTTTCAGTCCAATCTGACAACCATGAAAAGGCTGTTTTAGTTGAGATGTTTTGCGGCGTAATTCGCCTCTTTAATTGAATATTCAGCTGTGAAGAGCTGTTATCTCGCTATAGAAAGTTTCCCTCACCGTGAATTTCAATTTCCAGTTTGACTTCAACTTCAGCTAAACTTTCAGAGCTATACGTTTATTCTGGGAAACATCGTGCATGTGTTAGTGTCCTTACAAGGAAATATATCTTTCTGAAATTAGCAGCAGAACTGTAAGGGAGACAACAAACCGCATCACAACCACAAGAAGAGACCGGTTTTCAACCTGAAAACACAACCCTGCTTTAAGCTCCTCGGCGATGACCCACATAAGTCTGTCAGTGTCGTGCAGAGGCGGGTGTTCAAGATGATACCCATGCTTGGGAAATTCTCTTTGAAGGCACATGCCGAGGGCTCACAGAGCAGCCAGATTGGGGCGAAACGAGCCGATACTGTCACTCCGCCAGATCTTTTTTTGTCTCAGCTGTAGGATGTGAAACAGAGGGACTATACGGCTTCTCTCTGTCTCAATGTGGAAGCATCACCCTCTATTGGCCGGTCAATTCATCCAGCTGTCTGTAGATATAAGCCGATCAATACTGAAATCTGTCCTCTGTCGTCACAATTTGGGCTGCTGTAACTCACCAGGGAGCTGTTGTCCAGCAGAGTGGTGGTGAGGTTGCTGTTGAGGCTGAATGACAGGATGTGTCCCTCTCTGGTGCGTAGAGCCACTTCGTTTTCTGAAAAGTTTAGACAGGTAACAAACAGAGTCCTGCGTTGTAAGAGTGAAGAGCTGGAGCTGAAGAGGTCAGACATTTCTGCTTCAGGTGATTTCGTTTTAGTTTTTTAACTTTAAGCTTTCTTACCGTTCAGCCACACAACAGAGGGGTCGTGAACTTTGAACTCTTCGCTCTCCAGATCCTCCATTGTCAGTTGGGAGCGGAGCAACAAGTGAGACTCGTCTTCAGAGGCAAAAAGGCAGAATAAATTATACGATCAGAGAGGGTGTCTTCTTGTTTTATTTACAGAGAGAAAAACTTGAATGTGTTTGATCCTGACCTATACTTCAACTTTTTCTGCATTTATTTATTCATGTGTGAGTTAAATATTTGAAATACATATATTAACTTTAAATATGTCCTCACATTATATCTATTTTAATCTGTAAGTAAATGAAAAACCCCATAAGACTCTATTGAAAACCAAATTAATCCACTGTAGGTTTCCTGTGGTGGTAAATTAAAACAAGGTGATGTTTTATGTGTTGTTTTCTAAAGTGTTACCACCTTTAAACCCGAAGATTTCTCTGTAGTAGCCAACAGTTTTTATGCCCCAAACCTCCTCTTTGCTCCGCTGCTTTGGTCTCTTATCTAATTTGCACAAACCTTTCAACAACCTCAAATCAATTCACCAGGCTGCTTTATTACAAACTGTAACCTGGAATCAACAGAGCAGAGCCTGAAGCTGAAGTACTCATCAAAAGTGTTAAATTTTCGCCCATTTTAAAAACATTATTCCCAAAATATGATGAAAAATAATGTAAAGATTGAATTTTTCGATCCTAAAGACTCTTTTTAAACGTCAGAAGTAGAAATCTTGTAAAGTCTTCCACGGTCTTCGTATTTGAGTGTAAAATAAGCGCCCTCTGCAGGGTGGAGTTGAAGAGTGCGCTCATAGACTGTATATAGAATGGACGCCGTCTGCCTCCTAGCTGAGTGACGCCACTCTGAGAACAGCACCCTCTGGTGACGGGCTACAGAATATAAATTTTTCTCCCCCCTGATTGCGATGTTGACATGTAGTTACTGTAAGACTGGTTTGTGCTCAAGTCCTCCATTTTTAAAAGTTATTAGGGGGTTCCTGTTTTCTATGATTGACACTTGATACAGCCTATGGGTGTACGAAGATTGCGTAGCTCACCCGGGGGATAAGCTGTTTCAGCCAAGCGTCATCACAGCGACTCTTGGCGACTCTCCTGCCGAATGCGCACAACACTACTGCGCAATGTTGGTTTCAGGAAATGGAGAAAAATCACGGAATTACCAAGAGCTTTATGGCGGAAGGCGGAATCAAGTTGTCCATAGTATATACAGTCTATGAGTGCGCCCCATGTCGTGCAGATTTGCAATAGGCCACACTTAACTCCATTCAAGTTAGATTTTCCAGAATAAAAAAGCCTTTAAATCAAGTGGAGAGCTCTAGAGAGCAGCTCGCCATGTTATGCTTTACCAGCTAGATCAAAGCTACTGCAATAAGCCTCATGATTAAGCAATTCTATCCCACACTTTGCTTAATCACTGCTTTCTTTTAGTGAGGTGGCCCATATAAGAGACCATATACGCTTCTGCTGTTATCCGGATAAACAGTTTGTTGTAGTCATCGTGAATGTTCACTATATGTGGCCAAAGAAAGTGCAAACATGACTCATTATTTTGTCCTTACCAGGCGTGAGGAGGACGACAGAGAGTATGACCAGGGACATAACAGCCAGGATCACCACCATGGCGATTCCTATGCCCTTCCAATTCCGCGGGGGACCATCTGAACTTCCCAGGTCCTGTTGTGACAAGAACACACACACACACAGACACGAACACAGTGATGAATGAGAGCCCAGCTGAGGAGGAGGAGGAAGACATTAGTGCTGCATCATTTCCAGAGTTTTCTCCCCGACAGGCATATTAGTACAGTGAGCCTTGAGGGGATACGGGACCAGTCTTCAGCTTCACAGACACCTCATGAGATTACACAAATTTTCCCTTTTCGGGTGGCATGAAATTGCTGCATATGAGACTTTAATTGCAGCAGCAATTTTTGTCCTCAACATAAATTTTTCTGTAGCACTGCCTCATTTCACCTGCGACATATCTGATGGGCCATATGGTTTACAAAATCAGATATAAGGCAGAAGTCTCCTGTGGAGGTAGTAACTGTTTTTTTTTAATAGAAAACCCTTCTGCCTACTTCATCTGCTTTAGCCGAGAGTCTATCCAAAAGCTCGGGATAAAGTTGTTAACAAGGCTATAAAACTAAGTAGAAATAGATGAGGCTGGATGATCATAAAATGAATCAAAACTTCACTTACAAACCAGAGCCAAACTTTCCGCCTCAAGTTATTGTATTTCCTCTCCGTACGGGGGGAACTGATGGTATAAGCCTGGCATGAGTATCAGTCACAATTAAGCACAATCGCATGCTGTTCCCAGTCCGCTCCCCTCCCTCATAATGAGCGGTTGGCACTGCTGGAACCACATGGCCGCTGGAGTGAGCGCATTTAATCACAGAGCAACCGTAACACTGAGCCTTCATTATGTCAGCCCAAACCCTTTATGGCCTCACCTGCCCTGATTATATTCATACGGCCCAGTGGGAGCGAGGTAGCTGGAGGAGGACATCAACAGATTGCCGCTCTTCCGAGCTCCCTGGGTGACACCAGCTGCTCTTGGATCTACAATTGGCCATGCTCATCATCAATATGCTCACTTGGCGATTCTTCTCCCCACAAATATATTCTTTTTGTCCTCCTTTTCTCGAGCACATGGTGTATAAAAGTGCTGATAACGACAATGTACTCGCTTAACTGGAGTCAAAACGCCTTAAAAACCCTATTTCAGCGAGGTGAATCCTGCAGGAACGGAAAAGTAAAGGTCAATGCAGTTGAAGCAGAAGCCGCAGAGTTTCTACTTCTGGATTTAAAAAGAAAACCTCGATACTCTTTGGGGAATCTATTTCAGATGTTTTCACCTCTGATTTGGAGGTTTCCTTTGTACCCCAGATGAATGGAAAACACACAGTCTGCTCCTTCTACACTGGTTGCCAGCACACGTCTCACTGCCAAGGTCTCATCTTTAATAGATCTCCTTGGCCGCAGCATCACAACATGTGCAAATTAAAAACACCACCAGTTGCACCTGCAGGGACGACTTTAAGCGATGTTTGAGCTCTGAGTGTAGACCAGAGCCGCAGGGGGATTGATGTCCGAGGTTTTCCCGGCCTTTCTTGCTATCTGTTTTATCTCATTCTGCTGCCCTTTTGGCACACAATATCTCTGTGAATCACCATTATCCTGCTGTCAGATAAAGAAGCTACAGCAGTGTATGAAGGCTTTAGTCAATACTGAATCATACTGCATGTTCAGCACTTTCTGTTTGACTTCACTCTTTGAATACGAAACAACCAGAATGGATCTCTTTCACAAAGTAAACTGGGCAGATGTCAGATAAAATTGCCATCCATGAATTGTCATAAATACATATCCTTTAAGAAATTATAAGGCATAGCGGAGTGGTTCCAGGAACTCATACTAGAAAGAGGATTTCCAAATTAAATTCTTCCACTCCACTGACTCCATCACATACTGTATTCATTTCCCAGCTCTTCTAATTACTGTGCGCGACATGAGAACTGAAACGTCATTCGAATGGGATACACAGGGACTATCATTCTCCTGAGCCCAGACATGAGACTACATTTTCAATTAAGGTCATTGTTAAGACAAATCGAGAGAATCCCACATTCAGGCGGATTTTTATCATACTTGCAAATGAGGCACAGATGCACTGAGCTGAATCCCAGGAGAGATCGCTGCCGAGGCTTAGAGTGCCAACTAGCTGCTGGACACAATGCATGAGGGAATGTAATGCAGCACAAACTGCTGGCACAGGTGAACAGATGACAACCGCCGCTGAATAACTGACCACGCTCATTTCAATCCTGAAGCAGATGGACAAGCAAATATATCTCAGAGGTGTTTTTTTTCTTCTGCTGAGCCAGATCAAAAATGAATCACACATAGAGCTATGAAGTGGGCCATCTATTTTGCACAGCCCGCGTAATCCCACAGGAGTTGGAGTGGAAACCTAAGTGAGGTGTCAGTCAAGCACCAAAAGGGGGCGAGAATGCAAATCAAAAAGGTCTTTATGTTTATGGAAAGCTCTCCTGAAGGAATCCCTGTGTGAGGACTTGGTTTTTTTTTGGCCGAGCGGAATCACATTAGAGGAGAGAGAGAGCTTTTTAAGTTTGCCAACAGGGCTGGGGGATTTTCACTCAACTAAATGAGGGAATCAATAAGGTGTACAGTTGTACAAGGTCCAGAGGGAAACAATTAATAGAGGGAATGCAGCCGTAGAGGGGATTTTTGGAGAGATTCTCTGTTTTTCTTTTAAAGTCGAACAACTTCATGATGAATACAAAAACCTGTGCTACAATCTTTGAAATCTGAAGTTAATTTCCACCTTCATGAGCGATGTCTCCCTTTCATGAACGCACAAAAGCTAAAAGTACAGGGCCAAAAATAATCGTTCAATGACAACATTTAATTCCCTTTCATCAGTGATCAGACGCTCTTCAAGGTTTTTCCAAGAGCAGTAGAGATTCAAGTAAACTAATTTAAGAGCTAAGAAACATTACGCTTGTCATTGATGTAAAAAACAAACAGGAAGGGGCCGAGATTTGACCCCTGTGGGACCCCAAAAGTTACCATGAGCACGTTAGGTTATACAGCACTGATTTGAGTATTGATATGTCATCTTCTCGAGTCATACGCTGTGATCAATAGAGTCAAAAGCTTTGTCAAATCAGTCAATACCCCCTTTGTTTGTTCAGCATTGTCTGTTATAGTTGAAATCTCCTTATAGCTCTATTGCTGCCAGTATACGGCTGTCTCCCGCTTTAGAGAGGGGTTGTTTGCAGTTTAGTTGGTAAAATACCAGCTTGGAGGTTTGTAATAGTTTCACAATCACAACAAATGCTGTTTTAATTCGTATAACAATTTCAGAACAGTCAGAGAACATTTTATCCTTAAATCGTACAACAATATCAAGTATTGCCTTGTCTCCTAAAGCACTGATTATCATTGGAGACCGGTTTTCTTTCTGCCACCTCAAAAATCACACTTATTGGACTGAAATGTCATTGAACTGCACAGTAACAGATTTAAGAAACAGATTCCAGCTGACTGCCTCCTATTCTCAAAGCAATGCAAACACAAAATCAAAACCATTGCAACTGTATTGATTGAGTTTTCTCAGTAAAAAAGCAAACCGCACCAAACACAATTACTCAGTCTGCACAGCATGGAACACAACTGTTCGGCACAGAATCCGGGCGATGCTAAGAATTCATAAATTAGACTCTGGAGACCTCCTTAGCTCCATCTTCTGTGTCTTTGAGGCATGGAGAATCTGACAATAAATTACATGCAGGGGAGCGAGGGGAACCAGTGCAGGCAGTTTGGGGATTCTGGATTTGCATATCCCCCTAAAACCCCTCCTCAAGTATCGGACTACGATGTTTATTGCGCATAAGACATTGGCAGAGACATCAATGAAATAACCACCTCCATTAAAAGAGGGGGATCTATTGGCAGACATGTATTCAATATAACCTATATGCTCCTGATCTTAATGATTCACTATAATTGCTCACAGGGGAAAGCTGTAGATTAGCAAGTAACCCACGTACATATTACCTTGTCAATACCTCCAACTGCCTCATTTCAAGTGAAGGTTATCATTAAGGCAGAGTGCAACTTTACAGTGGTTGGAAGAAATGGAAAGCCACATGTTGTAGTAATGAGACACTACAGCTTGATATTGATTCATATCTGGGCTCTCTCTTATCACATTCAGAGGGATACCTTTACTCTTTCTCTCTGCGCCACCATCCCTCCTTTTGACTTCCTTATCTCAAAGGAGTTGTAGGTGGTACAGACACCATGTGGGACTCACCGGGCAGATTTTTTTTGCCCCTCGAGGCTTTTGCCAGACAATGCAGCAGCACAAGCTTCTGTGAAATGAAAGTCCTGCTGCTTTAGCCCCTCCACCGCTGCGAGCCTGCCCTACTGTCTTATTCCTTTCATGCTCCCTGTCGCGCATAAGGAAATAATTTTTCTCAAAAAAAAGAGGGTCCTGTTTCTCAGCATGTCCAGCCACTCACAGTGACTGAGCTCCTGCCTGGAGGGATGAGCAGCATCAGTAAAATACATCGAGGGTAGCTGCAGGTGACATGATATATGTACAGTAAAATATGAGATACAGCATGCCATTTTTCACCAGGCTGAGACTCTACAGGATACTCTCTCAGCAGCTTACAATACGCTCACGGCATACAAGACTGCACTGTGTCATACTGTCACTTCATCAGTGTTGGAAATGCATGTGAGAACAATAATGCCTTTGAAGAAAACTAATTAAATCACTGCTATTTTCTTCCTTAATGCCAGGGATTAACTGGACCAGAACCAAGGCATTATGTTTTCCTGGCATGAAATTGCTCTTCTGTTCTGACATAGAGGCAATCATGAGTCCTTTATGTTCACTCTAATATATCTAAAACTGTAAAACACAAACATGTGACCTGTGTGCAATCCAAATTACACCCCAACCTTTGCGTCTGCTCTCTCAACAGACACACACATCCCAACCTTTAACCTAGCTCCGCCTCATTAAAAGCATTTCAGTGTAAAAAATATTGATTGCAGGCTGTGGCATGAGATGTTGCGACATTTGCAGGTAATGGATGATCCGTAAGCCCCGCAGCCTTGTGTGGCCCTCTCAAGGAGACGATAATGCTGCAGGATTATCACACAAGACACTTCAGTCAGGGTTCACTGGAATTCAATCACGTCAACATGTCAGCAAAAGACCAAAGGTGTGTGTGCCACTTTGTGTTAAACATCACAGGGTACCGAATTAGACACATTTGGACAAATAATTTAAGCACTCCTGTAGTCTCTCAACACTTTCTCCACCAGGGGACAGCTGTGTACTAATGATCTCATGATTGAAGCTCTTTCACAAGAACAGCGACAGCTTGATAAGACTGTTAATTACTGGACTTGGCAAGGGATGAAATTGTTGCTCTGCACTGTAGAGAAACAGAAGCAGCTGATTAAAATTGCTGGACGGGTGATGCAGCACGAGAAACTTTTACCCATCGTAAGAAGCATATTCATTGTCTAAAATGCATAAAATTGCACAGTTAAAACCAGTGGTGATTAATCTTTTGCATGCATTTATCATCTTCATGGCATCAATCCATTAATCCAGAATTTAAAAACTTTAATCAGTTAAGAGCGCTCCGTAAAATCCACATACAGTGATTGAGAAATCTAATCTGCTTGTGTAAGATCGGAGGTTGTATCTGACTCATAAGCTGAGGTGAACTGTCCTTATAAACAGTAACAGTGGCTCAGGTGTAGATGTTGCACTGAATGGGAAAAAATGTATGAATGGTTATTTATAATGCAAATCAATCATTTGCACAAAATTGATCATGAGCCATCATTAGTATGTTAATGATTTAAGCAAAGAAGGGATGTATGCACACAGTCTTTACCCATTGACAACACACCTACACAGCAGCCACAGGGATAATCAATTAAATTGTATGCTATACTGTAGGTCTCTGTCCCTCTCAGCAGGGATGGAGATAAAACCTCTTGCTTGAATATATGAATGCAGAGATCATGCAATAAAAGTCTGCATGGGACAGAGTAACAATGCAAGTGTTTGAGAGCCACTGGTCGTCGATTTGCCACACCAGCTGCCCTGCACCGCAGTGCACAGAGTCCAGCCTGTGCAGGAGAGTAATATTGACTGAAAAAGTCTGAATGGACGAAATGGTTAAAACGCAAATCGATACTCATCGCATTGTGGGCATACATGAGGAATCCCCCACTGCACATCAGAGGACCCTCTGAATCTCCCCTCAGAGACTACACACACACTTAAACACACCCTCACAAAGCACTAAGTGGGGATTAAACAGTGAAAAAAAGAAAACACACATACCAGCTCCGTGGTCATGTTTTGTTGAGTTGTGGCAATCATTGTTGTAATCCTGCTCTGTAGCCTCAAACCCTGCCGAGCTGCTGCACTGTTGTCTTCTTGCGGAGCTTTTTCTGCATGCTCTGCTTCTTGCAAGTTTGTGCCTCTCTCTCTCTCTCTCTCTCTCTCTCTCTCGCTCCCCCTCTCTCTCCATGACATTTTATTCACTCATCAGCTTTCTAATCTGTTATTCGATTATTGATCTGCTCCGATATAAATCATGACAAGAGGTCGAGTGTGTAGCGACAGGCTATCAGGCGACTTCAAGCGCTATAAAAAATTATTTATGATCAATAAACATATTTTTATAGTCAAATTATGGACTGATTTAAAGCATGCTATGGTGCTATGGTTTTAATTCCATCAGTGTGCCCTATTAATAAACTCATCAGCTGCAAGCAGTTAATTGAAAAACTCGATATGCAGCATTTAAGTATCAATAGTGCCTTTGGCTATACTCTGAAGAACATTTGTGATAAACAGGAAATTAATAGGCTATAACTTTGCACTTGTATAATCACAAACTGGATTAAAATGATGAATTAATCATTTAATAACAGGTCATCATGATGGTCAGTTGCTATTTGCGATTATAAACAGCACACATTATGGCCAAATTATTGCAAGTGATATTTTCAAAAGCTGTTTTATGCTTGTTTTTCGTCCAGCCTATGTGTTTTCGCTTTATCTGTGAACAAACTGATCTGGGTACATTAAAGGGCTTTTACTGTAAATGACTAAAGGTCTACCAAATGATGGACATGCCTTATATTTGGCAATTAAAGCATATGAAATGTTGTTAAAACGAGCTACTGATTCTGGTAAAGATGAGTTGGACATTACAAACTGAATATTTATGTTTTTTTTTGTGTGTGTTAATATCTTTTATTTCTACTATGTTCAAATGTTGTTCATGTTCAAATAAATTCAGAAAAAGAAGTACACTGAAATTGTCGGTTACTAATATGTCGTTATTTTTCCACTCACCATACCCACGCTACTGTTTATATTTTGAAAGTTCATCCCGGAAATTCATTTTTTCTCGGTCTCATAATTGATTATGTAGGTTGCCTTTTATGTTCATGTCTATTAAAAATTCAAATTTCACATTCAGTTTTTCCAAAGGGTGAATAAAAAATAATCTTATTGTTCAGTTCGTGTCAGTTTTCTTCCTTTTTCGACCGTTACATTGGTTTTAATCTGAAAGGTCGTACACGGAAGTCTTTTCCAGCCTCAATGGTGACGTCGACGTGGTGCCCGTCGGTCATTGGCTGACAGTGAAATTTGAAATACAACGCGCTCATTGTGGTAGCAGCTGCGGAAGGATGTGGACAAAGATACAACAAGCTCGACGCTGAAAAAGTAGGAATAACCTCACCGCTCAGACGGGTTTCTACCCGGATATTGTTTATTGCAGAAAAAGGTAAGTTAAGAATACTATTTTTAAAACTACCTTGGATAAATATAATATAAAAAAGTTCACGCAAACGGTCAGGCCAAGTTTGTCATTGTCATGTTATTTTTCAATCGTGCTGCTCATTGAGTAACAGATGGAAAATGCTAGATCATAAACATGAGACAAAAATAAACCAGCTAAAAGAAAAATATCTCTACACTAACTTTATTAAGGCTCGGGTGCCAGTGACTGGGGTCTGTTTCGACCTGTTATTGTGTTGCTTGTTAGTAAATTTAAAGATAGGTATCTTTACTGACAAGTAGTAATGGGCCAGCCCAGTACACATGGGACCACAATCTCTATGGTAATGAGCAAGAGCTGTTCTATTTTTCCTGAAGGTCTTCACACCGAGAACATCATGCAGACGGCTGTGTTGAGTCTCCAGAGCTTATATGATAAGCTGAGGACTCAAGTTGACCATCTCAATGAGAACATTGAACCAAGTGAGTAGTTAATGGGTCTTGTTTTTATCTTTCACCATTTATCATTTGTGGCAAACGCTCAAGCTGCCTGCAACATTTCAGTGAAAAAAAAAACACCTTCTCTTTCCCAGATTTCATCCAGATGGCACAAAACTTTGATGACTGCCGTCGCAGATGGCTGAGAGCAGAGCATGATCTGGGGTCCTGCAAAGAGGCGCTCACCAAAACCGAGACGGAGAGGGGAGCCCTGGAGGTCAAACTGAAACATGCTCGCAACCAAGTGGATGTGGAGATCAGGCGCAGGCAAAAGGCTGAGGCTGATTGTGAGAAGCTGGTATGAAGGATCGAATCTGGGCTCTGTTTGCTCACTTTGACAAAATGATTGTATTTTTAATGAAGTTTGCGATGTTTTAATGCAGGACCGTCAGATTCAGTTGATCCGAGACCTCCTGACCACTGAGGGATCCAGTAACAGCATTCAACTGAGTGCAGAGCAACGTTCAGCTCTGGCTTTCCTGAACACAAACTGCCAGATGGGTGCCACAAACCTGAACACAAGCCGAAGGTATTAAACTCTTTCACACATCAGCATTGCAGCATATGTTGTAGTTTCTGTCTGTGTTTGCTGTGTCGCCTGTATGAGCCTTGTAGTGAAGTTCTCCCAGTTGTTTACCTTGTCTGTTAGTTTGTATTTGCATGTGTGAAATCTCACACTTAAGATTCTAATGCCACACAAGAACTGCGCTAACTTTCAAATGGAGGACTTACATCCTCCAGCCATTACCACTATCTCTATTTCACATGAGTGCACTCAGAGACACTTCCAAACCACTCTGATCATTCAAATGCATTTCCAGTTTGATTTTCAGAGGATGAAATGTCCAGTAGAATAATCTGCAAAACTGCTTTGGTTTGAGGCAAATGTAAATAAACCCTGGCAGCGGAAACACTCCTCTGACTGGCTTTATATTTAGAAATATTCTACTTCTTCTTACAGGCTGACTAGGATTGATGAGTCTGCTTCCATCTTGTCAGACATTAGCTATGACAAAACAGATGACTCTCTTGTAAGTACTTCTCTTTTCAATGTCATTCAAATTAAGTGTTCAGATGAATAATCCTCCTTTAAGAAAATTGAAATCTGACTTTGACGTCTTTGGCAGGATTGGGACTCCTCCACCGTGAGGACTGTGCGACTCAAGAAAAGAGAAAAAAGGGTATGTGGATCAATGTACGGGTCCTTTTCTTAAACATCTGAACTGGGGTAAATGGACTCTTATTTCCTGGATGTGTTGATGTCATGTTTGCTATTTTGATTTCAGCGCTCCTCAAGGAACCATGTCGATGGCCCTCCTATGGCCTCTAAACGGTCCCGATCAACAGGCAGGACTTCTGAGAGGGTAGGGTTTTGTCATCTTTGTATGCCTGTGATTTGTATTGGTTTTACAAAAATAGCTTCATTAGTTTTTATGCCTTAAAACAGATTAGATTCTGTTCAACTGGAGCACCTTTTTCCTGAAATATTTAGCACAAGTATCTTCGGAGGCTTTTAGAGTCTGTGAGCTTGGACTCAGTTTAATTCTTTTATTATGTTACAAAAACTATAAGTAGAAATATAAACCTTGAAAATGGTGTTGCAAAGTCTACAATAGAGTCATGTCTGTTTTTGACACATCGCATCAGGTTCCTCCAGATTCAAAGATTTTTTGATGACTTATTCTTGTAACAGGGAAATGAGGCCCTCGTGACAAGGACCACGGTGACTGTACCCCCAGATGGAGGACCTGTTGAAGCCGTTTCCTGCATTGAGACTGTTCCTTATTGGACTCGCAGCAGGAGAAGAACTGGTAAGAATTTCTTTGTCATGCATTATGCATTGTATACCCATGGGAAGATCTGTCCCTGTTCTTTGTCTGCCGTTAGCATAATAGCAGCGAGGTGTAGAGAGCTCTGTTAGTTTTTATCTAGTTGAACTAATTAAGAAATACTTAATAGGCCTATAAAACAAACATACTTTCAGAGGAACTTGCAAAACCCTAAAACAAACATTCACCCTGTCAGACGACTCACACTGTTAGCAACGCCGAGAAATCTTCTCATGGTGCAGAAAACTCAGTATTTTTTCCTGTCACATCGTCATTATGCGAGCCAGTGTTTGAAGTCTTCACGTGCCACAGCGGCGAGGTGACAGTATATTTTCCTATTACTGCAGGATGGTCATGGTATGTGACACACTGTTATTAATCATTTATCTGTAGCTGCCATGGAGTGGGACTCTGAATCTGTCCAGTCTGAGGATGTGTTCAAGCAGCCTGTCAACCCTGACGGGGAGATAAAACCTCAGCCCAGCACTCCGCAGAAAAACGGGGGGGTCCGTCATCACGAGTTTGTCTCCAAAACGGTAAGAATCCTCTTTGTGGGTTGTTATCCTTCCCTGTTTTTCTGCTTTTGTGCCTTGAAAATTGTAGTTTTTGTTTCTTTTCATCAAGTGTGGGAGCAAAGTTATGACATCCTCTACAGTTATGGGCTTCTCTGGCTTCTGTACAGGAACAGATTTCCAACTGTATTGAAAACTTTTTTTTAATGCTGCTCCTCATTTGTACGTTCATTCTTGTGCTAAACATTTACTCGAGTTTATTGGCCAAAATAACAAAGGGTAATTTCATGGTTATGCCGAGCATAAACGAGCTATCAGCCCACGGCCTTACCAGCCTCCTAAACTACACTGAATGTCTTTCTTAGGTCATAAAGCCGGAGTCGTGTGTGCCCTGTGGAAAGAGGATCAAGTTTGGGAAAGTTTCACTCAAGTGCAGAGACTGCAGGGTGGTCTCACACCCAGAGTGTCGGGATCGCTGCCCCCTGCCGTGCATCCCCAACCCATGTGCCACTCCAGTCAAGATTGGGGAGGTTAGCGAGGATATTCATTAAACCTAATATCTCTTTTATAGTTTGTTTCACCTCTAAAATATTACCACAGTGCTGATATTTGACCCCATCTATCTGTTTTACAGGGTGTGCTTGCAGACTACGTCCCTGAGACATCCCCCATGATTCCTCCTCTCGTAGTCCACTGCATCAGTGAGATTGAGCAGAGGGGCCTGCATGAGGTGAGTGGTCTATCCTGTCCTTTTAAATATGCAGAAATGGGAAAAGACAGTAGTTATCTTTAATGTCTTCCATTAAACTGGGACAGAGGGGTGTAGCTACGATTTTACAATCTGTTTCTGGAGGATTAAGTTGCTATTTCGGCTGGCTTCATTGGACTCGTGCGTGACTGCTCTGCTGTCTCTCTTCCTTCTGTTGTGTCAGATCTTGAATCCGTCTTTGATCTCTCTCTCTCTCTGTGGCGTTTTTCTAAAGATAGTTGTGATATGTGCTCTTTTATTTTCCATCAGAGGCATTTTTTTTCAGCTTTCACTTGGGATTTTTTAAAGAGTCTTCACTTGCCTGAAAACATTGTGTTATCTGTTAAAATGTGTAGCTTGTATAATTAAGAGTCTTCCCATTTGAGAGTGGATTTAGCTTTAAATTCAGGCTTTTAAACACACATCGTCTGTCTGTTAGTGTACAGGTTTCCACAAAGATAATGGTTTGTTTGATTCTCTTGCTCCATCACTGAGATTGGAGTCGATCACATACAGTCATGGATAGACATTGATTGTTTTTTTATGCCTTTCTTTCACATTTGGGGATGCGATTAGGTGTAGACTGCCTACATTAGATAGCTCCTCATTTACACAAACTATTCACCTGATTGAGAACTAACACTCAAGCGGTACAAATGTGTATATGAGAAAGATGTTAGGAAGCTGTTTGTACCTACTAGTCAAATAAATGGTTATACCCAGAGCCTTTGCAGTAAGTGGAAGCTGTCTGGCAGTCAAACAAAGAGCAACATTTGGCCAATCATCTCTCTCACAGAGGGGTATGAAATTATGGGATGCATTACCATCTGATCCATCTGATGTTTAGGCATTAAAGAGGTGGTATCATGCTGGTTTTCATATTCTGAAAACAAATACTGAATTAAGATGTTAGGACGTCCGTTTTATTCATGATCAAAGTGTCAGGTTGGAGGTTAATGTGTGTTGAAGTAATCCCCCAGATGAGACTACAGGGTCCTCTGAATGGCACATGAGAATACAGCGAGATCAATATGAGATTTGCTTAAATAAGACATCATTTTTATCATTTAGATAAAAATGAATAACTTTTTGTGCATGGCAACAATGAAGGAGGCTTCCGGAGTGCTAAAGGGGGCCGTAAAGAGACAGCGGTTTAAATAAAGCGTCTGAAATATGTTCATGTAAATCATTTAAAGCTGCTAAGAGGCAATCAGAGGGACACTATAAAGACAGAAATAAGCATCATACCCCATTTTTAAAGGACCTTAAGGTTTTCAACACATACAAAGAAATGGCTCTCAGTCTGCAGACACTTATTGTTCAGTTCAAAATTATAAATCAGATACACATATGCACACACCTGTGCTGACTCACAAACATGGGCATTATCCAAGCTATACTCCATCTTCATTTTACAGCATGCATTGATTTCATTGAATGTCTAAACTCAGTACTGTTTTATTTCTGTTTTTATTTATGGAAGCCTGACCAGTCACAGCGGTTGTAAATTAGCCTCGGCTGGAACCTGTATGCACGGCATCTACTTTGTACATACTACAAAGCACTGCTGCATGCATTTATCCCGGTCAAATAAACGAGTAAACACAATAAATCAAGTAAATTTGACTTTAAAGGAGCTGTAAACGGTATAAACATCCCAGCGGAGGAAGGGAAAAAAAACCCTTCCTCTTCTCCTTCTGCTACTTAAATCCGTTAAAGCGTTCCCGCTAAGTGATGCACCAAACATGCATGCCAACTGTTATCAAACGAACGGTCGACTTGATGCAGCTGGTCATGTCAGACTCACAGGACAGAAATCAATAAACCGAGGAGAAGAGTGAGAGAGCAAGTCAGGGTTGATGTGCAAGACAACCTGATGTTGTTTGATTCAGATGGACCCGTTTCTAATCGAATGCTCACAGACACGTTTATTTAATGGAATAAATGTGCATATTTTTTGTAGTAATCATCAAATTTTTCATGCTGAGTGTTGCTTATTGTAGCTTTAAGTAGATCACTTTTTAGATGTAAGAAACCTTGAAAAGAAGATGGTTTGAATAAGATTGTTGGGTTTGAAGCTGTAAACAACAGCCCTTTCTAAAATAACTCAGAAATCGAACAACTAAAGCCCAGTTATTAATACTTAAAATTTCATCAAAATATTTCAAGTCCAAGCTGCGATTTTAGGAGAGTTTCTGCGAGAGCTGTTTTCTCTAAGTAAAGATAAAAAACTGTCCTTTGTTTCCTCTCAGGCTGGTCTGTACTGTCTGTCTGGTGCCGACCGCACAGTGAAGGAGCTGAAAGAGAAGTTCCTCCGCAACAAGACCGTCCCTGTGCTCAGCAAGGTGGACGATATCCACGCCATCACCGGCCTGCTGAAGGACTTCCTGAGGAACCTGAAGGAGCCTCTCCTCACTTTCCGCCTCAACCGTCCTTTCATGGAGGCCGCAGGTTTGTGTTTGTGACTTGTGTGTGAAGTAAGCCGTGCTGCTGGTAGATTTATTAGAGAAAAAGAGACGCTGAATGCTTAAACAACCTGAATTTATCTTAACTTGTTTAAGAGCTGCAGAAAATGTCCCCGGCAGGGTCGTTAAATGCAAGTTTCATGATTACTTCCTCGACTTTGTTTTTGCAGTTTGTTCTGAGCAGTGACTCAAAGAGTAGGCATGAAGTGGAACTAAAAAGAGAGCTCAGTTAGTTGGCTTTTTCCAGAGTTTATTTGTCACAGGAGTCAGATATATTCTCTCTCAAGTTGTTCATTAAACTCCCTCAACCTTTTACATCCTGGTCTCTGCTGATGAAACCGTTTTTTTCCCTCTCTCACAGAGGTCTCAGACGATGACAACAGCATCGCCCTGATGTACCAAACCATCGGTGACCTGCCTCTGGCCAACAGAGACACACTGGCCTTCCTAGTGCTGCACCTGCAGAGGTAAGCAGCTGCTCCCCTCTGGAGTTAACACTCTGTGAACTATGCATACTCCACTGCAGCCAATTATAGAAGCTTTCTCTAATTTGACTCCTTGGATATCATACCCAGCTACACCTTCAGCGCTGGGATTTGCAGAAATTCACCCCAGTCTTTTTCTTTTTCTGTATCCTCCAAATTTAATTAGGTTAAATAGCTCCAGGCAAAAAAACTCTTCAAACTCAGACTCACCTTTTTTGAAATTTGACAAGCTAAAGTCTGTTTACTTAATCCAAGATACACTTATTATGCTTAAACGTATTACTAATGCAACTGCACTGTGTCTTGGCAAGACTCAGTACTCATCACACCGATGTAAACACACTTGGGAAATCAAAACAGACAGATTCACTCAGTATTACTCAGTACTGACATATTAAGTATTGACATATGTTCATCACAGTGGGGAAAATGCCAGTCAGTTATTGTGTAATAAAGTGAGTATCATTAAACATGACACAGGAAAACTGATCATGTTTTATAGAATTTAGATGCTCCTTTAAAAAATCTGTTTTCATATGTTTTTTCAGGGTTGCTGAAAGTTTGGACACGAAGATGAACGTCGGAAACTTGGCTCGAGTGTTTGGCCCAACGATCGTCGGTCATGCTGTCCCCAACCCGGACCCAATGACAATCCTACAGGACACCAAACGTCAACCTAAGGTCCACCCTGAAGCAGCTGTCTCATCATTTACTGCCTGACTTTGTCTGCAGTTTTCCCCTTGAATGGAAAAACTCTGGTTATCTCTAGTAACAGGTTTAGTTCAGTTCAGTGGTGCTGCAAATTTTGGGTGCAGCAAACACTTTGGAAAAGCTACACAGTCACAAATGCAAAAGGGGAGCAGATTGTGTATCTGGCCTCACAAAAGCCACACACAGCCACTTTGTTTGGATGAAAAAGCCAGCCGGGGTTTTATTTTTCGCCCCGAGCCTCTGCAGCCTGATGTCACGCTGAGCGTACTAAAAAGACTCGGTCACAGTTTCTGAGAAGTCATAAGAGCGGCTTACATCTGCAGCTCTTTATCAAACATCTCCCTCCCTCTCATATAGTCGAGTTTGTTTCACTTCAGACCCAAACACATTTACGCTCCAGAAAGTGACGCCGTCTTGATTGCTTGTAGTCGTTGGTGTTCGCTGTCAGAGTTAACATATGTGCAAACAGTGATACCCTTGTGCAGACACATCTGGTGTGAAGAGCGTGCCAGCAGTGTGTTTTTTATTAATTACAGTAAGGAACGCATACATTTCTTATGTGTGGGAAGACTGTTAGACTGACCCACCGTGAGAGTTTTATTTACCTTGCACCAGAGCTTAGTCACAGAACCGTAGCCTTTCAGTAACTCTCCTCTGTCTCGCTTCCAGGTATCTGCATAAACAGCTCTCCACTTTTGAGGCGGGATGAGGCAACCCTGCTGAAACAGGCCCTCATCTTTTTTGCATTTTTATGAATCACAAATCTTTTTTTTTTTTTTCTGTTCAGGTGGTGGAGCGTCTGTTGACCCTGCCGGCGGATTACTGGGGCCAGTTCGTGATGGCTGAAAACGGGCATCCCAACCTGGATCACCTGATCATCGAGAATGCGAACTGCTACGCCACCCCTGAGAGAAGTACGAGCTAACGGACGCTTAATAAGCTCTGTGTGTTCCTGCGCGGTCTTTATTCGCCTGTTGACATCTTATTGTTGTGTTTGCGCTGTTGTTACAGTGAGCATGCTGGGACCTCTGACTACTCCTGAGCACCAGTTTAATAAAACCCCCTCCTCCAGCTCCTTGTCTCAGCGCATGAAGTCCAGCCTGACACCGAGGTAAACACACGAGCACACACAGACATAACCCGGCTTTAACACAGTTTTTCCAGGCAATGCTATTATGATTTATCACCCTAAAGCTTTGATACTGCTGATTCAAACATTCAGAAGATATAATGCAGGTTTTTTTTCCTGTTAAAGATTTAGAGAAAAGCTGACTCGTTAGAACATCCTTCTGAGGAGTTAATCTTCTGTGCAATATCTCATTATCTCTCATTGACTCTGTTTTATTGACTCCTAATTCCACTAAATGTCATTGTGTGCTCTCTTTTGTTGCAGATTCGGCAAGAGCAAATCACGCCAAGGAAAATTTTTCGACTCCCCACTCTTGAAATAACCCGAATAACTCCTTATTCATACTCCGATGGAAAGCATTTATGCATGACTAATAACCTGGTACTACTTTGAATACTCCATCTTAATTTTCTCGCATATAATCGTCTCGATGCTTCACATTTGTAGTTGTTTTCTGCTGATTTTACATGTTTGTGGAAGGATTTTTAAACAAATAGTTTGCTTAACTATGCACATTTGTGTGTCTGTAGAGCTGATGCTTCAGCTAAATCTTTAAAGGGAAAATCTCAGTTTGCCTTTAAACGATGAGAGCGATCTCCATAGAAGTCTTTTTTGGAAGAATGTGTGCATAGATGAAAATACGTACTGTATATGTACAGTTTTATTGTGGTCTGAGTGCAAATGTAATCATTTCTTTTGACAATTTTTCAGCTCATGTGTAACTCAGAAGTTGGAAGATTGAATCTTAAGCATTTCATGGAAGGTTTTGATTAAAAGTGTGACTTTGTGCAGCAGAATCTTTTTAGTTTCAATGTTTGCTTTTCCCTTCTGTTGAATCGTGGTGTAAATATTTATAATTGCACACGCCCCGGTCTTCCTGAAAAGACACTTGAAACAGCTTTAAAAAGATCATTAGGAAGACCAACACTTAAGGGAAGGATTTTCTTTGTCTTCATTTCCAAGACTGGGTTTAATTTTTTCATAATTGGGAAAAAAATCTCCAGATTTTGAAGTCTTGACTGTCTGGGTTTTTCACCCCGTACTGCAAGAATTCATCAGGAGGATAATTAACCGCTTTAAATGTCAGGCTGTTATCTTTCAACAGGCAGAGGTATCTGACTCCGTTTATTGCTCTGTAATGTTTGTACTTTAGTTAGGCGGCTGATGAGTCATGATAAATTGGCCGGCTCTTTTCCTCCTGCATTATTCAAAGCTCTTTAGCACAGCTTATGTACACAAATACACTCTTTAAATTTCATGTAAATTATAAAAATACTTTTCTAACCTCCTCCAGAGCGTCCAAAGTGTTTTCTGTTACATGTTTGGTGTCATTTTCTCTGTTTTGATTCTTCAAATTCGAAACTTTGAGTGACAGAATCAACAGTTTTTATCTTGTAATGTTTAATAGCTCCACAAGGGAAGACCCCTGCAGGTATTCAACAGTGTTAGCCATTGCAAGTTTTTATCTCAGGTCTATTGACGGCCTCCTTCTTCCACTGGGGCCCTGGAAAATCAATCCCACTTTCCCCCAGTCTTCATGCTGAGGAATAACTGAAGCTCTAGCAAAGGTTACTCAAAGACAAAAGTGACGGCTGATCTGCTGGTTCACATTCAGAGTTGGAGTGAAACACTAATAGAGATAAAGCTACACTGACTGACTTAACTGTTGGGTCACCTAAAGAAGTTATTTGACATTTTGATAAGTCACATCTACAATTTTTCAAACAATCTGACATTGTCTCTGTACTGTTGGAGATGCTACTACATGCTCTGGAAATGGCAATGAGTGCTTGACATTTTGTGGACTAATCAATTAGTCGTGACTGAATGTAGCTCTGCTCGGAGGGAAGAGTCAACATTGTGAAAAGGGCAGGATGAGAGACCATTATTGAGGCAGTTTACAGCCATGAAAAGGTAGTTATGTTTAAAGAGTTGTTAAGATAAACTGAAGTTTTGTTTGACTGAATAAGAACAAATCTGTTTGTGAGGCATTTATTGGTACAACAAAAGAGGAAATTATGAAAAACAAATAGAAAACATCAGAATTTGGGCCACGGCCAGAGCATTGGAGTGTTTTTTATGTAGTCCTGGAAGGCCGGTTCAGACCCCCACTTCTTCATGGCCTGTTTCTCCAGGATGGGGATGCCGCTGACGTGGCGTAGCAAGAACCAGACAAAGAGAGGCGACGCCACGCTCAGGTACTGTGGACCCTTCATTACTGAGGAGGCAGACAGCCAGAGACCGGACCACTGCAAGATCTCCCCGAAGTAATTAGGGTGTCTGCTGTAGGCCCACAGTCCACTCTGAATGAACTTTCCCTGGAGAAACAAAGAGAGCTGAACATTACAACAGAGTTTAGGTGTCTTAAAAACCGAAGTCCTTACATCTAACTCTCCCTGCTTCATTCAGAGGTTGTGTTGAACTTAAAAGAGCTGTTTTCTTTTCCTATAACCTAAATCTGGTGTTAGAAGAGCTGCTACTAACTTTATGTTTAAAAGAGTATGAATGATAAGCGTAAGATCCTAAAGATGCAGTGTGCAGAAATGGGAAGATTTAGCTGTGTAAACTTGATGTTACTAGTTTGTCTGTTCTGCCCTCTTGTAGGAAAATGGTGATGCAAGATGGTCTGATTTCCTCAGGTTGAGGGTTTGTTAATGCACACCAAACTTCCCTATATCACCATGGTTACCTCTGTTACCATAATATGACTTACAGCGTTATCTGGATCACGCTTGAAAAGCCATTTCTGTTGGTCTGCGATCGCCTCAGTAGCAAAGCCAATGCCCCACACAGTCCAGCCGATGTAGTCCCTCGTTCCCAGAGGCACGTCTCGCTTCTCGCTGTTGAGCATGAGGGTGGGCAGGAGGGTCGCAAATACCCACAAAGCTGCAAAAAAAAACAGGAAATGGCAATTTATTTTTACTCAACTGTGTTTGCAATAATACCTCCAACAACCTTTATTAAACCAACGCTTGGAGAAATGCATATGCACAGAGAAACAAAATTATTTATTCATGGCTGCCCTGCAGAGTTGGTCATGGACTGCTGCAATAAGGGGAAGGCTCTCAGGTGCTCGAGAGTACCTTGAATGGTCCAGTACACAAAAAACGTCCCTGGGCTGTCTCTGACACCGTTGAACCTGCGATCATGACCGTCCTTCAAGATCCGCAAGAAGAGGAATGTCCCCAGCCTGTGGAGAGAACATGGTTAACACCTGTTCTCATTAACTCAGGCATTATTCATTAACCTGTTGTCAAGGTTTCACATTCATTAGTCCATTTTTTGACCTCAGGAAGAAGGTCAAAAAAAGGTCAAGACAGACCATGAAACTAGATGTAAAGGAATACAACCAGGAGGAGTTTATTGAACAGCGCAGGTTTAACTTCAAAGTTCTTATCAGTAGGGCTCACCTGAGTCCCCATGCCGTCACACACCCAGTCTGCACCATCTGACGGATGTGACTGGCTCCTCCCCAGATACGACTCAGGTGGGCAAGCAGTATAAAAGTGCCAGATCCTGCAGGTTAAAAAAAGAGTGAGAGACTAAAGGTGATTGGAATATGGGTATGTTGGCCAGCCCAGTGGAGTACGTAAGGCGTGTTCAATAAATCTTTTACCCAGGATCCTGCAGACTATTGGTTCCAAAGTTCAAGGGTAAAATATCTAGGAGCCGAGCGCGCAGGGAAAAGGCACAAGGAGAGGACGAGGACGAGTGTAAGAGAAGTGTCAAGGTGATTCATTGGCTGGATCGGGTAGAAATCAGTCACTGGTTGCAGTCACAGGTAAGCTGCACGACTCTACACTCCATTATTTTGATTGTTGGCTGTAGTGAAGCTCCTTGAATGACTTTGCAGATCTCTGTGCTTTATTGCTTGTCGTGCACTCTGAGTAAACTTCCTCTGAACAAAAAATGATCACAGGTGTCAATCATCTTGCTAAAACTTTGTTCAGTTTGAGTAAAATCACTGATACAAGAGCTTTAATTCAAGTTCATGGTAGTTATAATTATAATTATTGATATACTTGTCGATCTGCAAAGTGAGTCATTGAAATTTTGAGAATAACTGAAGGGTGCCGCCTCTTCCAAGACGACATCCTGCTTATTTTAATGCTAACTCTATCTTATTTTCACATACGACAAAGAAAACCAGGAATTCACAAGTAATAAAGTGGATTTAAGAAACTGTGCGTCATAAATAACCTTAACTAATCTTCATTTCTATCTTCTGACAAGCAATCAACCCATTAACTGCATTACCCCGGGAAATTATGGTATCATTAAAAGCTATTTAAATTGCATGAGTAAGGCTGCACAGCTGCTACAACTCTTCTTCAGGGAGTTTTAACGCATATCTCAAAATATAAACAGGTTTCTCAAATTAATTGCAGGGAAAATGAATTAAAAAATTGGGCCCACACCCCCCTCTTTAGGGTCCCAGGATTCCCTCAGTGCGCCCCTGCTGACAGCAGATCATCGGGTTAAGCTGATCGGATCAATGCGCCGCTTTAAGATGAAGGAGGAGCTTTCTTGACTGTTTCACAACATAGCTGCTTTAGATAAGAGGTTTTATAACTTAAAGGTGACAGTTCAGTGTTTAAATATATCTTAAAATGCCTTGTTTTAAACTTAAATGACTTAATAGCTGATTTACGCTTGAGGAGCTTGTTGTAAAGTTGTCAGTCGCTTCCAGGTTAAATAATCTCCACATTTATAATCCATCGGAATAACAAGTCCGGCTGCAAAAACCAGTCTGCACATGGTCGCAAATCATCATCCTAGGAGTAGATGTTACCCTGCGATCGTCAGTTTTCTCCACATTACCTGCCAGATCATAAAACTTCTCGGTTTTGAGGGCGGACGCTAAAGCCCAGCCGGCCCACTGGATCCCCAGGTCTGTGGCGGCACATTTGGCCAGGGTGCTCCCCATGATCATGTCCTGCAGGTCGGCGAGCTGCGGAGGGATGTGGAAAGTTGTCATAAAGCCACTCCTCTGGGGCCAACAGAAATAAAAAAAAACACGCTGGGTAAAGTTCACCGCCGCTGCCATTGAACAGCTGGGAGTGGCTTCACCGCAGGGAACTCTGGGTATTGTAGTTGTAGTAATTAACTGCTTAGGTAACTTGGCAGTTTGTGTTACATAGTCAAATCTCATGCTTTTGATGAGAATGAACGCTGGAATGAACGTGTGCAGACTCACTCTGTAGTTGTATCTGTGCTGTTGAACAACCACGATCAAAGTAATCAAAGAGCAAAAAGACAGAGGAAAGCAAGAAAATCCAGGTTTACCTTCTGCAAAGTAGTAAAGACTGCTGCTTTATACGGTGGCCAAGAACTGCCACTGCTGCAAACAAAAAAGAATGCAAAAAAAATAAAACAAAGAAGCACAACAGAATTACCGATGAAAAAAAAAGAAATAGAAGCCTGCTGCAAATTAAAAAAAAAAAAAAAATAAAAAATGGTGCAAATTTAAAAAAAAAACATCCGAATTTGAGGATCCCAAAAAAAAGTGGCAATGCAAAAAAAAAATAAAAAATAAAAATAAAGCTACCAAACTCGGTTCTCCTCTCATGGGTGGTTGTTCGGGGCAGAGCCGGCCCAAGGCATAAGCAAACTAAGCGCCTGCTTAGGGCCCCCATGAAAGTAAATAAATAAATAAACATATATATATATTGTAAAAATAAAATACAGTAAAACATTTTAGTGCTGCTGCTGATGTAGGCCTATGATTCTTACTGGAGATATGTCAAAGCCTCACTTCTGTTGTGCCTTTTTTTTTTTCTCATCCTTTTATTTTTGCTGTAAGTAATTTTTTTTTTGCATCACCACCTTTTTTCGTCATTAATGTTGTTAACTTGTGGCTTTTTTTTATCTATACCGTGTCTTTTCTTTTTATTTGCAGCGGGCTTCAGTTTCGTTTTTATCTTTTATTTTTTGCATCTGTAACTTCTGTCGTGGTTTCTTTTTTTTTTTTTTTATTGCATTCTTTTTTATTTGTAGCAGTGGCAGTTCTCGGCCACAGTAGCTCTTCACAATGTTAAAGCTACTGGATTGAGCAGGTTTAAATCTTGTTCAAGGACAGAAAGAAAAGTATGTCTTCATGAAAGTTTCAACTGCTTTTGGTGCGATGAAAATACTTACAAATGTCAGCACCTCCAGGCGGCCCTGTAGAGTGCTGGAAAACCCTTTAGTTCTCATTCATAAATCCTAGTATTACATCCAGCACAAGGTCTTTTTTATGAGACAAAAAAAAAAGAAATGCTTTTCTTACACTATGCTTTAGCTTCCCTTTCTAAAGCCATAATCAAATGCTGAAATGGACAAACCAACAAAAGCTCTCTGTCAGGCAGTTCTGTGGTGTTCTGCTGAAGACTACAGACTCTAAATGCAGAGATTCTGAGTGTGAATCACAGAGAGGAGCTTTCCATTCAGCCAGGAAAGAAATATTGTCCTTTCTTCAGCAGTTTCACTCGAATTGAATGGCGAAATGAAAAACGCTGACAAAATAAGCCCTAATGTAGTCTCTCCAGTTGGAACCCTTACCATAACATCGTAAAAAGTCTATCTTGCCAAGGCTAAAGTGTAGAAACAAAAACAAAAACATTGGAGACATCTAAAGTTGGAGAAAAAACCCTAATTTTGCTGAGAATGACTCGAGTTGTAAAACCTCTTTGGAGAAAATATGTAAGGACTTCAAAGTCTTCAATAAGGGGATGTTTCAGTGTTTTCTTTCTCCTTTTTCCTTCCTTTCTTCTTCCTGCTCAGACAAAAACATGGCTGAGAGCACGAGTCCAAAAAGCAGCTCTGGTGTCTTTGCTAAAAAAGTACAACGGCAGCTGAGCAGAGGCAAAGAAAAGGTAACAGTCTGCGAAGATTTCTTTTGTTTTTCCAAATATCAAGGGAGGAAACCTTGGTGCCATTTTGCTCCTATAGCTCAGAGAAATGTTTTGTTTTGTTGGTTTTCTGCAGGTGCTGCAGAGGCTGGGGAGGACAGTGGAGACCAGGGATGACCAATTTGAACAGTCACTGCAAAATTTTGTGGACCAGCAGGTAAACTGTCTCCTAGAGTTACTATTCTGTGTTTAAGCCAACCCCCTCCTCCCTTTTTTCTAACATCTTAGATGATTTATTGGCTGTAAAGGAAGCAAATAAAACATCATAAAAGTAATAAATCTGCAGCCTGACAAGCATGTAACCCTCCTGTATCTGCAGACTGATGGAAACCGGATATACAAGGACCTGAGGCATTACATCAATTCAGTTAGAGGTAATAAAAAGTTTCTGAGGATGCTCCTTTTGGTCTTTTGTACGTCCCTAATGAACTGTCCTGCTATTACAGACATGCGTGAAGCTTCGAGACGACTCTCCCAGTCCTTGTTTGATGCTTATGAAAATGACTGGGCTGCAGGGGAGGATTTAGGAGCCATTGTAGAGGTGTGTTCATCATCTATGAGATATTATAAATCTAAGCGACAGTTCAGCTCTAACACTACAAGCCTCTTTTATCGCCAGGGGAGCAGACACCCCCTTCTTTCCCCCTCTCTTTATACATAATTAATGCACTTTTTATGCCGTGCCTCTTAATCAGGGAGAGGACCTCCTGTGGAATGACTACGAGGTGAAGTTAATAGACCAGGCTATCCGCACCATGGAGTCCTATGTGAGCCAATTCCCTGATGTGAAGGTGAGGCAAACAGAAGCGAATACACACAGACAGAGAAAACAAGGCCTGAGAGAAAACAGGAAAACTAACACAGACGAACAAGCGCAGAATCCACATCCACAAACACACCGTCTCTGTCAATCCGCAGGAGAAAGTGGCGAAGAGAGGGAGGAAACTGGTCGACTACGACTCTTCCCTGCACCACCTGGAGGCGCTGCAGACTGCGAAGAAGAGGGATGATGTCAAGATAAATAAGGTCACGACTGATGACATGCATATTCACTTTGAAGAGCGCTTTAACTTCTTTTAAACTTTGATCAAAACTAATTCAAGTGTTCGTGCTGCAGGCAGATGAAGAGATGCACGCTGCCAAAAGTGTGTATGAGAGCATCAACAGTGAGTTAAAAGAAGAGCTGCCTCAGCTCTATGACAGGTTGGCCAGTCTTTTTTTACTCTTTATTATGTTGATCATAAAGAGTATGGATTATTTTTTTTACAATGTCTTTTGCTTTTTCTTTGTAGTCGGATTGGATGCTACGTTTCAGTCTTCTCTGCTTTGTCAAACCTCCGTCAAACCTTCTACAAGGAAATGTGCACAGTATGTTTTTACCGAAGCAGGTCATTTTCACCAGAATGGAAAAGTTTATTTTGTTTTTGTTCTTTTTTACACCTGTTCGCTCCTCTTACAGCTCAACCAGGATCTACACAGCGTGGTGAAAGAGCTGCAGGCTCAGTATCCAGACAAAGTGTTCGCTGTGAGGGGAATGCAAAAGTGAGTTCTAGTTTAAAATTGTGGATTTATGAGAAAAACTCTCCAAAACTTCATTCGAAACACAGTAAATTGAAAGTCTTAAAGGCCCCCTCTTTATTCTCAGAGGTGAGGTTTTATTTTTTATTCTCCTTGTCCTGCTTTGTATGTGTTTTCCTTCTCCTTCTCTTATCTGCCTCATCTTCGCTCTCTCCCTGCCCTGATTTGAACCCACGATTATTGCAATGAAAGGCAACCGCCGTCCTGCCTGAGAGTGTTTGACTTCTGTTGGTCTATTCAGCTTTACAACAAATTTAGACTTAAGTGTGATGAAAACATGCACTTATCAGCTCACATTGTTGACCCTGGTGCGATTTGAACTCACAGTCTTTGCGCTGAAAAGCAGTAATCTCTCCATTTTTCAATGTTATTTCAAACTGAATCTCAGGCTGTGATAGAAACATACCTTTCCTGAATCACATTTTAACCCTTACTCAGATTTGAACCTCCTTTTTACTGCACTGTGTTGATTTAAAAACATTATCCAGGCCATATTGGCTTTATAGGAGCTGGTCACTGCAGGGATTTGAACCTCGGATTGTTAAACTCTTAGACACCACTGCTCCTCATGACATTATGCAACCCTTTCTGATTTAAATACTTGTTTTGTACTCGAGTGGCTACACAGGATGGCTCCTGAAGGGATTATAACTCACAGTTAACTCGCTGTCTTTGCCATCTGTGCTTACCCTTCCAGTAATGGATTGCTGTGCAGGACTTACTTGTTAATGTCAATTTAATTTCCAGCACATTACGATAGGCTGCTTACTTTCTTTTATTTTTAAAGTCTTTTCTTTTTGATATAATTTAATCAGACTTTTTGTCTGTACTTTTTAAAAGTCATAACTTAATAAGAAAATCATTCCATTTCAGATTTTATTTCAGGTCTGTTGAGAGCCCTTTTCCTCCTCAGGTCTTCAGTTCCACTTTTCCCCTTGCTTTTATGAGCATCTACAAATCTAAGCATGTCTGCCTTACACTGTGTATGAAGAGCAGATGTTTTGATGTTTTCATTAAATTAATTATTCCCACTGAGCGATAGTCGGCTATTAGATGTCTAGTTATTTTTTGGACCTAATTTCAACCGTTGAGATTCTGTATATTTTTAGACAGAATTTAGACTTTGCACTTTAACCCATTATTCAATAACTATTTATTTCAAAAAGCAACTGTGAGTTGCATAACTGATCTCCAAGTACTTAACCAAAATAATTATGATAGCCGTTGAGCAATATACAGAGTAGTAAAGATATAGCCCAGATTTAGACTTGATCTAAACTTGGTCTTAATTTAGACATCTGAAAAACTTTCATTTTTAGACCTGTGGTAGCCTGATTTTAGACCAGTCGTCTAGGCTACATTTAGACGTCTATTAGACCTCTTTTAGACCAATGGTACAAAAGACTGGTCAGCTTTAAATTTGATGTTTTGGACTAACAAACTGATAAGGGCGTTGTATTTATTGGGAGAAAACGCATTTGCAGATCACCAAGCGGTTTAGGCTAGACTCATGTACATAGGCCGTGCTGCTTTGATGCATCTTTGTGGATATCATTTCCCACTCTCTCAGCTTCTTTTCCCCCGCTCTGTCCCAAAGATAAATCCAAATGCATTAGTCTTTGAAAGTCATCTTTGTTAAATCAAATGTTTGAGATATTGAAACATGGAGTTGTGTTGCCCAGGAGGAAACAGAGCAGTGTTTTGCTACAGATAGTGGAATACAATCAAGCACTGCAAATGGTCACTTTTGCAAAATAGCCTCCTCTCATTCAGGACAAAGTCTGTGGTTTTGGTCACAAGCAAGTGGGAAGTAGGAATAAGTCTGGATGAGTCAACAGAATCAATTCTATGATAAAACATGAAATAAAAAAACGACTTAAATTCAAACAAAAAGAGAAGAAAATTAATCAGTTGGAAAAATCTACTTTCTTAAATACAGTTTAACGAATAGTACAGTTTAAGAGTTTTCACTCTTTTGTCTGACGTTTCTCTCTTAAACATTTTAAGGTACGGCTCCCTGAAGAGGCGGACCCTGATGTCTCCCAAAGCTTGGAAAGCAAGCTTCTCCGAGTACCACAAGGGCTACAGTCCCAGACCCAGCCAGAGGTTCAGCTTTAAGTCTCCAGACAAATCTCGCCACAGCACTTTGTCCAGAGAGAGCAGCACCAGCTCAGTCAGCCCGCCATCATCCATACTGGAGAGCCCCTCCTCTGAGTCCAGGGACCTGGATGCTGAGTCCAACAACACCGAGCCCCCGAGCTCTCCTGCGCAAGAGGAGGCCGCAGAGGGGAGCGAGGTGAAGTCAGAAGAAGACAGGGGTCAGGTGGAAGAGGAGAAGAGTGTGAAAGAAGAGGAGGTTGAGCCTCCGGCAGAGTCTGACAACAAGGGAGATGGTGAGAAAGCTCCACCAAGTGACAGCAGCTCTGAACTGAACAACTCCTGTGACTCCGAGAGTCTGGACCTGCAGCTGTCTGCGGCAGACGTGGGGCCGCTGCACATCGAGGAGAGAGAGGACAGCCCGGTGCTGCTGGGGACGCCTAAAGCAAACAGACTGGAGAACGGTGAAGTTTCTGGGGTTGACTCTGACACCAAGGAGGTGAGCAGCCCTCAGAAGGTTTGTTTTAGATAAGAAAACATCTGCTATTCTTACATGCTATTCTTTTCTGTCATGGTGCTTCTGTTTAACTGCACTGTCCTCTTTTCTAGGATGCTGTATCTCCTGATGTAAAAAACACAACAGTTTGAAGTCAGTCAGATTTAGGTTGGTGGGATTTCTCGTGCACACAGTCTGTCATTCATTATTAACTTAATTGTCTGACTCTGCCGTGTCCCTGATCTGTTAATAACTCTGCATGTGCTCTGTGCTCTTCAAACAGAGAAGCAGAAGAGAGACTGAAGTCAACAGCTGCACAAAAGAAAAATGTGGAGACAGCCGCTCTGCAGGGTCCAACTGTGGCATCATGAAAGATGTACGCTGCGTTGACTTTCTGGAGTTAGTTTTCCTATTCTGCTATTGTTAAAATCATTTGTTTATATTCTGCATCACACAGTCCATGTCCGAGCTCAGTGTGACACATTTCTAACAGAAAAAGCTTTGTTTTAATAATCCTTACATAGACATACACACAATTATTCAGCTACTGCAGGTTGACTTAGTCATATTTGTCAGTTTTAAGTGAACATACATGCTCTTATAGGTTTACATTGTTAGAAAGCTATCTGAATGGCCTCACTACAGTCACTCTTAGCAGGTGTACTGAGCGGTGGTGTGAGTTTTATTCGTGCCAACGACCAAAAGACTGAAGCACAATGAGAACTGTACCTACTTTGTTGTTTTAACTAAGCTCGTATTCATTTTTAAACTTCATTTTTCACTTTACTTTGAATGAAATGTAAGTATATCAGATCTTTATAACCTGAAATCTGTTTGATTTACATCCTGAAGAAGATAAAGTCTTATTTTATTCTGAAAATTTATCCCTACATCCTGTTAAGCACATCTGTTAAAGTTTGATTATTTAATGAACTCACACTCACACCCTGAAGGATAAAGATAATGAATTGATGATAATAAAAAAGGTTGTTATTCAAATTTTGTGTACACAGCTGTTCTTCTTCTCTGCTGGTGCAGGTTTTTAAATGATGGGAACAAAAAAGAAGAGCTCTCACTCTGTACGTTTTTATTCAGCTGACTCCAAAATGAACTGAACATTCACCTTCGTGTGTACTTGACTGAAACAGCTAAGTGGAATAACCTTTACAATGCAGGTAATATTGAACACACCTGAAAATGAGTTACACTTTTCTTCATATGTCTGGTTGAGCCAGAAAAGGTCAAAATAAACAACAATGATAGGGATATCACTGCACTTTAAAAAGTACATACAGTATATGTTTAAGTTCAATATAAAAGTAAATCTATTTGTATACATAACACAATATAATCCATGGTTCTGGCTTCTTAATTATGAGGTTTATTGATGCCTTCGTCACAGTATTTATGCTCATTTCAGTAAATTCTGCTGCGAGAAACCTAAGCCTAAAAGTTGATAACAAAATTACTTGTAAATATATCACAAGCTTATACAAAGAACTATGTTTTATATCAAATCAACTTTTGGTTGTGTATGTTAACATCATTAAAATAATGTTTCCTACAACTTTAAAAGAGAAGTTTTATTCAGTTAAACTTCATTTTATGAACATAAGCTAATGCAGCTTCTTAGTGCGCTACGAGGAGAAAACAGTAACATGTGTACAAAAAATTGAGGTAATACATTAAAAAAAAGTAACCATGTTTTGATGTACTTTGAACGGTCTAATGGCAAATATTCTATATTTTTTGTTCAGTTCATACAGCAAACATTTTTTTTACTATTAGGTGATGCAGGACAGATCATGATAGGAAGAATTAATTGTATCTAAATGAAAACAGAACAATCAAGTTAAGAAATATATTGATAGAGGATAAAAATTTTGTTTTGTCTTATATCTCTGTGAGGAACTTTCTGTTTGTATTGATTTTGTCGTCCTCTGCAGACAAAGTGATATAGCTTTCACTTCACTTCAACTTTATACTATTATTATTATTATTATTATTATTATTATTATTTTAATTTTATTATTATTATTAAATAGAATAGAATATTTCTTTATTGATCCCCATGGGGGAAATTTTGCCACAGCAGAAACTCAAACAAAGATAGTGCAAAAATGCAGTTATAGAAATAAAGATTGTAATATTAAGAACTTAAATGTTACAATTAAGAAAAAAATTAAGAAAAGGAAAAAGGGAGAAGAAAAATAAAATAAAATAAAATAAAACTATAAACAATATACACAATTTAAGTACCAGAAAAAAGTGGTGGTGTGAGTCCAGTTTTATTACAGTTCGTTGTAAAGTTTCACAGTGAAACTAGACAGTTGAAATAAATATATATATATATATATATATATATATATATATATAAATGAAGGCTGTTTTGTGTAGATTCATAGATATAAGCTGAAGTCTGTGTCATTGCCAGTTAAAGTCTCCTCAGAAAATAGATTTTATCACAGTAGATAACAATCTTCGGAGTGATGCATCTTCCATTACAGACGATCTTTCACAGTGAGCGACAGAAAAGGGGGAGGAAAGGGAGGGGCGGAAACCGAGAGCGTGTGTGCTTCATGACTCACGAGTGCTGTGACTGTGAGAAAACTATCTCTGCTTACTGTATTACACAGACGCAGTTTCTCAGACGCCTTTAACAGCCTCTCACTCGGCTTCAGTTTCGGACTGAAGTTAGCAGCGTGCGTTAGTTTTCTACACCTTCACAGTTAGACAAAGTTGAAACTCAACGGGCCGTTTTTTTTAGTGTCACCGCTCCGCCCAGGTAAGCTCCCACACAGCTGCGATGAACAATGTAATGATTGAGAAGTCATTGAAACTCTTTGGATTGTTTTTAAAGCTTCTTTCTTAAGTTTTCTTCGTGGTGTTTTGAGTCAGGGTAGCTGTGAGGAAGTTGGTGCAGAAGTTTTCCTTAAAAGGTTATAAGATAGTTGAGTTTGGTGAGAGGACAAAGAGAGTGAAGTGAATGATGAACTAACAATGGTGGAGAGGTGCTGACCTGCTGATCTGACTCGTTAAATCATGTCAGACGTGAAGGCCGTTTGTGCACTTGCGTGATTGCGGAAATGACGGTTGTGTACTGTTTTTCTGTGTTTTGTTCTCCTCAGGAAACGAGACAATTATCCTCCAACCATGAATGGTAAGTCACTCCTGATTCTGTTTTAAACCTACTGCTGACAATCTGTGACAAGTTCAGTTCCCCCTCAAATTAAAGCTCCTGTGAGGAATTTTTTATGCAAATGAAAACAACTAAGTTTCATGTTTCGGAGTTTCTGGGGCCGATGCCGATACTGATTATTAGGGGGAAAAAATCTAATTACGATTAATCGGCCGATTTTTACATTTTTTTTATGAAGTATAGAATATATGCACAGTGTAAATATACACAAGTGTATATACACAGTGTATAGTAAGTATACCATAGATATACTGTAGGCTACTGCTGTTCACGCCGACAGGAAGACCGACTGATCAAACCCGGACCAGAAAAGCATTTTCAACTACTTCAAATTCCCTTAAGATCACTACTTTTTGATAGTTATTCATAACCACTGCTCTAAATTAACATAGCATGCAAATTCCAGGACCACTCTAACTGACCTTATTCTTCACCCAAACCTACTTTACCCTCTATCAATTTTGCCGGGTGAAACAACCCGAACCTGTGCCTGTAGGAAAAAGCGGGTTTTGGATCAGGGAAACAAATATACCTTCAGAGATGTCAAAGGCGATGCTGAAGCTACCCAGAGACCCATGATACTCAGACAAACGCAACATGATAAAAATCACGTAAATATGTTTGGTCGGTTGAAAATCACCTGGCGATAGTTTTCTAGGGTGAAGCATGTAGAGGACAAGATACGCAAGTACTGCCTTGTCCACAGGAGGCGCTGACTTGACACAAACCTTAAGTTTCCCCACAGGAGCTGTAAATATATTTAATATTTAACTATTTTTAAAGACCTATGATTTGTTCCAGTCAGAAAACTTCAAAGAAAAAGAAAAGAAAGGAACTTTTTTTATCTTTCTTTTACAGCCTGACTGATATGCATGTTGGTGTCAGCCTTATACAAAGTTATATCACTCTTCCTGTGTTTTCTGCTGCATGTTCACACTACAGGGCAAATTTCAACTCCATACTTGTCAGTACTCTCAGCACTGTCTGCAGAACATGTACAATACTGATGAGATGATTATTTGCCTTCTAAAATCTGTCTCAGCCACTTCAATAAGTATTTTAATCAAGCTTTAAGTTTCACTGTCATCTGTGTCTACATCCCAAAAAGTTTGACTTCTTCCCAGATGTACAAATTGAATTTAACACAATATTAAAATTATGTATACATGTCTGTTTTATACTTCTTTGTTCCTGACTGTCTGCTTTTTACTTTTCCACATATTTTGAAGGTAAAAATAGTTAACAGTTAAGTAATTAAAAAGTCCTGGATGGGTTTGACTCTGATTTTCTTGCTTTTCCCTGACAACAGGAGATGATAGTTTTGGACAGAGCAAGACAAACTCTATCTCTAGAAGTTACAGTACTGCTGCCTACAGTATTTGCAGGCACTCAAAGTACAACCTGAAACTTGTATGCCTTTATTGCTTTTGTGTGTCATAAATAGGCATCACCTATAACTTGATTCTGTTTCATAACCAGCTAAAACCTCCTCTAAGGGACTTAGAAATTGAAACTGATGGTGAAACAAACCTGCTGACTTCACTATTTTCAGTCTCAAAATGATGTTATCAGAAGCCAAACAGTGAAAGTTCCAGGAACTCATTTTAACGTGATATTGGATTTTTTTAAAAAGCGGGGAAAATGAGAGTGTTTCGCACTTTGCCTTAAATAGGACCCTGTTTTCTATCTCTGTTTCTTTGCTTATCGCTCTGCAGATTTTACGAACAGGTTGCTGCGCAGACTTTTTGTGCTCCTGCTGAAGTAACAGATCTCCGCTCTTTCACCCGCCGCTCTGCTGCGCGATTAGGTCATTACATCAGAGGATTCAGAAATGAATAAAACAGCACGCCGGGTTTACCTCTGGTTCCCAGCTCTTCCTAATCAGATTAGCGTGTCACAACAGTTATTATTCCCTCGTCAGACTGCAGTTACACAAAATCACTTCCAGCAGACTGTGTGCTGAGGACAGAGCCGCCTGTGAGACATTTTTAACACCTTTTTATCTTCCAGCGTCAGACGTCATGTCTTTGACAACACTGTCGGCTAACTCCACTGTTACAGAGGGTAAGTCGACTGTTATTTTCTTCCTCCTCTTTTGTTTCTCGTCTGTTTTGTGGATTTAAAAGTTGAGCTGCAGCCAGCAAATGTTCTGAAATCATAACCTCTAAAGATTGTTCTGTTTTATCAATAAAACACACTGTGCTTTTTTTCTTTTTTGTTCGGTCAGCTACAGATCCAGAGCTTTTAACGTCACGTCCCACTCAAGTGATCGCCACAACGATTGAGGGTAACTCCTACACTTCTTGCTTTTCATATTTTCTATCGCTGGCACGCAAATCCAGTCTCCTCCTGGACCCACTTAGATCACTTCCTCTCAGATACCGCACAATAGAGGACTTTTTTCGCCATGTCCGCCGCCTGTCACCACTGCTGTGGGAACTAATCCTGTTTTTTGTTTCATTTTTTTTCCCCATCAGCTATGACAACAGCAGCTCCAGCAAGTACAGACTCAGCAGTTATAGCAGGTAACCTTTTTTACTCTCTTTCTCTTGAACTTTTTCTTGTATCAATGTGAAGAGAACAAGTCCCAACATGGCTTTAAAAAATACTGTTTTCTTATTTCCCCAGTGGTTATAGTCCTCATCCTGCTGACGGTAGCTGCTCTGGCCTTCCTGCTGTATCGGTATCTCTGCCACAACAAAGGAGACTACAGGACGACAGGGGAGCTGGCTCCAGGAGAGGACCCCGATGAAGAGTGCAGCAACCAGGCTGTGAGCGAAAAGAAGGAGTACTTCATCTAATCCGCTGAAGAAGAAGAACAAGACGAAGAAGGTCCGTGGAGGACTGAGAAGAGCTATAAGTACAGATTTTTTTTTTCCGTCTCTGGGATTTGAAGGATCACAGAGAAAAAACCTTGTAGGATATTTGTTCTGACTAACGCAGAGGCGCACAAGAAGCAATACCAAAGAATGTCGGGGAAAGAGGGATTACTGACGGACAGGGCAGGTGGCAGGCGAACAGGTGTGTCCAGAATAGCAGAGCGAGGCGCGAAACAGGTGGTGGGGTTTTGAAATGTCACCGTGGCGTGATCAGTAACAATCAAAGTGCAAGATTAGCGCGTCTGCGACACTATTTATCAGCCATATTTCATTTATTTCTTTTGTTTTAGTGTGTTTTTAATTCACATTTACTGTAGTTTAATCCAAACACACCCTGTTGAAGAGGCGTTTGGAGGTTCTAGTCACTTTTTTATTGTTATGCTTTTAAAAGAGATTTTCTATGCAGTTCTTTTGTAAACTCGTCAAAGAAGAATGCCGATCTGTATAAACGGAGGAAAGTGTTGCATTATTTGATGTTCGGTTTTTGTATACTTCCTCTCCAGACTCTGTTACTGATAACTTCCCTGTTTGAGAGAAATATGGAAGACAATAAAACTTGTTTTTGGACTGGTGTTACTCTACAACGTGTCTCTGTGCAGATCTTTAATGTCAATGTGCAACAATGGAAAAAAAAAATATATAGATAAAAGTATAATGCATTATAAACCAGACCTTTATAAAGCATTATGCTTATGAACATTGGGCTGTTATGAACTCCTATCATCACTCATCATAAGTGTCATTATAAAGTCCTATTAGTGCATTTACAGGGTTTCATAAACGTGCAGGTTAAAGGTGGGTATATATATGAAGTGTTAGTGACTCTCCTTCACCAGCTGTGACTCCTACCTTGCAGCTCTAGTCAAATACATCAAGATTTACAACATAGAGACTGTCACTGTGAATTACTGTGAATTTGACTCAGTTTACAGACTTTTTAAAGGAGTTTAAATGTCAGGATTTGCTTCTCTTCTCTAATTAAATTTGAGAGTTTTTGGCTGGATGTTTGGTTGCTTTTTGAGTTACTATAATTAGAAATAAAACAATAATAGATGTGCAGCTTTAAATCACTGTTGGATCCTGTACATTGTGCCCAAAGAAAGTTTGAATTTGTGTTAAATGAAAGACTTCCTCAAAGAAACACAGTGATGGTCTCTGACTGTCAAAGGAAACAGGAAATACTCCGACCAAAGAAAATGAAAACATAATTATTAGAGACTGAGCAGGCTGATTATTGGCATTTTGTAATAATCAGCCTCTTATCACTTTAAAAAACAGTTTGACACAAATACCAGCCACGCTCTGAAATCTGGTATAACCCTGTATACTCGTCCTGTTTTTGTTGATTTAACCACAAGTGTCTTTGCACTGAAAGATTATGGGTGGCTGTCCGTCCTCACTCTATCTCAGGTTTCCATCTCGGGTAAGAATCTGAATTATTCTCCTGTGAATAAGCTTCCCAGAGATTCTTCACTTACAGTAATCAGCAATCACAGAGTTGTTAACTGAAATCATTAGAGACTTGACTTTATGAAGCTTGTTTTCAGATTTGTTGACTTGGCTGAGGGGGATTTACCAGCTAATAAACTACAATTATCTTTCAAATTATTCTTTCCAACGCAAGACAAAAACACGGCTGAGGATGGTAACAACAGATATAAAATCTTGCAGACATGAGAGTGAAATCAATAAGCTTCATTAAGATGTATTTTAATAGGAGCTACTCTGAATTCTGATTGAAATAGATCTACAAGTGATTACTAAATATTTGTTTGTTTTATTTTTTAGTTAGAGCTCCTGTGGGAAGTTTTTTGACATTTATGACTGAAATTCATGTTGATGCTTTTCATGTGGTTTATAAAAGCAAACAAGACCTTCAGCGACAAGCCATGTTTTTAGGATTTCCACACATAGTGCTCAGCATAAATGAGTAGACGCCCCTTCAGAGCTGTCAGAAAACCTTTAGTTTCCTTTCAAAATCAACATTTTCTATGTCAGACTATACAACAAAATACTCCCCCCAAATGTAGGCCATTGATTGCAAGCAAGATTTTTTAAGTTGCATACAAAAAAATTATTGTTTTCAATTTAGAATCAGGATGCAAAAATGAGTACACCCCAATCAAAAATCTGGGAGCAAAGCTAAATTTCAGTTACCATATCACCCTTATTTTTGTCTTATGGTAAATAAAATGTTATGTTAAACTCAGCTTTGTCAAAACTTTGGAAATTGTACTTTTGCTCATCTATATATTGAGTAATACATTAATTTTAATAGGGGGTGTACTGACTTATGCTGGGCTCTGTATATTATTCGCAATAATTGATCATATTGACTATAAAAAGCCAGACTGATTGTTTCAGGGCACCAACGATTTATGGGCAAGCCGATTAAATCCGCCAACTTTAGCCCGTTCGAGACTAATCGGTAATCGGCCAAAACTCGCCGATTTTCGCAGATATTTTCAAAAATGAAATGGCGAGAATAAAATTCTGTTTCACTTCGAAAATGTTCCGCCATTTGAAAAGATCCCCGACTTATCCAGTAGATGGCGCAGCGACCTCATGTCAATCTTCATCCACTAACTACCTTACAGCACAGGAGAGTGACGGATCTGAAGCAGGCAGCTCAGGGACGCACGGAGGAGAGTGGTCCGCCTGAACGGTAAATAAACCAGTTTGTGAAATACACAATAAGTCAACAAGTTTCAGTTCAACCCACTTCACCATGTTCCCCACTGTGCTGGTCTCAGTCACGCCCAGTTAACGGTGAGCACCATGTAATATGCAAGCTAAAGTTGGAGTTAGCCACCTGCTATTAGCCTTGCTACACTGTTAGCCGTGCCAGTAACGTAATCGAGCTACTTCTCTTACTGAGGCAGCTGCATCTATACATTAACAAAAAAATAAAAATAAAAATCGGCTGATTAATCGGTAATCGGATTTTTCCCCCTAATAATCGGCATCGGCCCCCAAAACTCCACATCGGTCGGGCCCTAATTTTTTTGTCATACTCAGGGGCAAAAACCCAAAGTTCATTGCAGGAGCTTTAAACATGTCCTCTAACCAAAGGTGAGTGATATTTTGTGATGTTGGTTTGATGTCTGAATAGAAAAAATCCAGGAAATCTCAGATACCTTTGATACAGTCTAGTCAGAAAGATACAACATGTAAGCTTTAATCACAACATGACAACAACCAAAATTACATGTTCTTGTACATAGACTGGGAATACAAAGAATCAGACACACAGCGTTTCAAATTTCCAAAATAACCTTTATTCTAAACTTACATTTTAAATTTTAAGTTTAGTATAAAAAAGTTAAGTGCACCTAAGTTCTTTTTTCAAAGTATTCCATCTTTGACACTCTTCCCCTTTAGTAATCTTAAAAGATAGAATGTGTACCAAAGTCTATCACATCACTTTAGTACATACATCTATTTTTTACAAAATATTGTAAAGAGAATCCCTGAACTATAAATGTCCATTATCCTTCAACAAAGAGAGATCCATTTGCTGGCTGTGGTTGGCATAGCATCTACTGGTCAGCTGGAGTTATACAGTACTTCATATTGCTGGGACAAAGCCACCATGATGCTGCTTTACGAACAATCAGAGCAGAGATGGAAAACGAAAAAAAAAAGGTGTTTGAGTCATTGTGTGGAAGCTTTGATAGCTGTGGCCCTCTATAAAACGACAGCGTGAGAGATATTAAATGAACATTGAGCCATTTTGAAAACCCTTCAGAGACGCGTCAGTCCTGATTTTCTGCATGAGGCTGAGAAATGAAAGAAGCCCATTTTTCACATTAATCATCTTTAAAATAACACTGAAAACACTCAATCGAGTTTGGCGGCGACACCATTTGCTTTCAGTCGGCCACAGCTGTTAAAACTTGATGTGGTGTGTCGGATACCCAGTGAAACGTCAGCGCTATCAGACACCGAAATGAAAAGATCGAGAATTAGAAGTAGATGTTATCAATCCGGACTCACCAGAGTTTGGATTCTGCCTCAAAGTTTGAAGATAACAAGCGAAGTCATGGTTCGAAGCAAGTTTCTTTTGCCTTGAAATCAACAGTGATATTCGCCATCGTTGCAAACACATTCAGGCTCCAGAACGACACGACGCGTCTCGACTTGGATGAATCTAAAAATGTTCAAAAATCTCACAGCTTTGTCTAAAAAAGTCATGAAAACAGAGCTACGGAACCAAACGAGAGAGCAGCCCCCCTCTCGTGTGCAACCACTCACATTTGCTTAGCAGTGCATCTCAGATAAAAAGTGATTCATCAAATTTGTACATCGCAAAAAGGTGCAAAATTATTAAACTTAAAGATGTGATTAACCCACATAAAGTGACATCAACACATTGACTAACAAGCGCGGCCCTGACAGAGCGAAGGCCCGGACACCGACACCCTCAGAGCCGCTGGTTTGATGATATGTTTGCTTTTAAATTGTGACACTTTTAAATTTCAAGTCACAACCAAACGTAAGTGCATTGTAGACCAAATCTTTGGTACAACCAGCTCATTGGTTATACTAAGCCAAACTACTCACGTAAACCACTGAAATGTGGAAAAGTCACGGAAAAGAAAAAAGAAAAAAGGGAGTATTTAATAAAGTATCTTCAGTCTCGGACTACAAACTCATGCTAGCACAAAGTTGACAGTTTCTAAAGCTAATAAATACTTCAAAAAAGTTGGTTCGATGAAACCCAAAGATACTAAGTGAAAAGACAAACGAAGGTAGACTGGTCGATAAAACATTTAGTGTATAAACTCTGGGTATCCGACTGTGAAATAGAAACAGGAAATGAAAAAAAAAGCTATAATGTTACACCAACCACCCCTTCCCACTCAACTTACTATTTGGATTTACTTTAAATTTCTTTCCTTTAAGTTTACTGAAGTTATTTTGCTTTAATTCGGGCTATCCCCAGTGCTCTTTGGCACTTGACTATGTTCAACTACAAGTTGCCCACCAAGGTACAGTAAACCACTTTGGATATTGCATGAAATCTTTTCTTGAATTATTTGCTTTAATTTGATTTCATTTACAAGTGATTTCAACGTGACGCTCCGTCAGATCAGAACTGTCACTGTGCAAGGAATTTGATGTAGTCTTTTTTTGGATTCTGTGCAAAGGACAAGACAGTTCTAGCTAAACGCATCCAGGATGCTTTTCTTCTTTTTTTTTACTTCTGTATATTTGAGACGTACTTTCTCATACTTGTATTTACATGAAACTAAAACATATCTATTAATTTAACTACTCTAAAAGTTTCCAAAAAAAGACAAGTGAAGGTTTATTGTTTTCTGCGCTTTCACTGCGACTTTGTAACTGCATTTCACTTTCACTATAAAGCAGCTAAACTACAGGATGCGGGTCTGACATTTCAACATCTCAGTTATGTAACTTTACAGGTATACAAGAACATCTCAGTGTAATTGGTGATCCAGTGGATCGAAGAAGACCTAGTCTCCAGAAAGAAAACACGGATGCCTGGGAGAGGTTCAGTCTGGAATGACCAAAGAGGTTAGACCCAATAAGGAATTTGGAATGATTTCTACAACATCTAAAAGTTCAAATTCGTCCTCTCCAGACATTGGCGTTCGCCGTTTGATCTCTAGGTGAGAAGTGGAGTACTGTACCTTTCACTAGGGCGCTAAAATATTACATTCCGTTAGGTGAAATCAGTATTGTGGCATGGCCAAGCAGCCTGAAGAAGGAGGCGTATGGGAGGGGGAAGAACTGGGGCTTTGTTTGGGATGGGGACACGGTTGAGGCGTTAGGGAGGAGTTGAAGACTTGCTGTTACCAGATGGTATAACCTCCACTGGATCCGCCCAGGAAGAAGTTGTTCTTGCGCTGTGACATTACAACGTTAGCATTCTGCATGGCAGCCAGCTGAGCTGCGTTTGGGGGGTGTCCAGGGGGTGGGGGCTAGAAAGAGGGGAGACAAGAAGCACAAAAAGTGATCACCTTTAAGCTGGACTTTACGACTTCATTCCAGGGGCGCGTCCGGTCTCCTTTGACCGAAGTGGCTTAGGCACACTCAAACATACTGGCGGCATTTATTTACCTGTTTAAGGATCTCAAAAGTCAGAATTTTAAGTACCAACTAAGTGAAATGTTCTACATAATGTTGCTAAGAAGACTACAGGGGACAAATATTTCCAGGGCAAGACGCCAATCATGACTGGATTTTTAAAGGAGGACTTTGCATCCAAATTGTCAGAATTTTGGGGTTATAAAAATACATATATATATATATATATTTTACCTTTTAAGCCAGTGGTTCTCAACTGGTGGGTCCTGACCCAAAAGTGGGTCGCGGACACGTGGACACATGTCTTTTATTTTGAAAAATAGGTTATTTTAAAAGGCAGGCATTATATCGTGGTCCTCCTCGGTTCCTTATGAATGTGGCCTGAATGCAGTGAAAATAAATGGTCTTTTTTGGTCTTTGTTTTGTGCAATTTGATATTTTCTGTATATGCAACTTCAGTAGTTGTCGTCTTTAGTTCATGTGCTCTAAAATGCACTTTACTCAATAAAATGGGTGTATTTATGCCTAACATTTGAGACTTTGAAGGTTTTTGTTGACAAAAAATACATTCGCTTGGTTTGAATTTTATAAGTGGGTCGCGACTGAAGGACCATGGGAAAATGTGGGTCCCGCAGTGAGACCAGTTGAGAACCACTGCTTTAAGCATTTTTAAAACAAAGATAACAACTAACCAGTGGAAAACAAGTGATGAAAAATTAACTCTTCATCATCTCTTTGTGTTTTAGAGTACTTTGGCTTGGGTGAGTGAACTGTGTGGATACTCACTGGGATGGAAACGCTGCTGCCTGCACTAAAGCGAGCACCTGCATCAAAGCCACCTTCCACCATCACTGTTGAACCAGGCGGGTAGACGGCTCCCATGGGGTAGTAAGCCATGGGGACATTCTGGCCCACATGCCCAACAGGCATGTGTGGCTGCATGGGCATGAACATCTGAGCACCAGGGTAGTGAGAGGACATCTGAGGCAACTGACCAGGCACCTGAGCTGGAAGCACATATCTGGGCTGGTATATCTGTACAGACACACACAGAGACATGACATAAGAGGGATGTTAACTGTTTATCACAGAGAGCACTCATGATGTAATTATGTAAGACATCTGTAATAGTTACCTCAGAATATGCAGGTGGTGTGTCTGTGTAGGGAGGTGCCTGAGGAGACATTTGCATAGCAGGAGGGTATACAGGTGCAGAGCTCTGCTGAGGGTACACAGCCTGCTGTGGATATGAACCTGCAAAACAACATTTTACTCTTGAGTTGGAGCACTGACTGACATGGAAACCTCTAGCTGAGTGAGTGAGTGAGTGAGTGACTTTAAGTGCACTGTTTTGGTTTAGTGTCAAAAGCAGAGCACAAGGACCAAAGAGAAAGAAAAAGATGAGATGTTTCAGGTTTTAATCTTAAAATATGTAGGTATATATTGAGAGAACACATCCAGCTTTGCTTCCTGGGTGAGAGAGAGTTTCCAATCCAGGGACTTCTGATTGGAACAGCCTGTTAGTTATACTTTAGCTACCCGTTTAGATAAGAACAAGGAAAAATGCCCTTTTAAGGACATCAGTTAACCTTATTCTGCTATAATAAAACTGTACAGCAAAGTTTATGCTTCACTTTCCAATATAAGACTGATGCTCTTGGACTTTTTGTACATTAATTCCACTCGTGATCTCAGCTTAACGTCCGAGGATCATAACTTGTATCTAAGTCGTTGCCAAAGCAAAGAAGAAACATAGAAACAGACTTATCTTGTCTCAGAGTGGGAAACAGCAGCAGCCACCAGACAGTTATTTTTCTTAAATTGTCAGTAATTTATCTGTTTATTTTTGAATAAGTAAGCTTTATTATCCTAAGATGATGTGATAAATTCATCCTTTATGGTGGGAAATCCAGCTTTAGATCACAGAAAGAATAGCTGAGACTTTGAGTAAACCACCGGAGAGTACTTTTTATCAGTGGAAAACATAAATAAAACAAAAGAATGTATGTCTGTTTCAGATCTGGAATTTAAATACTGAAAACACCAGAAAAAACATTGAGCCATTAATACAAATAAAAGCTTAAATAACTGGTTGATATTAAAATGACACAGTTGTATAACTGGACCAGAAACCAATGAGATGGCATCACTGCCGCATTTCAAGAAAACACAACCTTTTTACCTTTGAAAATTTTATGAATTTTAGTACTCTTAAACTGTTTTTTTTTTAATTTCTAAATAATAATATGTCACCACTGTTCCCTTTTATTTTAATAAAATTTTTTACTTTTTTAATATTACTTTTATTACTTCAAAAATAGACTGTATGTAAAATGGACGCCGTCTGCCTCTGCGCTAGGTGAAGCCACTCCGAGAACAGCACCCTCTGGTGACGGGCTGCAGTATAGGTCATAAATCCCGCCTCCGCCAGCAAAGCTTATGGAGCTGTGGACAAACTTTAGAAATTTATTACACAGATTATAACTTTTTCTCCTCCCTGCTTGTGATGTTGACATTTAGTTACTGTCAGACTAGCTTGTGCTCAAGTCCTCTTTTTTCTGTGAAGCTCAGTTTTTAAAAGTTATTCGGGGTTTCATGTTTTCTATGATAGACACCTGATACAGCCTATTGGCGTTCAGGGATTGCGTAGCTCACCCAGGGGATACACTGTTTGAGCCGAGCGTCATCACAGCGACTCTCGGCGACTCTCCCGCCGAATGCGCACAACGCTACTGCGCAGGAAATGAAAAATATCCTGGAAATACTGAGAGCTTTTTGGCTTCAAATACGTATACAGGGGGGAGGTGGAATCAAGTTGTCCATAGTATATACAGTCTATGGCTAAAACACAATGCATCTGGTTTGTCCAATGTAATTGTGATGTCCACATCAAATAAACAATTTAATCAATAAATTTTTATATTGATTATTGAGATTTTGAGGGGAAAAAAAACGCAAATATTCTCCAGATTCTCCTTCCTAGGAATGGAAGGAATACGCAAAATATATAAATAAGCAAAAGTACATTTACTTTAATGGCACTTAATGCAAAATTTGTATGTTTTGTGTTTTTGCATTTTTTACTCAGTGACTAATACTGTGTAAAATGTAGTGAGGTGATCCTTTCCCACAGTAAACACTCAACTCACACTTTTAAGTAAATAAAAGCACATATATGAGCTCTTAAATGACAGTAACAGGAGTAATTGTAAACACTTTTCCACCTCTGCTCCCTCCCATTGAAATACATTCTTTGTATTCTTGTCGGACAAACAAAAAAAACCCTTAAAGGCATTGCCTCAGGTAAGGAGAGCTTAAGATAAACACTTTGAGCTGCGTGTTCACATCTAAGGGAGAAAATCCAACAAACAGGAAAAAAATAACTCGGTACAGTTTTTAGTAAATATTTTGTAATTTTACATCAAACGTGTGCGGCCTTTAACATAGCAACAAAAGATGTGATATTAGGTTTATATGTAAGATCTTATATAAACAGTCGTTGTTGGTTACATGTAGACCTAGTTTCATTTTCCACGTAAACTCGAAAGTGCCTCGCTGATGTTAAAATGAGTGACACAGATTCATTCCGATGCTCGAAAACCAAAACAGTGAAAACATGTCAGCTCTGTTTTAAGCTAACTCAACTATGTGACCCGCACAACCACGGTTAGTCTTATAATCTGATAATAAATCCATGTTTTCGATGATAACAGCTGTAGTGTTTGGTTTTAACCGACATAGCACAGCTTAGCGTGTGCGTACCACAGACAAAGTCCGTGTTTTTTTATTGTCATGTCCGCTCAGATGGCCATAACGACCAGCTCCTCGTTTCTACTTCTACCGTCAGGGTCGAATTAGCGAACAGCTGACTAATGTCCGAAAACGGCCGCGGAGAAATACCTTTGTTGTTCATGGTTGTGGATGATCTGAAGACAGAGAAATTTCTGATTAAGTCGAGCTCCGCGTATCTTGTTACGGCCTTAGAACAGGTTACGGCTTCACAATCATTCACTTCCTTGTTTTTCAGCTTCTTGTTGTTGTGGAAGTGGTGACGTAAGTCGTTCTCTATCGGTGGTTCGACGCACGACGTGATTTACCCGTGCGCGCCCCCTACAGAAGGAAGCGAGAGGACACTTTGGAGTGAGTGAAGGTGATTGAATGACTTCTTTTATTGACTCTATGGGGAGTTTTAGCTGTAAAGAAATCAGCTGAAATTTCAAAAAATGACAGGAAAAACCAAACCAAACCACTGGCGAAAAAATTATGTTTTTAAGAGGCAATCATTGGTGGTTTTAAAGGGATATTCAGGTGTAAAATCAAGTTAGGGTCAAACACACCATAAGTTAGACACCCCGTCGAGAGATGAATGTTGCCGACCGATTGCTTCTCTAGTTATACCAACTTTAGTAACGGCCACAGGATAGTAATACAGAGAGCCATGCGGTCAGCCAAAACACCACTCTATAGCCACGAATAATGCTCAGAACAGCACCTAACTTCATCAACAGTACATATAGGGTCCTAGCCACCAACATCTAATTACTTTAGCAAAGAGACTAAACACAACTCACCTACTCTCTTCCAGCAGCCGCTTGTTTGTAGCGAGATCTCAGGCCAGTCCATTGTGGACTACATCGGGGTGATGCAGCTCAAGGAAGAACATTTATGATCATTTCTTTATCATTTCCTTGAAGAAAAATCTCATGGAAATTATCATAAATGTTCTTCCTTGAGCTGTGTCACCCCGCTGCAGTCGATGGACTCGCCCGGAGGTCTCCGTACAAAGAAGCGGCTCCTGGAAGAGAGTAGGCGAGTTGTGTTTAGTCTCTTTGCTAAAGAAATTAGGCAGAGCTAAAAAGATGTTTGGTGGCTAGTGCTATGGCTGGGACCCTATATGTACTGTTGATGAAGTTAGGTGCTGTTCTGAGCATTATTTATGGCTATAGAGTGGCTTGTTAAATGAGTGTGTGGCTCTCTGTATTGCTATCTGCGGTCGTTACTAAAGTTGGTACAACTAGAGAAGCAAACAGCCACATTCATCTTTTGACGGGGTGTCTAACTGGGTATGTTTGACCCTAATTTAATTTTACGCCGGAATATCCCTTTAACCCAAGCAACAGTTGAGGCCTGTGTAGAAAACAGGACCTCTTCTCTTTCTCATATGAGATCGGCGTCAAAACTCTACACCAGAAACCAATGAATGACACCACTCAGACTATGACCATGTATGATACAGTCTGTGTTTTTGCCACTGCAAGGTGGTGGGTATCCCACAAAACAGTTCACAGTACACACAAGCCTTTCCTTGGCATTTTATAAAAGTTAGTTTACTAGCGAGTGATCACTGTAGGAAAACAAAAGGGACACACTGTATCAGAAAACACTACCAAGACATGTTCTGGGTGGTATAAGAGAAAAAGAAAGACTTAATACTTCATCCACTGGGGGCACCCTCACTATGTTTTGTTGCCTGAACACTACTGTATCATACAGACATAAATAAGCTATCCAATACAATGTCAACATGGATAGAAAATGTATGATAATATGAATGATCAGTCTGTATCTGCCCATGATGAGAGTTAAATAACACATTTAACATGAAAAGTAGGAACTGAAACATGAAACTTGTGACATATAAACCTTTAGATGCAAGAAATACTGCAGCAGGTCTTTTATGAGGTCATTCAAACTGTCACAGTCAGCACAGGTGTAAATGGCACACTGTTATAAAGTCCGTATTGATGCGAAGGTACATAGATTTTGGTGTGATGCATGCTGAAACCCAGCCACCTGACTCAACAATTTCAGCACAAAATCTGCATTTATATACATGTTAAATTAAAATTGATTTTAAGCTGAAAATGAGGTATCAGCAAAACTTAATGCTGTAAGATGGAAGTCATTCATAAATCATATCAGAATTAGAACTAAAGTATGACATACAGGTTAGTGTTTCACATGTTTAACTTGTGTTTATGCTTTTTAAAGAACAGTAAGACAAAATGACACAAATGTTTATACATAGGTAGTTTAATTGTTTCAAGTCCTCCAGAAATAGGATAATCTCATATATCCTGGAGGACAAGTAAGACCCAGTAGATGTGACCAGAGCCGGCCTAAGGCATAAGCGAACCAAGCACCTGCCTAGGGCCCTGCAGCCAATAGGGGGCCCCCAAGAGCAATTAAAAAAAAAAAAAAATTAAAATATTTTTTATTTTTTGCATGTATGAGTGATGCTTTCTGTATGATCAAATATATATTGTTTTAAAAATAGAATAAAGTAAAAAATTTTTAGTGCTGCTGCTGATGTAGGCCTATGATTCTTACTGCTGATATGTCAAAGCTCTGCTACTGTTATGTGCCTCCTGCTGTGCAATGTGCACTGAGCATCCAAAGAGCAGGTAGTTATCGGGCAAAACAATGTCGCAAAAAAGGACATATCCTTCGGGAGCAGAGAAAAGAAAGAGGAAGAAGAGAAAAAACACTAAAATGAAGGTATGTTTGCATGTCATGGAATTTTAATCAAAGAGATTTGTGAAGGTGTGTGAATGACCAACAATCAATATTATTGGCAGAAATAGAGGGTTCCCAAAATCAAATTTTGCTTAGGGCCTTATTAAGGCTTTGGCCGGCTCTGGATGTGACCCGACTCTGACATTACTAAGCCAAATTTGCTCCTAGAAAAGGTTTGGACTATTTCAGTTAGCTTTCAATAATCAAAATAAAATAGTAGTAGAAATAAAATGAAAGAAAATAATAAAAGAAAAAATATCCACTCAAATATCAGATGATGTCCTGTTCTGCAAAGATAATTTGCATGTTTTGAGATTTTTTTTAAGGTGTTGTATCTTATTATGAAAGTGAACAGCTTCTTTGGCATGTTTAACTTGTGTTTACATGTGGTTTTAAAGAACAATAAGACAAAATTATACCATAGGAATAGGATAGAAATAGGATAATCACATATATCCTGGTGGCAGTGGCGGCTGCTGGTCTTTCAAGGAGGGGAAGCTCATTTTTCTGGCCTACATCATAATTGTATTTGTTTATTAGTATGTAACAGAACAGAGTCGCCAAACACAACGGCAGTCGTTTTTAACAAAGACAAAAGTCGCTGAGGATCGGTTAAGTCTCTGGAGCAGTTAAGAACAACGGAATGAATGACTTGGAAAATGCTCTGGTAGATGTTTTATTCTTCAAGATCGCTGATTCGCTTGTTTAGCTGTCAATCAAAAAAGGATTTCGCCTCAGACAGCTCATCCAATCATGAATGCAGAAGCTTGGAGTCCGGGAGAAAGTCGGGACCGCCCTCTCGCCATAGAACTCCAGTGAAGCTTAGCTTCCATTGGGCGGGACAAAGCCCAGCATTTATCCAATGAGCGTCTAGTTTCGCTGCTGGAACAACCCACTTTAAGCTTCCACATTGAAGTCAGCAGAAGCCCAGCGTCCGACTGTTTGAAGCGCTGAGGCGCTGCGAGGATGAATGAGAACGAAGTTATGCCGGTTACCTGTGATTATCAGCTTCTTATCACAGTGTCTGAACAAAAGTTGAAGGCTTTCTAGTGCGTATTTAGTTAATGAAATGTACACACAGCCGTACGTATTTCACCACTTTTTCTTTTTTTGGGGGGGTGACATTTTAAGGGAAGCCGAGCTTCCCTTGCAGTCTTAGAGCAATCGCCACTGCCTGGTGGACATGTAAGACCCTGAAGATGTGACCTTACTCTGATACGACTAAGCCAAATTTGCAGCTAGGAAATGTTTGGACTATATTATTTAGCTTTCAATAACCAAAAATTAAATAAAATAATGAAAGAAAAAAATATCCACTCAAATATCAGATGATGTCCTGTCCTGCAAACATAACTTACATGTTTTGAGATATTCCTTTTGGTTTTTTTTAAGGTGTTTTACCACATTATAAAGTTGAACAGCTTCTTTGTCTTTAAAAAACCCCTCTCGGTGAGTAAAAAGCAGTTTTGAGCAGCAGTTTGTGTTGAAGCAGCGTGATTCCTCCTCTCTTCCGCGGTGTCGGTGCTCCTCTCTGCTCTGTCTCTTTTACGCGCTGCGTCCCCTTTAAGAGAACCATGGCACCTCTCAAGTCGAGGCAGACATTTTTCAATGCAAGATTTTTCCTTGCATAAATTATGTTCATGACGTAGTGCCAAAGGCCAATTTTGTGGCAAATTTGTCCGACTTAACAGCTCAAAGAGGATCTTGTGAGTCACCTCTAGGATTTTGGATGGTCTGAACTGTTGCAGAAAAGGGCATCGTCATTAAATATTAAGAGGGACGAGATCCTAACATTGCAACCCTCCTTATCAATGCAAATACCTCTTTTGTGTGCAGTCACAGCGCCTGTCTGGGAGCTGAGATGAATTTTTAATTATGTGTGACTGAAACAAACTGTGACAAGGACCTTTTATAAGGGCGGAGGATTACAGAAAATAAGCTGCATTTACGCGGTAAGTTGCAAATAACACTCGGAGTCTGCTCGTGTCTGCGTTTCGTGCGGTGCAGCGAAATGGCGAGAGGAAATGAGTTTTGGTTAATATGCAATGTTCGTAATTAGCATAATTTATATATTTATGATAAAGAGAGGGAAATACATAATATTCGGTCTCTTGGCACGGGTCGAGATGATTTCTGTCGCTTTGTAGTCGGTGGGTAGCGCTTGTCTCCAAAAGTGGCCGACGCGACGAGACTTTTATTGGGCAGGATGGGGGTGGGGAGCCCATCAACACCCGCTGAAGTTTTGACAGATCCTCATTTCTAGCAGGGCATTGCAGCAGGAAATGCGCCAGTTGCAATCTTTTCTCGATCTGTTGTGAAATTGCTCACTCTCCATGCGCACGACCAGCGTTGTTTCACCACGTTTTTCTGCAGCCAAAGTGCAACACAATATGGCCTGCTTATACAGGCCCCTCCAAATAGTCTGGTCCTGCAATGACAGAAATAGCAATGAATAAAAAAAAACAGCCTTCTGCATGTGTTTGCCAGTTTTAAGCCTTCCAGGTGCAGATACTACGGGTTAACTGGGGTCACTAACATGAAACTTCATGAGTGTTTATTCCTCAGATGATTGAAAATAAAAAGTTAGACATTAAATCAAAGATCTGGATATTTTCAAGCTGGATTACTGGTAAATAAAGACAGCATTGCTTATGTATTTCAAGTCTGTATGTGTCTATAAAACTGTCAAAGCTTTATTAAGTGGCTGTTGGGGTTTTTGCATTTGCATGTATTGTTATTTTTAGATTTAAGAGGAAGTTTGTTATTCTCATGTTTCACAAGGTCATGAAAGATGTTTTTGTTTTCATTTGGGAAAAGAGAACTTTAACTTCTTCTTCTTCCATGTTTTTTCTTTCATGAATGTTTCCTCTCCAGAATGCTCGGAGGGCAGTGACGAGCCATGAACTCCCAGGACCTTCCTGCCAAAGATGCCCCTCTCACCGTCAATGAGCAGGTAACACTCACCTGTATGTGGAGGTAAAGAGGAGGCCTTCCTCTCCTCTTAAAAACAACACAAAACAGTCAAATTCGATAATATTTTCTGTAGTCTGAAAGTGTTTTTCGCCCCTCTCACCCTCCATTTGCAAACACGCCATTTCATAATGGAATGATTAACTTCCAGGACCTTTCTTTGTCATCATACAATAATACCTGCCGCCCTATGCTTGTGAAGTTTACCGACTTTTAAACTGCCTTCCTTAATGATTAATTGTGTTTTTTCTCTCTTTAGTAACACTGTGTTTAGACGTAGTCGGCAAACAAAAGCAATGCTCTTCATGGATGCACTGATGAAAGCATTGCTCGAGCTGCTTGTTGGCTGATGCTCTTATCACTGTTTTGGTGTAATCATGCTCTTTTCATTTGTGTCTCTTTTGTTTTTGTTTCTTCTACTTTTTTTTTTGTCATTGTGTCCTAACATGTGCTTGGCTTCTCTGTTCTCCTTAGCCATTCACTGTCTGACTGCAGAAGTCTTTTTACAGCCATTTAAATCCTGCTCTTTGAAATCCCCCCAGCCAAAGACAACCAGGTATGCATCCTCCTCTCTCCTCCTGCATTGTCTTTCGAGTCTGACCGATAGGGCTGCGATGCCATCATGACGACAGGTGATGCTTAAGTAGATGAGGCTGTAGGTAATGTGGCATATCAGAGATTAAAAGTGCGGAAAAAGCAGCAGGAAGATCAGGTGTGTGTTAGTAAAGCGGAGGGATGGAGTGAGCACAGAGGGTAAAGCTGCAGTTTTAAGAAGCGTTGATGAGTTTGACTGTACAGTGAAAGACTTACAAGTCTGCATCATATAAAATATAAACTCAAAACTATTGATCTGAGTCCGTCCATGTTAAAAATGAAGGCCAGAACGTGGTTGAGCTTGATGTCTCTGCTGATCATATTAGCCAACTGCTTTATCGGTCAGGCTCTTTTTCTCTCTGCACCTTGCCCTCCTGTCCAGACTGTCTTGCTGCCTCTTGCATAGGTCTTCATTGTGCATACCATAAACCATTAATTTTGTCAAAATTACACTTTCTCCATGTCTTAAAGGGATTTTCTGGCGTAAGATTAGTTTAGGATCAAACACACCATAACACCGAGTTCGACACCCCACTGAGAGATGAATGTTGCCGACTGCTTACTTCTCTAGTTTTACCAACTTTAGTAACGACCGCAGGATAGCGATACACAGCGGTCCGAGGAGCCATAAACAAACCTCAACCAAAACGCTACAAATAATGCTCAGAACAGCACCTAACTTCATCAACAGGACATATAGGGTCACAGACATAGTACTAGCCACCAAACATCTTTTTAACTTTGTCTAATTTCTTTAGCAAAGACACTAAACACAACTCACCTACTCTCTTCCAGCAGCCGCTTTTTTGTAGCGAGACCTCGGGCCAGTCTATTACAGACTACAGTAAGGTGATGCAGCTCAAGGAAGAACATTTATGATCATTTCTTCATGGAAATACAATCAGACCGAGACGCTAAGGCAGAAGAACTACCGCGTCTGCAAAATGATTAATATGGTGATTATTACTTCAAAGAAATGATGAAGAAATGATCATAAATGTTCTTCCTTGAGCTGTGTCACCCCGCTGTAGTCCGTAATAGACTGGCCTGAGGTCTCGCTACAAACAAGCGGCTGCTGGAAGAGAGTAGGTGAGTTGTGTTTAGTGTCTTTGCTAAAGAAATTAGGCAAAGTTAAAAAGATGTTTGGTAGCTAGTGCTGTGGCTGTGACCCTATATGTCCTGTTGATGAAGTTAGGTGCTGCTCTGAGCATTATTTGTGGCTATAGAGTGGCGTTTTGGTTGAGGTTTGTTTATGGCTCCTCAGTCCGCTGTGTATTGCTTTCATGCGGTCGTTACTAAAGTTGGTATAACTAGAGAAGCAAGCAGTCGGCAACATTCATCTCTCAAGGGGGTGTCTAACTTGGTGTTAGGGTGTGTTTGGCCCTAAATTAATTTTACCCTGGAATATCCCTTTAAAGAGCTGACATAGTTGTGGACTACTTTATTTATAACTATATGAACCCACAAACTTATCATGCAGTCCTGTTAAATGTATTAAATATGCACTGTTGAGTGGAACAGGCAGCTCATTTCGCTGGAGTTGTTTTATTCTTCTGCCTTTTTTCCACACAGGTCATTGTGATGTCTGGCCATGAGACTATTCGTGTTCTAGAGGTCGAAGTTGATGCCCCTCAGCCATCATCGCTCCCTGATGTCAAAAGTGAAAGAAAAGCCGAGGAAGGAGTGGTCCAGCCTGCAGAGAAACCTGATGCTTGCAGCTCTCAGGAAAGCTCTTCTGTGCCCCGGAGCTCTGAGGGAGCAGGTAAATCATTCCAGTGAATTGATGTGGGGGCAGATGACTAATTCTTCAAACACAGATGACACTGTAGTGTTGAAATGTCAATAGCAGCTATAAAAAAAAGCACTTTAAATGTTAGAGAGCCATGACTTTGGATGTGCTTTTGCAGCCCTGGATGAGCAGCAGGTGGTGTCTGCAGAGGCTTCAGCTCCTACCGGCCCGGCGCTGACTCCTGCTGTCACTGTCAGCGTGTCCCTGCCACAGCCACAGACCACCATGCCCATCGCCGTCCAAGGCTGCCCACAGGTATAACCCGCTGAGAGCACGTCTACATCCATCAAATTTAAGGTGTTTTTGTTGCAGGAAGTGCTTTTAAAACAAAGGAAAATCCTGCTCGCTTTTCGTTCCGCTCACATTATTTCTTGTCTAAAATTTAAGCGTCACAAGGATTAATGTTGCTATCATTACCCGCGGGCTACTGTAGATGAATTACTGAAGTCACTGAATGAGGCAATCATCTCTAGTGCATTTTGATTGTGAATGATGGGACAAGTTTGACACTAAATACAGAGCTGGAGGCTATAAGAAATGTGAACACCATCATTTGTGGCAATTGAAGAAATCTAAGACCATACTGTTGCAGCAAGAATAAACGCAGTACACTTTTTAAAACCTCAAAAGTGGAGAGCAGAAAGGTGGAGTATTAGTGCAAGAAACTGTATCATTACTTCATTCAGTAAAAGTGACCATGCAGATAATAAGATAGAAATGTAACCCTCACACTCGATGATTGTAATCTTTCGTTTCGCCTCGTAAGGTGCTGACCCAGGAGAGCCTGGCCACTCTGATGACCGGTATGATGGCTCAGACGGGGTCCCTGGGGCAGCCCCTGCTCATCCCCTTCAGTATGGCGGGCTCCATTGGCGGACAGGGCGGCCTGGCTGTTCTTACTTTGCCAACCACAAATGTTGCCACTCTGCCGGGACTCACTGCGGCTAGCCCTGCGGGAAACCTCCTCAAACTGCCCTTTGCTGGCCTCCAAGGTAGAAAACCAACCGTCTTTGTAAAACCTTATTCCATATTTCATTTTTGAGTGATGCTGAAATAACAAGTGTTGCTTAGTAAGTAAGAAGCAATCCTCAAGTACAGTACTTGAGTATAATTTGAAGTGTCTGTACTTAATTGGAGTTTTTTTGTGCCTGTGACTTTTACTTTTACTCCACTACATTTCACAGAAGCATCTTTGCTACTACTATTTTTACTCCATTACCAAGACAGCAGGTAGTGGAAAAAAAGTTTTTTTCCACTTTTACCTAATGTTGATTTGCATTGCGCTTGATCATCGTCAATCAGTCACTAAGGGCCGCTTGCAGGCTGCACAGTTGCTTGCATACACCTAAATGTCCAGTGGCTGTTTTGGTGATTCTCATTGTGCCCAACTGGCATTCTAATTTCTTTGACTGTTGGAGGATTCACGATTGTTTCTCCTGATCAGTGCTTTAATCAGGGGTCTGTCTGTCTGTCCGTCCCTCCCATTTTATTTTTCTAAGCTGTTGCTTGCACCGGCCTAAAATGTGTGCTAATTTTGGCCTAAGTGACTTTTGCAGTAAATATATTTATTTGTACTTTAACTTTGACATTTTACTTTTACTTGGAGTATGTTTACTTGAGTACTTTTGATACTTAAGTAGAAAGAATGTGATATACTTTAGGACTTTGACTTAAGTAGAATTCTCATGGGAGACTTTCACTTTGACTTGTCATTTTCTGGTCAGGTAACTGTACTTCAACTCAAGTATATTTGTTAAGTACTTCATACAACACTGGAAATAACACTCTTTAAATAAGTAAAGTTAATGTGCAACAGAGTAGTGGTATGCCTGGGTAAAAAACGGCACTCCAGAGAGGTTTATCCCTGGATGGTTGTGATCTCCGGGCTCCCCATGTGGCGCTGCATTAAAAACAGACTAAACTCTGCAGTGGAAATCGCTACATGGGCTCAAAATCACATCTGATGTCTGAGTCACACAACATGACCATGCTGTGTGTCTCTTTTCTGTCTCTCAGCTGCTACCGTCCTGAACTCCGTCCAGCCCCAGCTGCACACAAACGCACAGACGATGTTCCAACACCAGGCGGCATCTGTTCAGCCCATGCAGGCAGCTGTTCATCAGGTGACGTCTCAGCCAACACAGGTGACCAACGCACAGGTCACTGCTGCTCAGGTGGCGGCAGCCCAGCCCACCTCGGCCGCCACCACTGTATCCCAGTCCAACATATCCGTGGCGGCACTCCAGACCGCAGGACTCTCCATCAATCCTGCCATCGTAAGAACACTACAAATGATTCTTCTGCTTTTTCATAACTCCAGGACTGTGATTGTACGTTCTGAATGTTGTGTTTTCCTGCTCAGATCAACGCTGCCTCCCTGGGAGCTCAGCCTCAGTTCCTCAGCTCCCTCACCTCCACTCCTATCCTCACCAGTGCCATGTCCAACATGGCCGGCCTCACCAGTCACATCATCACGAATGCACAGGGACAGGTGCGCTTCAGAAAATACTACTGAATTCACGCATTTGAATAATGTTGCATTTCTTTGTACAATATTGTATTACATAGTATATTCAAACAGGAGAATAAAGTCGAAAAATGGTATTAAATTGATTATACTGATGTATCATTAGCCGCTGACAGGCCTTAGATTGCATAAACACAAAGCAGAGAGCGATAATTACAACCGAACTTGATGCAAAATCACTTCTACTTGAAGCAGAATTAAAATGTTATTGTGTTTCTGTGTTGAGAATGAAAGCTCTGAGCCTCCACTTAACATCACTCAGTCGAGCTGTTTGAAGTCAGCAGAGCATGTGGAAACTGATTGTCCTCTCAAATAGTTTCATTACTCAATCTTGTGATTATTGCTGCTCATTAGAGTTAGTCTGCAGATAAGCAGCTCTTAAGAAACATGATCGGCCTCCAGGTGAACTTCTCATCCAGAGATGGGATGAGTGCAGCGCAGTGACGGGTTGTTGAAAATCCTCTCAGGTCATAGGAACCCTCCCTTTACTGGTGAACCCGGCGTCTCTGGCAGGAGGGGCCGCCACTTCCACTCTACCCCTCCAGGGCCTTCAGGGACTCCAGGGACTCCAGGGTCTCCAGGTCCAGACTGTCACCCCACAACTGCTTCTTAACACCCAAGGTCAGATCATCGCCACGGTGGGGAACGGGCCTGCTGCAGTTGCGTCTTCTGCTGCGGTTCTGCCAAAAGCTGCTGCTCCTCCGACACTTTCAAAGCCGAGCACGCAGGTACTCAGCAAAGACAAACACACACTCTTGAAGCTCTCTTCTTTTATTTGCATGATTGCCTGATGACATCTAATAACTATTTCTTCGTCAGGCTTCTGTAACAACCGTCACTCAGTCACCAGTTGTTATCGCCCCGCAGCCATCCGTGCTAAAGACATCCACCACCCTCTCCTCCACTGTCCCCATCACCTGTGGTGATCTAGCAAAAGTGGGCCAGCTTGTCAGCAGTATGTACACCTGCTTCTTACCGGAACATAGATCTGTTCAAAGTGGGAGGATATTTTTAACCGGATTCGTCTCGTTTTTTTAGAACCGCAGCAGGCAGTGAGCAGCGAGGAGGGCATTAATCTGGAGGAAATTCGAGAGTTCGCCAAGAATTTCAAGATCCGTCGGCTGTCCTTGGGGCTTACTCAGACACAAGTAGGGCAGGCTCTGACTGCAACTGAGGGTCCGGCTTACAGCCAGTCTGCCATTTGCAGGTAATTAACTCCTCTGCTCATGTCACCTTTTACAGTAAAGTTTGTTTAGTAAAAACAAGGGAAACATCAATAGTTAAAGACATTGGTGTGTGCATTCACTAACATCAGATCAAAAATGTTCTACATTTCTACAAAAGCACGTTCTGTCATTACCTTGGTGCTCTGAAGTACTGAGCATTTAATCCAGAGATTCTTATATTAATGAGATTATGTGAAGATTACTCATTTAAGCACACACTCGTACCATACTCAGGCTCATTTAACCCCTTAAATCCAGTTAGTCCAGCCAGTTTGAGTTCTCTGTATGCTTCCTCGGGTCTGGAACAGCTGGAAGAGGTGAACTTTAAAGCGGTAATGTTTGCACACAAGCACAACAGTGAAGTTAGATCTACCTTTATATAAAATGGGAGGAAAGAGGGTAAAAAAATGACTCCCATACTGACATATGGAGAGAAATTAATGATTAAATAGAGCATATTATGAGCAGGGGATTCAGTGCGAAAGAAAAGCATAATCAGTCACATTGTCTACTGCAAGCTGATCATGTTTAAGCTTCGAGAAGAACGAGGAGGACTTTACTGACTTCATAGGTGGATGTAAGAGTAGAAAAATGATCAGATATAGCCTCAGACGCTGTCTTTGTCTCTTCTTTCCCTCTCAGCTCAGCAGGAAAATGATTATGTTAATGATCAGATAGATTCATAAATTTGACAACACATTTGAATTTACCTTTTTGGACACAGCTAGGCTCATTTGGAGGATTTTGATGAGTGTCAAATAAGTGCTGGTGGATTTTATTCCCTTCATATGGAGCCTCAGCTTGCTGCATTCTATTGTCTTTTTTAAAAATCTAAGACAAACTTAATTAAGCTAACTAGTAAATAAGTAGATTCAAACACTGAAATGTTTCTTCAAATGTTTGGTTTTACCTTGAAGGAGCTTCTTATGTGTTAGTATCAGGTCTCATTAGATGCTTCAGACTGAACTTGATTTCGTGTTGCAGGTTTGAAAAGTTGGATATCACTCCAAAGAGCGCTCAGAAGCTGAAGCCGGTCCTGGAAAAGTGGCTCGCTGAGGCGGAGCACTGGAACCAGAAAGGCCAGCAGAATCTGATGGAGTTCGTCGGCGGTGAACCATCCAAAAAACGCAAGCGGCGCACCAGCTTCACGCCGCAGGCGATAGAAGTCTTGAACTCATACTTTGAGAAGAACGCATTACCAACCGGCCAAGAGATTACAGAAATTGCGAGAGAGCTGAACTATGACCGAGAAGTTGTACGAGTTTGGTTCTGCAACCGGCGACAGACGCTAAAAAACACGAGCAAGATCAACGTCTTCCAGGTTCAGTAGTAAACTTGAAGTCTCCTGTTGAGAAGTTGGACGTTTGATACAACAGCACAGATTAAGATTGTGTTGTAAATAAAAACCTAACCACAATAATCACTTTGTAAGAAAATGAAGGAAAATGAGCATAATTTATGAGAGAGAACTTAACATATGTTTTATTTTCAGGATGTATATGTGTAAAAAAACTCAAGTGTGGTGGATTCTGGGTAAAACTGCATGGTCCTCTTCTTAAATACAGTGATATGATGTTATATTTAAAACATTTGACTTTTATAAGAGTGCTTTTGTAGGATAACCCTGTGGATGGAGCGGCTGTTCATTGAGTCACTTTGATTTAGTCACATATTTGTCATTTTGCAACAATAACTGACTTGATGCTGATGTTTGAATAACATGCTTTTGCCAACACGGATGTTGAAAGCTGCTCATTTAATTTTATATCAGTGAAGTATTTGTACTGCCTGAGCAGCCTTGCGTACATATTAAGATTCTGGCAGACAGAATAATCCTAAGACTGAAATCAGACGAAAGACTTTAACTTTATTTTGAACAGAGCTGTTTGCCTGATGAACATTTCTTTTACTGTCTAACACTTTTTGGACAATCATTATTTAGATATTAATGATAATCACAGAGAAGAGCTTCAAACCTGTAATGGAACAAAATGTGACACAGTGTTGGGCCTCCATAGAGAGGATATGTGTTCAGAGTAAACAGATTCTTTCAAAGTGAAGTTAAAGCTCTTTTAACGCCATGACTGTAAACTTATGTCAGTGTTTTTTATACTTTAATGTTCATTTGTGAGATGCTAATCTTGCAAATGTATGTGCTGTATGTGTCTGAAACATATAATGTGCTAATAATACTCTGAGAGTATCTTTTTTACTGCTCTGGCTGTTACCTAAATGCTTTTTTCATCACAACTTTGGCTCAGTCAACCTTAGAGAAGTTGCTGCCTGTTAACATCAACCCCAGACTCTTTCTAAACTCCTTTAAAGTTTCATATCAATCAAACTGTTCTGAATTTAACAAACTTAATGTACAGCCCATAAAGGGGCTCTGTGGTTTCTGAAATGAGTGTGTGCTGGATTTTTGACCTGACTGAAGCGGAAGAGTGTTTGCATGTGCTGTGTGACAGTAGTTTCTGTAAGATTAATATGACGGTTTCCTCTCTAGAAAGGAAAACTATAAGATTACATTCAGTGGATGGTTTCAGGATTTTAATAAAACAGCAGCTTTGCTATAGAAACAGAAGCAGCGCTGAGAAATTGCAACCATCAGCTTAAAAAATAACACAGAGTAGTTTATGTGCAGATGCAATGCAGATTCATCTATAATGATCACATTCTACGAGTTTGTGGTTCACCAGAGATCATGTACTGGGCCTGCATTTTGGTCTCAGTAGCCCTTTTGTTGCAGTGGACATGCAGTAAACCTTACATTTTAAAATAACTCATTTTGCAAACTATCATTTTAACATATGGAACGAGCATTTAATGTATGGTTCAATAAAATAAGTTATCACAACAGGAATAAATGACTAAAGTTTAATAAGATATCTTATGTCAGCTAAGCACAGGTCTTTGTCAGAGAAGGGTGAAACAAAAGTTGGATGATTTTTTTCTGTCAGATCAACAAATAAACCCTGTCTTTATTAACTACCCTTTATTGTGGTGTGCTGATTTGTTTACAACCATCCTGATAGCTTTAAAGCTCTTAGAGGAGCTTTAAGTTTGTGTGAGATAGGGCACCTCGTGGACTAAAAGGGTTTTGCTTATCATGTCCTCCACATTCTGCTGACTTTTGATCATCAGTTGTTTCATTTATTGGAAATATTTTACCTGTTAAGTGTAAAAACAGGGCTGTTTCTGAATCTGCTCAGCTGACACCCACCCCCTAACTCCCATTTCATAGTAGGATAAAAATGTCACTTTTGTCATTAACGGTTCTGTTTGCTTTTGAATATGACAAAAAGGCATAAATATGACTTTCAGTGGATTTTATAAACATAAAAAAACTCCTCACATGAGCTTTATTTTTTCTTTTTATGTTCTAACAAATAACTGTCATGAGTGCATGAACAGACTTTAAACAGATATTAATGAAGGTGGTCAGAGCAGAAATAATCATGTTTGTTTTGTTGAGGGTGGTTTTGTGTAGTTGGACGCTCCTTCCTGTAATAACGGCTACGAGCGATTGGTGGCAGTAATGAGGCCAAGCGTCCCTTCCCACAACTATGAAACCCACGAAGAAGAGAAATGGAACGGAAATTACGGCAGCTCCTCTTCCTGACGAAGCTAGATAAACAAACAAAAGCGAGACCTTATTTTACATTTATCAAGTAACCTGAGCTGATTTTTACGCATCTGCACCTGTAGACATGTCTCCGGGGATTAATTCGTCGCAGTAAGTCTCCCGTTACTGAAGCTCGGAGAGGCTAGCATCCTGCTTGCAGAGTTAGCTGAGTGGCTATGCGGCTAACAAGTGTTAGCTGGACATGTTTGATGTAGTGCTGGGGTGAAGAAGGAGCGCGACATGATGGCATGAAAAGAGACACTTTTATCTAAAGGTATGCTCTTTGAATTCGTTAACATTTCTCTGTCTGGAGTTACGCTGTTTAGATTAACTGCTTTGTACTAGTTTGCTTCATTTTAACATCACATCAGTGCACATTTGCAGAAAACGAGACTGATGTTTTTTGGTTTTAAACATGTTATTGTTTGTGAGTCTTCACGGTGGTTAACTTTCTTCCACTTTCCCCCCCCAAAGAAAGTGCAAAACAGGTAAAACTTGGACTAAGTTTTAGACATTACTGCACTCCCGAACACCTCCTCCTCCTCCTCTTCATCACCTTCATCATGGCCTGGGCTCTGAAGCTGCCTCTCACTGATGAAGTGATCGAGTCCGGACTGGTCCAGGACTTCGATGCCAGTCTGTCCGGGATTGGCCAGGAGCTCGGTGCGGGGGCATACAGCATGAGGTACTGGACCTGAACCCTCTGCTGTTCATGTAGTATTAAATATTCTTCAGTTTAATCTATGATATCTGTTGAAAATAGATTTAAAGAGTCAGTAAGAAAAAGTGCCTTTGAAGGATGCCTCCTTCAGCAAACACTTAACCTCTTATTCAGGTCTTAATTCTGTGTTTATACCTGATTTAAAGCTGCAATAACGTTGCATGCTCAGTAGGGCTGGGCGTTAAAATGATAACAATAACAAACATTAATTTCCCTATATATCACTGTAAAACATGGTCAATATAGCCGGCATTCTGCATTGTTATGGTAGACAATACAAATAAAGCAGGGGCTGGCTCAATCTGTGGCACTGACACATAGCCAGGACGTGCCACTAGGTGCCACGAAAAGCCACTAAGTGCCTGAGGTACTACACTTTTATCTTAAGGTATGCTTTTTAAATTCATTAATTTAAGAGTGCCACAGATTGAGCTTGCCGTCTCTCTACGAATAGCCAGTGGAAAGGGGAGTTGCTTCAGGTCCACTTTGCGCTGAACTAATCGTGCTGAATTAGAACCAAGTAGCAAACAACTGCGTAGTAGCAGGCTGCAGCTACACGCAACCATAGCACTTTAACATGTGAAGCCGACAGCACTGTTGGTGAGAACAAAAGAAAATGAGTGCTACAGATGAAGGCTCAACAGATTATGACATTGTAGACAACACTGGCACGAAAACATCAATGGTGTGGAGGTATTTTGGTTTTTTTGAGGTCGGACATGAAGCAGAGTAATGTGCACTGCTAATTCTGTCGAGTACATGTTCTCATAAAGTCGGGGAATACCTCAAATCTTTTTCACCACCTGAAGCAGCGCCACGCTGCAGAGCACACGCAATGCAAAAGGTTACAAACCCAAGCGGAGTAAGGAGCCCATGGCGCCTGTGCAGCCGAAACAGCCGACCATTCAGTCTGCTTTCTCTAGCTCAACGCCTTATGACAAAACGTCTGGAAGACACAAAGACCTCACAGATGCAGTAGCTTATTGTATTGCAAAAGACATGCTACTAATAAACACTGTTAAGTTTCATTTTTTATATCGTGATTTATAGATAGATAGATATACTTTATTGATCCCAAACTGGGAAATTCCCATGTTACAGCAGCGAAAAAATACAAAAGAAAATTAAGTATAAAAAGATGTACAATGCAGACTAAAAATACAAAAAGTAATAAATATATACAATGTATAGTATCGATACAATATATATATCGACTAATATAAAAAAATATATATATCATAATAAACTTTTTTCCATATCGCCCAACCCAAATACTCAAGTATTCATAACCACATCAATTTTATTCATGTTGAGTGCTTCCGATTTCTTCTCTCTATCCACATTATTGTGCAGCTTGATTGGAGAAATATCTTCACACTTTCAATCTGGGCTTGACTATGTGGGGTTGTGCACTGAGAGATAACAACACTAGTGAAAATGAATCAGTGCGTGCAGCTGAGATGCAAAGCTGTGTCATGCTAATGCTGAGATTAATTCCAAGTAATTTGGGTCATTGCTGTCCAGATTAGCTCAGATATATGGGTGTTAGTTTATCTCCACATATAAAAGAAAACAAAGTGGGGAAAAAAAGGATGTTTATAATTGTTGAGTTTGTTTTTTTTCATGATGAAAGTGATGTGAAATCCGTTTTGAATTTGCTGACGCACACTCTTCACTTTGCTTGACAAAGATCACTGTCTTGCGTGCCAATATCTGACTGGTTAAGTGCTCTGTTAAATGATACTGTGCAGGCTTCAAAGTGCCCACTTGTTCCTAACATTCCTCTGTTGAGAGAAGCAAAGAGCTCCTGGCTGGATACCTTGATATTTAGAAAGGTTGCTCAGGCTGCCTACATCCTAATAAACACACTGCAGAGCTGACTAATACACCATCCCACTATCAGGCCTTAATAGTTGTCTTGTGATGGTTTGGAAGATTTATTAATCAAATATGAAAGCTTGTGTCATGTTGAATCGTCCCGTGTATAATCTCTCTAACAGTGTTGTCTTTCTTATCTCTGTTCTCCAGCGATGTTCTTGCCCTCCCCATCTTCAAGCAGGAGGAGTCCAACCTGCCTCCAGACTCTGAGAACCAGATCCTTCCCTTCCAGTATGTTCTGTGTGCAGCTACCTCGCCAGCTGTTAAACTGCATGATGAAACACTCACCTACCTCAACCAAGGTTAGCATCAGCATCCAAGAAACAGTTCACTTTCTCAAGAAAAGTGTAGTACTTTTGAGTGTCGTAGTTTGTAACTGATCTGTTTCAGAGGGGAAACATTCTTGCTGTGAGGCCTATTGTACAATACAAGGAAAATATCTAGGGGACATTTTTTCCTTACATGGCTACATGAAATATCATGTTTGTCTTGCAGAACATGAGCTTTCAGAGAGTTCATTTACAGCCATGTAGTGTTGTTTCATTATGATGTAGGGCTGGGCAATATAGCCTAAAAAACAAAAACAGATTTTTCACACCAAAGTAAGTCGATGATTTTAAGTGATTCGTCTTTTTCTTCTTAAAAAAACAAACAAAAAAATTACATGTGACAAAGAAATGACTCAAATCAAGTCTTAACCCCTGGGTGTTTAGCTCACCTCACCGCTGTGGTCGACAGAGTCAGCTGTTTGGCGTCATTAAAATGCGCTGTCAAATCCATGTTAGTCTGGACCATAAGTCAGTTGTTGTGGAATAAAATGACATCCTTTCTCGCTTCTTTTCTGCTCTATAGTGATCGTTTCACCTGCACATACCAGGTGTTGACAGTAAAGTAAAATATTCGATCAAGATTTCATTTTTCCAAAAATCACCTTAAACCACCGATATGGATTAATTAAAAGTAATAGTATTATGATAGTAACATAGTAACATGGATGCTGAATTAGGTTTGACTAGAAAACTGTGAGTTTTGGGGGCTTGTGACAGCCCTTATATCACAGTATGTCTGTTTCCTTTCAGGCCAGTCCTATGAAATAAGAATGCTTGACAATCGGAAAATTGGGGAACTTCCAGAAATCACTGGTAAAATGGTGAAGGTAAGACTCCGATACAAAAGCTGATACAAAACATTCAAAGAAGTTTAAGTCTGCCACTTTGACTCGTATTGAACCCTCTTCTCTGAATTTCAGAGCATCATCCGCGTGGTGTTTCACGACCGCCGTCTTCAGTACACAGAGCACCAGCAGCTGGAAGGCTGGCGCTGGAACAGGCCCGGTGATCGCATCCTCGACCTGGGTGAGCACTGAGTGAAACACGGCCGGGCTCTTCTGGTGGCTCCAGGAGATTTCAGCTCTTAAATATTAAACAAAATGTTGTTCACTCACGATAGATCAGTCTCTTAAAATAATGTAACAAATAGACATGTCCAGGTTTGCTCTTTTTTAACATCTCTTTAGAAAGACAATGGATTGATTGTTTGTATGTTTATTAACCATACAATAATTTTTGTATTAATTAAACTCAGTACAGTGACTGTTAAACCAAATCTATGATTACGATTAAGATGACAGTCGTGATGTTATGTTGCGCTTGGTGTGCATTAAACATTTGATAACAGCCTGTTTCACATTGATCCATTGCAGATATCCCCATGTCCGTCGGCATAATCGACCCCAGGGCTAACCCTACTCAGCTTAACACTGTGGAGTTCCTTTGGGACCCATCAAAAAGAACCTCAGTTTTTATCCAGGTAGCATGATGGACAAAAATATTCTTTCTTTAATTATCTTTCCTTCATCAAAAACAGAGGCAGTTTAGCTAAGCTTTGTAACATGTAGTTTACTCATTCTGTTTGGACAAATGATAAACTGAGTGACATTGTGCAGCTAGTAACTACTAATACCAAAGAAATGACACTGCTGTTTCTTGTTTACTTGTGCTAATTTCAACAAGGAGTTAGATTTAACGTCCCGTTCCTTTTTAGGTACACTGCATCAGCACAGAGTTCACAATGCGCAAGCACGGAGGAGAAAAAGGCGTGCCGTTCCGCATCCAGATCGACACGTTTAAAGGGAACGACAATGACGAGTACACAGAACACCTCCACTCAGCCTCCTGCCAGGTCAAAGTCTTCAAGGTGAGAGGAAGGAGAGGAAACGTTGATGTCATACGATTCAAATGCAGTGTGACGCGTACGATTATTCATGTAAATGACTCCCCCTCTGCATGACCCGTGACAGCCTAAAGGTGCAGACAGAAAACAGAAGACAGACAGGGAGAAGATGGAGAAGAGGGCGCCGCAAGAAAAGGAAAAGTACCAACCTTCTTATGAAACCACAATACTGACAGAGGTTTGTATATTAGCGGGCGAGGCGGGCTAATTTATGAAGCGCTGGCCATAAAAGAGCAATTGATGTTGTATTACACAGTTAATAAACTGAATATGGAGAGTGTTACATGAAGCAAAAATGAGACAATTACCCTCAATCACCCAAAATAGAAAGAGAGTCAGAACAACAGACTGTGGCATTACCTAAAGGTGTTTACATGTATTCCAGCTGCAACTATTCACTTCACCTTATGATATTTTAAAGGAAAAAAGCATCAAATCCTCATGTAAGGAAGCTGTAAGAGAATGTCAGAAGACATTAAGATAATAAGATAATAAGTAAACCTTTAAAGTGATCGATTAGCTGCCTACTAGAGCTCTTAGGTTAATCGAGACGCTTCAGTAACAACAGCGTTGGTGTTTTGCAGTGCTGCCCTTGGCCTGAAGTCACATACGTCAACAACTCTCCGTCTCCGGGTTTTAACAGCACACACAACAGCTTCCCAGTCGCAGAAGGGTATGAGTGTTTCATCCTTCCTCCCACTGCTTCACTTTTGAATCAAGTTTACTGTGAAATCAACTCAGTGGCTGTTGAGTTGCATGATTTTAGTTTTTCACCTTCTCAACTGTTCATCCCTTTCAGAAACGGATCACCAAACCACCAGCCTGAGCCCGTTGTTCAGGTAGCAGATGTAAGTGTTAAACGCCCTGTGAATCAACCGCCCGCTGCATATTGATATTCACAAGTGCGAAGCTGACATCTGGGTGTTAGAGCTCTGCTTCCCATGAGATTATCTGTGGCACTTTGGAAATCCAAACAATCAAAAATGTGCTCAGCCTAACTCAAGATGGGAATGAAAGCGTTAAATGGAGCCAATTCAGAAAAAACACGAGGTCAGCTTCTAAGAAATACAAGAACACGATGTTTGTATTAGAGAGGAACAGCTCAAGGTTCAAGACTTCTGTCACTTAACCTTAAAACATGACTTATCTGCTTGTTTTATACTCTGCACGCTGATTATTTTGGGCTAATGAGAAATGTTAGAGAGCTATTAACAAAATACCAGGAGAGAGAACCTTATTCTGTGCAGCATTATCAGTCAGCTCAATTTGCAGCATGAAAAGATTGAAATTATATGATTTTAAGTATACTTACTCTTTTTTTTTCTCATGTTAAAGGTGCATTTTTCTTCTCAGAATTTGTTACCCACGGCAACCCCGCAAGATGCACAACAGTGGCTTTTAAGAAACCGCTTCTCGCCCTTTTGTCGGCTCTTCACCAACTTTTCAGGTACGGTGTCTCTTTAATTCAGCCCATCACAGCGTCACCTCTGTTAGCCCGACTGAGACTCTTAGTCATGTCTCATGTTTAAAGAGGAAAGAGACAGATTTGATCAAAATAAACCCTTTTAGAGATTTACATCTTTCAGGGAGATTTAGAGACAGCAAATGGACCTTCTAACACTTCGTTATCACATCCAACAATTCACAAGAATAAATTCATTTCTCTGGACAAAAGTAAAAGCCAAAGCAGCGTGAGGTGAAACTCTCACAGTCAGATATGAAACATTCTTTGTGTAAACCTTTAACACAACACAGCCAAACATGAATCACTTATCTGGCAAAAAGACTGTAAAACAGATCGTAAAACCCCAAATGAGTCAGTGAGGATGTGAGGATGGTTTACAAAAGAAGGGGAAGATGCAGCAGTGGTCAGAGCTCCTAGACCTCCCTGTGGTTTGGATTTTAAGGTTTATACAACAAGCTCTCATTTTTACACACAGGCGCCGATCTTTTGAAGCTGACGAGAGAGGACGTCATCCAGATCTGCGGTCCGGCAGATGGTATCAGACTCTTCAATGCACTGAAAGGACGGTGAGTCCTCTTTCAAATCGACCCTATCTTGCAGCGTCATTCCCTGTGTATAAAAGTCTAGTGGACGTTCTTGTAAATTTTTCTTCTGTGTTTGACGTTGACAGAGTGGTACGCCCGAGGCTGACCATCTACGTTTGCCAGGAGTCTCAGCAGGCTCGGGAGCAGCAGCAGCCCAAACAGGAGAACGGAGACGCTGCTGCCAACACTTTCTTCGGTGAGTGCCTGTTCGCGATTTATTGATGTCTTGAGGAATCAGGGAATGTATTTTATATGGAGTAAGTAGACGTGCACCTCAAGGTGGGTCAGCTTTGTTAAAAATAATCATAGATGAATGGAGCATGGCCAATAATCGCTTGTGTGGAACAATAGTACAAAATTAGAGAGTTATCTCATATTCATGTTATTCAATCATTATCCATCGTTGCTATTTACCTGAACAGACACTGCGGACAGCTTTGTCTTCAGGTGTCCTTTAAAATCTGAGTGATTTCCATTCTCTCGTCCTGAATCTACAAGACTCTCTGTCCCCATTGGGAATGATAACAAGTCTGTTATTTGGTTTGAACGCGGCAAAAAATGCGTCTCCAGGTTGTCTCTGTTCTTCCTCCTCGCCGCTCAGGCTGCAGGTTGTTATGAAAGCCTCATAACAACATTTTTTTCAGGTGCCAGCTGTCGGTGGTATCTAAGTAGAGCTTTTGATAAGCTAGCTAATAGCTAACTAGTTTTGGCTTCTCACCAAAGGAGTACAAAACCGACTTCTTGCCAACATGCACCTGGCGAAAAGGCATCCGCTGACAGTGGAAAGGACGCTCCAGATTAACGAGTGTTTGAAGAGAAAAACAAACACGAGTAGAGCCAACTGTTTAGAAAGAGATTTCATTTTTGTGTTCAGCTTAGATTTTAGGAAGTCAGATAACATCTAGAGCTATCATACTGTGTTAAACGGTGGATAAAAGACGTGTTTTACCTGCTTTTTTCTCCACAGTATATCATGCTATTTACCTGGAGGAGCTCACAGCTGTCGAGCTAACGGAGAAGATCGCTCAGCTTTTTAACATCTCCCCTCGACAGATAAATCAGATCTTTAAACAGGGGCCCACAGGTATCCATGTGCTGGTCAGTGATGAGGTAAGATCATGTTTATTCTTCTATAACCCTGCGTCTCCATAGACACACAGTAAATCCCCGTTATAACACGCTCTGGTTTGTCTTCTTCTCCTCAGATGATTCAGAACTTCCAGGATGAAGTGTGTTTTGTTTTGGACACAATGAAAGGTATCTGATTGCAATAATGAATGATCCGTTTCTATATTTAACGCGGCGCCTTGATGAGATTCATCCGTTTATTTTTAACACCCTCCTCACCTGCTGTGTTTCCTTTTTCCTCACCAGATGACACGAACGACGGCTACCACATCATCCTAAAGTGAACTCGCAGCGGGAGAGTAGATCTTCTTTAGACCCTCTAGAGCTTCATACTCCTCCTTTCTTGTTCCTGGAAGAAGCGGAGACGCCCCGAGAATCCTGCTGAGGCTGCTCAGAGGAATCTGTGACTGAAGCACACAGCCCTCTCCTCACTAAACCTTACTGTCTTACTTTGAAGGAAGTGACCGCTACTGTTGTGAAGTAACAGCGTCCTTCTCGCCCTGCCTCTCTCGCCCTGTAATGGTTGCGTTCTCTTCTGTCGCTTATGTCTCATGAATGAGGTTCACGGCTTTGCAGCTGCTATTCCTCTTTAATTGTCGGCTGAGCATCTGGTGTGCCAAGACTCTGTGCTTCAGAAACAGTTTGTTGTCTCTCTAAGAACCAATGGCCAAAAAAAAAACCAGAAAAAAATAAGGCGACAAAAGCAGAGAGACTGTGATAGTTCTCGACTCTCAGTCCTGGATTCAGCACGATTTCAAGTCATCATGTTAGGTTTCTAAACCAGAACCTGCAATACGATAGTCTGACGGAAACACGGTCTAGCCAATACAATCACACTGTCGCCCAAAAAGAACCACAAGAGGAATCAAGAGCAGCAGCGAGTAGGACAAAAAGGGAAACGTTGGAATCCAGCTGTTGTCTGTAAAATCTGTGATTCCTTTGAAATTTTAACAATGTGAGTCTTTGGCTGTTTGAGCTGTTACGTAAAAGAGAAAAAAAACTTTTTATACGACTCCCAAACGCTGTTTGGTCGCTGTAGTTTAAAATGTAGAGCCATAGACCGTGTCAAAGAAGTGGATTTAGCAGCTGTGACTTCAGGCGTCATTTATAGATTCTGCTTTTTAGATCAGATTAGGTATTTATCCTTTTGGGGAGCTAATTCTTCGCTTAAATGACAACTGGACTTGTTTGAGGATCTTGAAGATGTTTCAACGTTCACTAAAGTGACTGGAGATTTAAAGCCTCTGTTGGTCCTCCCACTGCAGAAGGGTGGTGGTCACCTGAGAGTCGTCAGAAGGGTCGTCAAACTAGTTTCACGTTAAGGAGGGTTCCCTTCTGGGTTCCTTCAGGTTTTCCATACCCTCATGGTACTGGAGCCTGTGATCCAGCTCGAAAGCGTTGTTTTGACTGCTGATGACAGGAATTTAAAACTGAATTATAAAATTTGTAGTTGATTAAGAACTGAATTAGCCTTTTGGAAGAGAGGAGAAACATCTCCAAGAACCTCAAACAAGCCCAGTTGCCCTTATAATGAAGACTTGGATTACCATGACCTGCATGAACGAGAAGGAGGATGATGGTCTGGATTTGTCAGAGAGCAAAATCATGTGTTCTGTAATGATATCCTTGCTTCCATCTGCTGTAATGTTTTGATACAGACTGGATTAGAAGTTATTTACCTTAAAGTTACATTTCATCTTTTTACAAATCTGCATCATGATATTATTTTTGTCAAATCGAGACCTAATTCACAACAAAATATGTTTTTTTTTAAAGCTCATGCTGCTGAAACAAGCCAGAGTGAAGCCTCTGTGTGTTTAAGCATTTACAGCGAAACTGAGACCTTCAAGAATTAGATACACTATGTCCGCTTCTTTTAGACGGTCTATGTGTAGTTAGCATATTTGCCCTTGTGGTTACAAATTTATAACCGCTAATGAAAACACTGTCTGTAATTGATCACTGTCGCAACACCAGCAAACTGTCTCTGCTCCACGTGCTTCCTAATTCTGTCAGCCCTTTTTTTTTTTAGCATCTCATCATGTTTCGCTCGCTGTTTTCCAACATTGTGTGTAAATAGAGGATTATTTTAATTTGCTTTTTCCATGGAACTCTTAAGTTACTTTTTGCAGTTTTTAATTAATCTTTCACATCTTACATGTCGCCTCTTTGTTGTTTTTCTGGATGTTACCACTTCCACAACTACTAATACATGTAATGTGCTGTCGGGGCGCACCAGAGCTGCATGTGAACATATGTGGTGAGTCTGTGTCGTGTCCTTGTGCTGCTTTACATGAGAAACGATAGCTTGACGATATAAGTATCCATCTTTACTCGGATCTGATCAGCATTATTAAAATTCTTACCCATGTACTGTCCGCAACCTGCTGTTTGTCCCTCTCTTTTGCAATGTTTACAACAATAAATGTGTTTTTTTTAAAACAGAACCACATTTTTCCTATAGTTTTATAAGATCAGATATACATTTTGCACCTTTTGGGGGGTTTGGATAGTTGTAGAGGCTTAATAGAAACATGCACAGTCATTTAGTTGCCATGGAAACTAGCTTTGACAAGAGAGGGGGAGAAAATATGACTCAAAAAATGTATAAGTCAAGCCTAATTAAAGGTACAGGTATGTGTTTTATCACATCTGTATGGTGCGTTATGTTAATTTGGCCCATTTTCTTTCTGCACAACATGAACAAAGGAGCAAGTCAAGGAGGGAAAACTCAATTTCCCAGCATGCTCGGGCGCAGGGCATGCCGGTGATGTCACAATAAGTATATATACGGCTACAGGGAAGAATTCCTGCATCCATTGTTACATTGTAACAAACGGGGCCGGGGCGAAACCGGGGGAGAAAAGGCGTCTTCTCCGTTTGGACATTTAAACCGTATCGACATTAAAACCACCAAAATAAAAGCCTCCCCGCGTTTGAAGCGAGAAGACAGCGAAGGGAAGCACCGCCGACTGAAGCCGCCCCGGGGGGAGAGAAAAAAGGATAAAGCAGAAACAAATGTCAGCGGATTTCTCCATCGCAAGCTTTTCAAGATAAGGCGATTCATTCAGCTGTTTCATTTGTTTTCCCCGAAAATATGTGGAAAAATGTGTCGGGATAAGTCATATGACGCCCCTCTGCTTTCTCTTTAAATAGAGAGGCATGCAACATTTACTAAATAAAAGCAGGCAGTATGCAGAACAATGAACATGGAGCCTAAGTAGCCTTATTATAGTCAGTGCAAAGTGAGTGCAAATTGACAGTCACGCAAGAATTCAGCCAGATCTCCACGGTTGCAGACTGGATCTTTCATTCAAAGGGGGGTTTCAGTCTTTTTTTTGACACTAGCTCGTCTCAAAGGGCGTTGAAAGATTGATGTGCAGCTCACACTGGAAAGAGAAACAACCTACAGGCTGCTTGGAATAAGGGTCCCTGTTTCTGCCCCAGGTAAGAGGGTTTAGTATTTCATTAACCGGGCGGTTTGCCATTGTGTGTGTGTGTGTGTGTGTGAGAGAGAGAGAGAGAGAGAGAGAGAGAGAGAGAGAGTGTGTGAGTGTGTGTGTGTAAAATGGGAGCATAGAGAGGCCGGTCACACACTGATAATACCCAACCACCCCCCCCAAACACACAGTGTGGTCAGTTACTGCATGCACACAGTTAAACAAATACAGCACCAACACTGCATGTCCCTGAAGGTAAATCCACACTGTAGTATCTGTAGTATTTGCTGCCACATCCTTTAACTTAACAGGACGATGACTGTGGTTTTCTCAAGGGAAATGAGCCAATCAGAATCCAGCCATTGCTCTATTTTCTCAATATGAGACCCAGTTGTGGTAATGAAGCATATAGACGCTGCATGGTGCATCTTACACACCTGCACATCCTCTCTCAGAGTCCAGATTGTGTAGAAATCTCAATCAGAAGAGGTACGTAAATGCAACATGCGCCTAAATGCTGGATTTGAGTGCTATTCAATTGACTTTGCATAGTAATGAAACAAATAACAGCATTCCCCTGAGCTCCAAAACATTATCTGATTACTTTGGCACCCTGGGCTTATGCTTTTAGCCAGATATATAGGACAGAAAGCCTTCATAATCAATCATATTGCAGTAAAAGTACTGTGTCTGCTGCAGTCCAGGATCAGCCTCCTCATGACATTATCACTGCACACTCCCTTTACTTAGCCAAGGACGAGTCAAATTTGAAGATATGGAAATGCAACACATAGTAGGTCCAACATGAGGGTGCAGTGAAGGATTGCCCACTAGCTTGAGTGGACAATGGGCCATTTGGAGGTGCTGCATAACCTTACACCAAGAGGCCTTTTTATGCATGTAGAGTTGAATAATAAGAAGCTTTTCTCCCTTGCGTCTGCAGTTTACATCCTGATAATTACAGTTTGCACATTTTCATTATTCATCACAGACATTACACAACGTACATCACACCTATTGTGAGCTAAAATAACAAATGACTCAACACAATCTCAAAACAGACAAGACAAATGTAAAATTGTCCGTATACAGAGAGTGATGTGTCATTACACAGGAGGTATAATCACATTAATTCAACATGCTCAGCCCACTCCTGCTCCTGCCATCGATCACCTCTGACTTAATTCACTCATATCAGTCTCTTTTGCGCAAATTATTCCTAAAGAGGGAGAGTGGTGGAGCTGAAGAAATCATCTGTTTTCATGCCGTTCAGATGCTTGACTAGTTGCTATGGCGACGTTTGCAGACTTGACGATTTTTGAAGTAAGATTTCATGAGAGACCGGGAGGAAATGATGGGAGCTGGAGAACAGATGAGAAGAGACAGGAGCAAATAGCTGATGTCACCTTTTGTTTGCTTGTTTGTATGTGCAGAAGTGACCCGACAGGAAGACTGGAGCGAATGTGTGGCATGAGGGACGTTTTAGCAGAAGTTTGTATGATGAATCCACTGATGTGTTGCCTATGGCTCTGTTGTGTTTATTTGTATCATCAGACAGCGAGTTTCCATGGAGGCAGGTTCGTCCCTCAGCCTCAAACGCAGATATGAAGAGGTGGACAACAGCTCTCCATTCTCTACATCTAAAGACTCAGACGATGACATCTCCAGCAGTGACAGCGCTGACAGCTGCGACAGCCTCAACCCCCCCTCCAGCACCACATTTAACCGTAGGGGACTTGGCAGAAACTTTCAAACCCCCAGAAATGGATCAATAACTAATATGTGTTATAAACCATCTCACTTTACTTCCTTACCTCCTCAGCCACCTCCATCCTCAGGCAGCACAAGCCCTCACCGGGTGGCAAACGGGTGCGTTTCGATGTGGTGACGGTGTACTACTTCCCCCGGAGGCAGGGGTTCACCAGCGTGCCCAGCCAGGGGGGCAGCTCCCTGGGAATGGCACGCCACCACTCCTCCATCAGACACTACACGCTGGGTGAATTCGCACGGGAGCAGGAGACCAGCCACCGACACACTTTACGCCAACACCTGCGCCAAGAGAAGCTCAACGCACGCAAGATGAAGGTAGAGTTCACGTTTTATCACAGAGTGTGGGGAAGGGATGAGTCTAAACGCAACCTCCTCCTGCTCCAAAGTGCCTCACTGTGTTAAGGTTAAGTGTACAATAAATTTGCACATGATGTCTCCTCATAAAAGAGCATCTTCCCTTAATTGAACGATCTCAGTTTGCGAGCTCTACCCTTGAAACTACTTTTTTTTTACTCCTACTTTAAAAATCAAGTTTCTTCATCAGTTCTAATAAAAAGTTCATTTTTATGCAACTTTTTTTATATTTTCACTCACCGACATGCCAAAGAGTAATGCACTCTCATAATCTAATGACTTTGGCCGACAGCTGAGGTGACTTGTAAATATTTGTGCTTTAAGATGTCACTTCTGTTACTGTTATCCAGGTTCTGTATCATGCAGAACATGTGCAATATTATTATTGAACAATCTGTTTTTTTCTTTACCAATACATCAGTAAAGGGCACCTAGATATATGCAGCTCACAGGCGCTATACAAGATATATATAAGTGATAAAAAGTGTATTGAATCTCACAGTCTCATCTTGTATCCTGTTGTTGGTTTTTGGATCATAATCAATTGCATCATATTGGGTGCAATATCAATAATATATTGTGTCTATCATCCTGTAATACAGTACTGAATTAAAAGAACTGTATCATATCATATCATGTCATATCATATTTCATGATATGTCCTGTCATACGATATCATACTGCATGTCATATTGTATCCCACCGTAGCCCATGTTTCAGTTTTGCAGAGTTGTGTTCTGATCTGTTATATCCCATAATATCATTTAATACCAAATTTTATCCTGCCCTTTTATAGAGTATCACACTATACTGTATCATCACATTTCAAATCATTGTATTTTAAAATATGTTAAAATATTATTTACAATAGTAACTATCATGTTTATAGTTTTGCATAATCCAACTCCTTTTGACTTGTGACATGAGTCAATTAAATGTAGAAGTCTTTTAGTTGTTGGCAACAAAACAAGAGACAGACTGTCATCCCGACCTGTCATTTTCTCCTATTTGAAGAACCCTTATGATTTAAAAATACCCTTTATTCATCCTGAAGTGTACTTAAAAACTAAAACTGTTTTTTTTAATGCTCCCACACCATTTATCATCTTTTATCAATAATACATGCTGCGGTGGCTCCAGCCCAGGGAAATGGAAGCGCTGGACAAAGCTTTAAAAAACCATTTGAATTTTTACTACAACTACTTATTGGCCAGCCACAGCAGTAAAATACTGTTTATGAATTGATGCGTCAGTGTTAACAATCCAGCAGTGTCATATATTTTATATTGTATGTATTTGTTCTGCGGCCAATTATCTGCAGAGAAAGCTGGGACTGAAATATCAGTTTTAATGAGGAGGGCATCAGACTCTAATTATCCTCATCTCACAGGTGTTTATGTCTTTCATCCACAGCTGACAAGGAACGGCACCGTGGAGTGCGCTCAAGCAGACCTGCTGACTCTGGATGACGTTTCAGATGAGGACCTCGATGTGGACGGTGTGGAGGTGGATGACTGCTTCTTCCTCCAGCCGCTGCCCACGAAGCGCCGCCGAGCTCTCCTGCGAGCGTCTGGCATCGCCCGCATAGATGCGAGAGAGAAAGCCGAGCTGAGAGCCATCCGGGTGTCGAGGGAGGAATGTGGCTGCGACTGCCGCTTGTACTGCGACCCCCGCCACTGCGGCTGCAGCCAGGCTGGCATCAAGTGCCAGGTAAGAGCCGCGTCTGAACAGAGAGAGGAAAAACTGTGTGTGTTTAATAGAGATCTGAATGAGTCAGACTTCACTGCTGAATTTAAATGTGCTCTGTATTAATTTAAAGTCATGTAAGCACTTTATTTTCCCATAGGCCTTCCTCTGAAAATCTTTCTCCTCATAAAACTAATGATGCCTGAATTCCATTAAGCTGGATCAGTTCAGGGTTCTTTGTCTTGTGCATGCTCGCTCACTGTCATGGCTTACTGAGACGGCTGAATGGAGGGATACAGTCATTATTATTACTATGACATGTCAAGCTGTCTGCTACAACAAAGGCCTCTTCCTGCCATTTTTAGGGACTGTCAGAGGATTTGATTTAATATCCAACTCCGGTTTATTCGCTGATTTATTAAACAAGTGAAATGATTCCTGTGGAACTATAATTTTGTCTGGAAATATGAAAAAAAATTACAATTTGGTCACAGTGAAAAGGACAGTGTTTTCATAGACGAACTCTGGTTCTTTTCTGCCTGCAGACCCTTAAAACTAGTCGCTCCCTCTTCGTCATTTTCCAGTAACTTTAGGTTATTGAATATTTTTTTCATTTTAATGATTCTATATACTGCTGTGATGCCACTCCTATTTCATAATTTTCTGAGATTCATATACGCTAACATAAATGTTGTTTAATTTTAAAGCTCCTGCAAGGAACCTTTGACTTGTGTAGAATTTAGCGCCCCTTGTGGACAAAGCAGGTTTTCTTATCTTGTCCCCTCTGCCAGAAAAATCTCATATTTCTGACTTGAAACAGTAAAATTGAGAATTTATTGTAAATATTTTATGTAAAAACCTAAAATCAGGGCTGTTTCTCCACCTGCTTTGCTGACACCTACCCCCTCCCACAGGTTTCAGGTATTAAAAATTACAATATAAAACTCATAAATTATGTTTCTGTTATTCTTGTTTGCTTTCATAAATCACAAAAAGGCCCTAAAATTAATTCATGTCTATTTTATAAACTTAAAAAAAATCCTCACAGGAGCTTTAAGTTTTTAAACATGACTTTTTAAAACACAGTTTTTGGCCATGAAATGTGCTAATACTTCTACTAGTAACAATGACTGATTCATTAAGCAATTTTAAAAACAGTTTAACCACAAAGTAGAAATAAATGAAAGATTAAGAGCGAATACAGGGGCAAAAACTACCAAAATAAAAGCATAAAGAGTGAGATGAAAATAAACAAATCAATAAATGACTAATAAGTAAAAGTTATCGAGAACAGTAAAGGAGGGGATCAGAGGAGGATTTGTGAACCAATGGTAACCATGGTGACCGTGATGAGGCCAAAGATTCCAAGTACTCTCTTAATCTGTTGCTGTTTTTAAAGCTCCTGTGAGGGTTATGAAACGGACCGAGATGAACAGTGATGCATATCTATGATGAACAAAAGCAAATTAGACCGTTCATGACAGGAACACAACGTTCAAACGGGTAAATCAGAACGTGAGCTTCAGTCACTGTCTGTACTTTTTAAAAATAAGGATAAAATAAGATCCCATCTTTGTTTTCTGTCCCCCTCAGGTGGATCGGATGTCCTTCCCTTGTGGCTGCTCTCGAGACGGCTGCGGTAACATAGCGGGCCGCATCGAGTTCAACCCTCTCCGCGTCAGAACTCACTACCTACATACCATCATGAAGCTGGACCTGGAGAAGAGGAGGATGCTCATACAAGGGACTGGAGAGGAGTATGCAGAGTCTGACCCACTCACCTCCCCCTCCTCCACCTGCTCCACCTCCCCTGACCTCTCCTCCATCACAGGCCTGGACTCTGAGCTGGAGGAGAGCGAGGTGCAGACTGAGGTGGAGGTTCAGGATCTCCTTGCAGAGCAGGACATCCTGGAGCGTGAGAACGAGACAGCTGTGCTGCACCTGCAAAGCGCAGAAGAGCAGGAGAGGAGGGAGAGGGAGGAGGCAGAGGGGGAAGCAGTGCAGGAGCTGGATGGAGGTCTTGCAGAGCAGCCTCTCTGCCTGCTGCCTGCTACCTTAGAAGCAGAGCAGGCTGAGGTACCTGTTGTGGAGCAGGTTCTTCTTCAGGGGCCGTTTCCTACAGGAACCACAGTGCTGTGCATCACTGACAACCAAGAGGAGAGTCCCTCGGACCTCCTCAAAGACTCTTCCTCTCTGCTCTACTATCAGCTCAGCCCGATTGAGCCTGGAGCGTTTGAGACCCTGCACAGAGAGGAGGAGGCCGAACAGGAGGATGGCTTTGTGAGAGAACAGGAGCCAGGAGGAGAGAGTGAGGAGAGGAAACAGGAAGGAAGAGAGGAGGCTGATAACTCTGAGGAGGTCATCTGCAGGGAGAGTTTGGAGAAATCTTTGACCAGTGAGCAGCAGGTGGGGATACAGCAGGGGAGGCCCTCAAGTCCCCTGCAGAGTCTCCCTGAAGATGAGTGCCAACGGGGCTCCTGCATGGAGGGAGGAGTAGCTCCGCCTCCTCCTGAAGTTTAGTCTTTACTTCTCTGCAGAAATTTTGCACAACAGCTTCATCTAAGATGATAAAGAGACACATTTCCATTTAATACTGCTATCATGAAGAATGGTTACAGGCTGCAAACTTTAGCACTGACTGTAAATGGATTATGAGCAGGCTGAAGAAAAGGGGAGATGAAAGCACATACAGATCACTCCCCTGTAGTTATATGGATGCAGTAACAAGGCGACATTGTGCATAATTGTGTTGGGGTTGATAAATGCGGCCTTAATGGAAAAAAAACATCAAAACAGGTTGTCGATGAGAAAGTACAGCGAGTTGTGTTCTGTTCATTTCCAACGCAGCATATTGAAAACAATTTGTGAACGCTGACGTAAGCCTTTTATGTTTGGTGAGTTATGATTCTATCAACACTGAACACAAACTGTTTTGTACTGCGTTGGATGTCGATGTGTTTGGAAACTTCACAGGCTCACTTTCCATTACAGCAGACCCGTGCTGTAGAAAAGCCAAATTAAGGCCTCTGGTAGAATCCTCCGCTGAAAATAGACCTAATAATCCTGGAAATACTTGTTTTTGTGTACTGTATATGCATTTGTGCAAGACAGGGCCGAGGTTGCTGCTTTTAATGTGCACAAAGTGAGTAGACTGACCTCTGACTGAATATAAGAAGTGGATGTAGCTCGCTTATTAGTGTGTGGGACCCTTTTTGAAGCTTCAAATGTGGAGTTTCCTAATCGTGGGTGCTTGGGGCTGAGTGTCACTATTTCGTAATGACTTGCAGGGTTCAGAGAAGGTGTCTTATTTTGAGACAGCCAAAATTATGGTGTCAATATTGAGCTGAAATATCTGCCTTATGTAGGCCTATTGTCTGACCTTATGTGTAATACCTCGGAATAAGATTTATCTTTGGACTTTTTGGATCAGTTTCACAAATGTTGATCATAATGAGATATTTTGACAAATGTAGCTTACAAAGCAGAGACTTATCAGTTTCTGTTGCTTCTGGTCTTTTTTTTTTTTTTACTCGGAAATGCTCAGTCAGTAAGTTTACATGCACAGTTATAGGGCTGGATTAGGTGATTTAAAGGGATATTCCAGCATATCCCTTATTCCGGAATATCCCTTAAATTTGACCACTTTCCTAATCCCAGTTTTAACAGAAGCGTACAGAAGCATGTCCACTACAGTAGATGGCGACATTCAAGAGGCTAAATGATATAAAAATGTCATTTTTACAGCTCTGTACGCTTTTATTTTTACGATAGGAAAGTTAAATTTCGTCTTTTCTTGTTGCTACCCGGCTTCCTAGCAACGCGTTCAACTTCCGCCTCAAAGAACAAGGGAGCATGCGCAGAACGCTTCGTTTGAGCGTCTACGTGAATCGATTCCCATCCGCGTTTTCGAGGTATGTTAGTCCAACTGTGAGGAGTTTGATTTAGTGCGATTTTAACCGGACCGTTTATATGTTTAATGAAAGTTAGGTTTTCAGTCGGACCAACGCAATAAATCGTTGTTTGAAACTTTACGGTGCATGTAGGCGTACTGATCCAAGCAGAAGCAAAGATATTAAGACCATAAACTGAAACAGATCATACAACCTTTGACTTGAACGTTACACTAATGAGCTTCATCCACTTCTTGTTTAAAGCCTGTAGAGCTGAGGGCAGCTGCTGTCTCCATTCATTCAGCAGACTCAATCTGACCACAGTGGCTGTTACTCACCTTGGACCGCTCGTGCAAATGCGATTGATTTGTCAACAAAAAAACCTAGTTTACCTGTAGTTACAATGCCTATGATATAACTAATATTATTTCTTTGTGTCTTTTGTGGATTAGATGCTGTTGGTTTGAAGTCCTTGCAGTCTGTTTTTTGTTTTTCTAAGAGTGAGAGAAAATGTTATTTCTTCAGTACTGCTGCACTGTAACACCATGTAGTCAGTCATGTTGTGAAATGGTGAAACAGCAGAGGATGAATCCGAGCAAAGTCATGAGGAGAAATAGCATTCAAAGAGTCAAGATATAGAAAATGATGTGATGTTACTAATTTATGAAGCAGATTGACCTGAATTTGTATATTTTGTGTTCAGTCTGTACAGCTTGTGTGTGTTCGAGTGCCTGAGTACTTTACATTTCTGTGTTCACGTGAGAGGGGAAAGTTCCTTGTATGTACTGTAAGATGAAAAGGACGTGTTTTAGTGAGGATGCATATTTTATTCCTTATAGGTGCTGATGTTTAAGATGAACGAGTCACTGATTCTTCTCCCTACCATCGAGAGAGAGAGAGAGACAGGATTTGACTGAGGTGTTGGAGATTCTCTTGTAGGAATGCAATAGCTACTGCACTGCAAATCACTAACGTGGAGATTCTTGACTGAGTTTTTTGTCGTTGAAATGCAATTATGGTACATTTGTGGTCTCGAAAGTCTCCTGTTATGTTTGAATGACTGATACTGATAAGTGTTAGTGTGCTGACTCTTCACACTCATCTTTTATTATTATTTTTTTGTTGCCTAAATTTACATTTGTTGCTTTTGGTAACACAGGATGTGCTGTTGTGTTTCTTTTGCCTTCTTTTCCTATTTTAAATCGTCTTAATATAAATCTGCTTAAGAGTTGCACCAAAGCAGTGGTTTCAAACCTAATTAAATGATGCTTTCATCCATCAGATGTGAACAAAGCAGCCTCCTGTAGTTATTGTGAGGCTGTAGATTTATTGTTGTCATGTGACTTGCCTTTTCATAGAGCCATCTTTGAAGTGACGATGATTACAAGCTGCCTATTGTTAAGCTTTTGTCCTTGGCTTTCTACTAATAGACTTCAGGTTTGGGACCACTGCACTGAATCGACTCCGTGCTACACTATGTGATTGTGTGTGTTTGTGTGAATGGGCGGTGTGTGTGTGAGTGAGTGTGTATGTGTGTGTGAGACAAAGACTGATAAGTTTAGACTTCATCTAAAAGCTGTGAGAACTACTCTCATGCTAACTGTTGCCTAAAGTGGATGAAAAAGGATTTTATACAAAAAACACAAACAATAAAACACTCATTTTAAAAAAAGGATCAGGTGTGAAGTCTATTTTGTTTCTTTTAATATTCAATTATTCTAAAATATTCTAATTTATATACAGTTTTATGTCTTTTTTTGCCAACCAGGAGGTGAAATTTGTAGATTTTACGATGTTGATCTTAATCAAGGTTCTCTGAATCCTTTGTCCTCTTGGAGGTCATGACGATAACTGCCTGTAGGGTGCAGTACAACCTCTCACCACCAGATGGCAGCATGAATTCACTGCATTCCTTTAAAACGCAGCCAGCAGACATCTGTGATAGATTGTAAAGCCCAAACCATACAGCTGTCAGTCTGACATTTGATGCTTTGGAAGTGTTATTGGAGACACTCACATAGACAGATGAACTATAATCTTTAAAGTAGTTTCTTACAAAGATGTGGTAAAAAAAAAAACACCCCTTCACAGCTCAGAAGGACACTCAATACTGATCTTTGGCCCCTTTGAATAACCAGAAATAACATCTTTATCAGAATCACCTGCTTACAGGGGGCCTCTGTTTTTGCAGGGTGCAACAAACTGATTGTGAAAGCCCAAATATTTGCTCTCTTCTCGTTTCAATTGCAGGAAGCTGCTTGCCTGATAAAGTGACACAATGGCTCCCCTCTACTCCCTGTTGGCCTGGCCCAGAAGTGACTCCTGTGAGCGGCATTTTGTGTGCCCACAGATTCAGCACAGAGGTGAGTAAGATATTACGCAATAAAAGCAGGATGCAGGCTTACTTTTCTGACATTTACTTCCTTAAACCGGCTTTGAAAATTAATTCATCCATTCACTGAGGCTGCAGGCGACTCCTAGTTTGATTCCTGTCCAAGACCCCGTATGCTGCTCTCCACTATACCCACATTTCCTGACTCTCTTCAGGGGTCAAAAGCTAAAAAAAAGTAATATCTGAAGCTGTCTATTGAGAAAATAAAAACAAAAGTATCTAAAACAAGCAGAATATGTGGTCACACAGCTTTAGAGTTGGCAGCATGCATGCAGTGTGATATAAATGGAAAGCAAGTGGTGTTATAACTCAAATTAGATTGCGGAGAAATCATCGTGCCATTCTTGAAATATGATTAAAAAATCAGCCACACCAATGAATGAATGCAATGTCATTCCCAGCTTCACCCTCTCACTCCCAGTGTAATTAGAGACCTTTATAGGAGTCGTATCTTGGCCTCTGCAGCTTAATCTCCAAAGTCTTCTGTGAGTTCACCAAGAGTTAACAGTTAGAAACTGATCCCCTGGTGTTCGCCTTTAAGAGCCCCTTTCGACTTAAAGTTACCTGATTTAAATTTCACTTCTCCGCTGTGCCAATCTCCATGTGTTTGTGTTTGTATGTGTGCCATTACTTACTCAGCCAACAGCCTGAGAGCAGGCCCACACGCACACAAACAAACACCACAAACAAGCAGGAACAAATTACCTCTGGAACCTGAGGAACAATTGTGGCAGCAGTCCACCTCTCTGAGAGCCATGCCTCATGTGTTTGACCTTTACAGCCTCTTGTTTTCCATTGTTTTTTTCCCTTCCAATCGCCGGAAGAAGTCGAACATGTTGTGATAGTTTCAAAGCTGACGATGGAGTCGATCACGAGCCAGTGGAAATATTTTAAAGGGAGATTAAAAAGTATCATAATCAGAGGGGAGAATGGTTTCTACAGTCTTTAAAGCACGTTGAAAGACATGCTTTATCTGGGTTTCAGTTTAATGTTGTGACTGGACGGAGCAGGCGAGAGCAACTGGGCATTAGAAGAGTGACGTATGTGAGATGGAAAGAGGCCATACCACCTCGCCCCAGTCGACCAGTCTGAAAATGCTGCTCCAGCGCCTGGAAAGAATGCTCCTTCTTTCCTTTTCTCCCTGTGACGCCAGCGCTATGGCATCATTAGGGCCTACACCGAAACCAATCCCTTTTAAATAGCACTATTCATAAAAACGGCTCAGGTTTTTTTTCTCCTACCCTGCTCTTCACGTGCTGACTGGACTGAGGAGGGAAATCCAGACCATTTAGTACAAAGTTCACCTTGTGCGCTCGGGAGAGAGGATCCAAATGTCCCACTGAAAGCAGGAAGAGGAAACAGTGACGGTCGAAAAGGTCAAAACAAAACTGCAGATTACTAGATTTTCCACTGGAATGACGATTTACTGTACTTTTTTGAAGATTGACTGCAAATCTGCGGCTACAGAGGACATGAAAATGTCTGACTTGTTCTGTATATGATCTGAACAATAAACAGACTCTTTTAAATCACACCTACATCATCTTTGTCCTGCAGGAAAAGTTCTAATAAAAAAATAATCACATCGAGGTGAAACTTGAGGATAATCTGTTTATGCATGAGAGAGAAACTTGCATGAAAATAGACCCTGGTGTGCTGATTTGAGGACAAAGTATGCATTCTCAAAGTAGAAAAATAGACTTATAAAAAACAACTCAACTGTGCTTGACTTCTTGTCATATTTTGCAGACTGTTATGGTCACCTGTGGGCCTGTTTTGGAAAAGTAAGAAGTAGAAAGTATGGATATGCCACCTAAGTTGAAGAGACTAGTTCTAGCATTTTTTCTTCCTTTTTTAGAAAATAAGCATTTGCAGGATCTTCTGTGAACGTGCACGACCAGACAATTTGCATGACTCATGTGTGTCCACTGACTCTGCAGTGCTGGTTCTTAAATAAGTTTAGGACTGGCAGAAAAACCCTAAGCCTAAAAGTCAAGAGCCAGAGGTTTTTCTATTATGTCATCCTGCTGTATCTTCGGGATGGCATTACCAGAACAAGTGGAGAAGCAAAATGAATGAAAGCAAAGCATGGCAGCACAGCGGTGCGACTCCCACTGGATCCAGAAAAGCAGCTGTGTGTCCACAGCTGTGTGAAAAATGATGAGCCTCGCTCTGCCTGCTGCTCCCCAAGGACGCGTCCGTCATCGCCGCATCCAAGTTCTCTGACAACAACGCTATGAAACTCAGAAGAAAAAAACAAGCATGCCTCTGTTTATGTGCATGTTTCTTTGTGGTTTTGCAGGCTACATGTTTTGTTTCCTCTTAGTGCTGCAATAAACCCCCATCCCATTAGCTCAGCAGCTGGCCGTGTGCCCAGCCTTCCTCGAGGTGGAACTTTAAATATCTATAAGCTTACATAGTCTCTTAACAATAACCGGCAGAAACCTCATGCAAATGTTTTCAACCATGTCCCATGGAGAGAAAAAGTGACTTCATATCAGAGGTATCTGGAGGAAAAGGAATCTAAAGTTGTAGTGCTTGACCCTTTGAGGATACTTTTCATTTCATAGAAAATAGACTGTTCTTAAAATTGGAAAATGGATGAGAAATTTAAGCTCACTTTTCACCACTCTCGTCATTTGGTGGTATTATTCGGTGGTATGGCTGTTTTCAGAGAACATCTCCTCTCTGCATACTTAAAAAAAACATGGCAGGGAGACCAGCAGCAGCAAAGACACCAGGCTGCACAGAAGACAAATGGTAGATGACATAAGGGACAAAAAGTTTCAGTGATTGATGAGTCAAAATAAGCAAAATAATAAGGATGGTCGGTTAGTCTCAGATTAAAATACACGCTTTGGTTCATCGATATTTTAAATTTTTTCACTTTTCCAGAGAAATGTTAAAACTATCTATTATGGGTTTTCACAAAATCTGTTACAGACATTTATCGGTGTCTCCTCTAACTCCACCATGAACCATTTGTAACTTTAATGCAGACGTGTTAACAAATATTGGCCATAATAATGGCGAGAAAATGTAGTCTAGACATTTTTGCTTCGCTCACGATGCGTTTAATTGGCCCAACTTGCGTTTCAGTTGTTTTTGTTATACTCGATCAACCCGTCTCTCTCCCTCTGCATCTGCTAGAGTTTCCATTCAGTCCCGGTCACTTGACTAGGATGTGTAGTATCCCGACACCTGTTTCCAACACCTAAAAGAAGGATCTAAATCAGCTCCCTTCTCTTGGACAGTAGTAAGATCAGTGAAGCTTTCAGCACCATCAACAGCCAACACCAGCATTTTTCTAGTACCATATGTGGTTTACAGATACTTGGCTTTGCTTGACTGTCTGCTGCCAGTTTGTGAGCCAACTGATGATCTTCTATTTTCTTCAATCCAACTTAGTTGCCCTGTATGTATCTATATTTGAGCCCCCTTCTAATACTTTGTTTTGAAAGACAGGTATTCTAAATATCGTATGATTCACACTTATGTCAGTTTTGTCCAGAACAACTGGTTTTGTTAGCCACAAGAGGGCAGCATACAAGCTGTGGACACCACCCTGAAATTGCATCCTTAAATTTTGCTGAGCTGCTATGTGCTATATCAAGTTAGCTAGCAACATGCAAACTATTAGCTGAATTCTGAGCTTCTAATTCTGAGTCTTCTAGATACTATAAAAGTCAAAACATTTTCAGTTAATTTATGCTAAAGATGTTGTTGGTAGACCGACAATATTTAAAGTTTTTGGCTAAATTAAAAAGTAAACAAAGTTAGCATAACCATAGAGAACATGTTAGCATGCTACAGTCCATATTTTACAGAGATTGCGGCTTCGTTCGAGTCAAATCTGGTGGGACTGCTGACATGACTGTACTTGGTCTTGGTATTATCTTTCAAAACAGAACCTAAGTAAATTAAAAAAGAGTTCATGAATGAGTCTGTTTTCTCGTTCTGATGCTGCTGTCGCCGCAGGCTCGCATGATCAATAGCATGTTTGCGGGGGTCAGACTTTGTGTCGTAGAGGCGGTGGGAATTTGATGGATGTGTTTTTTCAAATCTGGGAAAGGATGTAGAATCATATCCTGTCCATCTGTCTTATTCCCCAACAGACGATTAAGTGAATCATGTAAAAGTCTCTGCTTGTGGCAAACGTCTAACTAACCTCCATCTCTGCGGGGAATTCACCCTTCGACCTTAATGAATACCATATTCCTACAGTACTTTTACTGTGTTTTTGACTCACATTCATAAACCTGGCATTTTCCCAGCAGGGGTCA